TGCTGTCATTTCCCTCAATTTACATGAGAACATGTTGATTCCCATCAGCGATTTAATTAAAAATTTTCCATATCAAATTCCATCTCTAAAAGAATAATTTTTAATGATTTATATGGAAATTTATCTCGAGCATGTAACCTGATTTTTCAGAATTCACTCAGTTCAGCTTTGGCTCAATTTACCTCGAAAAATGTTAAAAATAAATCCGAAACTTGTTGCCGGAAGTGCTCATTTACATCAATTATGCCTTAAAAACATGATATTTCTGTTGAGAATGCTCTTATAGAGGCACAGATGCTGCATTCATCCACTTGACATGTACACGAGCCTTTTGTTGATCGGAAACATTTTATTTTTGGATATTTTTTACTTTTGCTTTTGCGTTGGTTGAATTAATTCTGCAATATTTTTTCGATGAAAAAAATTGTTTTTTTGGGAGTTCACAAAAATTTTGTTTAATTCTTGTGTATAAGGAATAATTGATGAGACTTCGATGTGATGAAATGAGTTGTTTTTGTGGCATAAATTAGGTAAAGAAGGTGGCAATATAAGGGGAAAATGAAAAAAAAAGCATTTGCAAGATAGGATGGTTCTTGAATTTTTTGAATGCCAACGTAATCTTTGAATTTTAAAAGCGGCGCTTCATTTTACAAAAAAAAATCAATTCCAGAAGCAACACTTTAGCCTCAGATACAAAGTTTAAGTTACAGAAGCAACGCTTCAAGTTCTAGAAGCAGTGCTTTGATTTCAGAAGCAACGATTTGATTTTGAAGCAATGCTACTAATTCAGCAGCATCACTTTAAGCTTAGAAGACACGCTTCAAGTCAAATGCTACGCTTCAGTTTCAGACGCAACGTTTTGGTCTCAAATCCACCGCTAAAAGTTTCAGAAGCAACGCTTTAGTTTCAGGAGCAGTGCTTCAAGATCAGAAGCAACGCTTTAATTTTAGAAAACACGCTGCAAGTTTAAAAGCTACGCAATAGTTTCAGACGCAATGCTTCAACTTTCAGAAGCAGAGCTTCAAGTTCAGAAGCAACCCTACAAGTTCAGCAGCAACGCTTTAGTTTTAAAAGCATTACATCAGCTTCAAACTCAAAGCTCCATTATTTTGACCCAATTTAAATAATTTTTCATGTCCTTAACAACTTGACACCATTTTCCTTAATTTATTGCTAACATTTCTCATCGTAACCCCAAAAAAATCGATGACTTGGCTTCCCATTCATTCATTACCTCCTCAGAAAATATATCATGTGCTCTCATTTCTCTTTGCAACCTCAGTTCCCAGAAAAGAAAAAGAAACTGAAATAATGAGTCAAGAAATCATTAATTACAAATTCATATCGTGTCTTTTATTTTAGTTTATTTTTTCATTTTGTTCATTTATTTATTACCGCACGCGTTGGCATTAATTTACATTCAAGAAGTTGATAAGACAACAACAGCAGTGAAAAAAAATATTGTTTTGTTGAAAGTGTCTAAAAGACAAATGTCGGTAATAATTGCTGGTCTTGTCAGTTTGGGGCGATTTTTTTAAATATTATTTTGTGCCTTTTTATCGAAATGGCAAATGCGGTGTAAAATTGGAAGAAGAGAATCAAGCGTGGCTGGTGATTAATGGAGCAAAATTAATTAAAATTGAAGTAATGATTCGTGAATGAAGCAATGACTTAAAATTAGAGCTAAGACTCAAAATAGAAGCAACGACTTAAAATTAAAGCAAAGAGTCATAATTGAAGTAATGACTCAAATTTGAAGCAATGACTCAAAATTCAAGCAATGACTCAAATTTGAAGCAATGACTTAAAATTGAAACAATGACTCAAAAATGAAGCAATGACTCAAAATTGAAGAAATGACTCAAAATTGAAGCAATGACTCAAAATTGAAGCAATGACTCAAAAATGAAGAAATGACTCAAAATTAAAGCAATGACTCAAAATTGAAGCGATGAATCAATATTGAAGCAATGACTTAAAATTAGAGCTAAGACTCAAAATAGAAGCAACGAGTCAAAATGTGAGCAACGATTTGTCATTGGAGCATTGACACGAAATTGAAGTAATGATTTAAAAATGAAACAATGACTCAAAATTGAAGAAATGACTCAAAATTCAAGCAATGACTCAAATTTGAAGCAATGACTTAAAATTGAAACAATGACTCAAAACTGAAGCAATGACTCAAAATTGAAGAAATGACTCAAAATTGAAGCAATGACTCAAAATTGAAGAAATGACTCAAAATTGAAGCAATGACTCAAAATTGAAGCAATGACTCAAAAATGAAGAAATGACTCAAAATTAAAGTAATGACTCAAATTTGAAGCAATGACTTAAAATTGAAGCAATGACTCAAATTTGAAGCGATGACTCAAAATTGAAACAATGACTCAAAATTGAAGCAATGACTCAAAATTGAAGCAATGACTCAAAATTGAAGCAATGACTCAAAATTGAAACAATGACTCAAAATTGAAGCAATGACTCAAAATTGAAGAAATGACTCAAAATTGAAGCAATGACTCAAAATTGAAGCAATGACTCAAAAATGAAGAAATGACTCAAAATTAAAGTAATGACTCAAATTTGAAGCAATGACTTAAAATTGAAGCAATGACTCAAATTTGAAGCGATGACTCAAAATTGAAACAATGACTCAAAATTGAAGCAATGACTCAAAATTGAAGCAATGACTCAAAATTGAAGCAATGACTCAAAATTGAAACAATGACTCAAAATTGAAGCAATGACTCAAAATTGAAGCAATGACTCAAAAATGAAGAAATGACTCAAAATTAAAGCAATGACTCAAAATTGAAGCGATGAATCAATATTGAAGCAATGACTTAAAATTAGAGCTAAGACTCAAAATAGAAGCAACGAGTCAAAATGTGAGCAACGATTTGTCATTGGAGCATTGACACGAAATTGAAGTAATGATTTAAAAATGAAACAATGACTCAAAATTGAAGAAATGACTCAAAATTCAAGCAATGACTCAAATTTGAAGCAATGACTTAAAATTGAAACAATGACTCAAAACTGAAGCAATGACTCAAAATTGAAGAAATGACTCAAAATTGAAGCAATGACTCAAAATTGAAGAAATGACTCAAAATTGAAGCAATGACTCAAAATTGAAGCAATGACTCAAAAATGAAGAAATGACTCAAAATTAAAGTAATGACTCAAATTTGAAGCAATGACTTAAAATTGAAGCAATGACTCAAATTTGAAGCGATGACTCAAAATTGAAACAATGACTCAAAATTGAAGCAATGACTCAAAATTGAAGCAATGACTCAAAATTGAAGCAATGACTTAAAATTGAAACAATGACTCAAAATTGGAGCAACGACTGAAAATTTAAGCAATGACTCAAATTTCAAGCAATGACTCAAAATTGAAGAAATTACTCAAATTTTAAGCAATGACTCAAATTTGAAGCAATCACTCAAAATTGAAACAATGACTCAAAATTGAAACAATGACTCAAAATTGAAGCAATGACTCAAAAATGAAGCAATGACTCGCAATTTAAGCAATGACTTAAAACTGAAGCAATGGCTCAAAATTGAAGTAATGACCCAACATTGAAGCAATGACTCAAATTTGAAGCAATGACTTAAAATTGAAACAATGACTCAAAATTGAAGCAATGACTCAAAACTAAAGCAATTTCTCAAAATTGAAGCAATGGCTCAAATTTGAGGCAATGACTCAAAATTGAAGCAATGACTTATAATTAAAACTAAGACTCAAAATAGAAGCAATGACTTAAATTTGAAGCTATGACTCTTAATTGAAGCAATGGCTCAAATTTGATGTAATTATTCAAAATTAAAGCAGCGACGCAAATTGGAGCAACGACTCATCTCCACAATCCCATTACTCTAATTCAAAACAGGCCAAAAATTACATAATTTACAATTTGAGTAAAAATGTAGCTTGCACTCCCACCCATGTCCATACACATCCGATAATTGTCTTGTTTGTTTAACATCATGGTCAATAGCTCACTTAATTGTCCGGTCATTGCAAGTTGCATGTTCACAGAAATTGACTGCTGCGCAACTATGAATAATAATTACAATTACAATTGCTTATCGATTTTATTCGACAAATTCTCAATTATTTTTTTTTGTATATTTTCAGTATGTGTTGAATAATCGAGTGGATTAGACAGAAACATGGATACAGGAAGGAACAGATCCTGAAGAGAGGAAATTTTATTAAGAAAATTTATTGATTTTGTGTCAATTTGTCGAGTCAGAGGAGCAAGGAAGCTCCTAGATTGGATTTTTGTCAACTTTGTACGTGTTCGGATTTGCTGAGTGCATGTGATGTGATATGAATTTATTGTTGGACTGGATTTTGTTGTTGTTGGTGGAATCAAAATTAAAGTGAACGAATAAAATTGAAAAAAAATGAATGAAAAAGTTGAACTGTTTTTAAAAAAATCAGAAATAATTTAAAAAATATTCAAAAAGGTGTCTAAAAATAAAAAAAAATACTATTTTAAGTGGCAAGATTTAAAATTTTGTTTAAAATTAAAATTGATGGAAAAAGTTTAAATTTGGCAACTAAAACTCTTCGAAAATCATATCAAAAAATCAAACAATTGGACGGAAATGATTCAAAAATCATCAAAATTATAAAAATTCGAATTTAATTGAAAGTAAAAGAAATCATAAAAACTACAGAACGGATCAACAATTTTGACATTTTTAAAAAATTGTGAAATAACTTTTAATTCTTAAAAATGAATTTTAAAAATTTTAACGATTATTAATTTAAAAAAATTAAACTATAATATAAAATGAAAATCCCAAAAATTTGAAAATAAACAATATTTAAAAATTTTAAAAAAATATTTAAAAGTTTAAAAAATAATTTAAAAAAATTTTTTTTTAAAACAGTTGAAAAATTCAAGAAATAAACTTTAAAAATTATTTAAAAACAATAAATTCTACACATTAAAATTTATATAAAACCTACTCTACTACAGGACATTAAGGTTTAAAAACCTTATAAAATATACGATAATTGTGAATTTAAAAAATCAATATTATAAAAATTTAAATGTAAAATAATGGCTGAATTTATTTTAATCAGCTAAGCAACAAAAATTAAATCATATGCAATTGGGACCGCAAAAATTTGAACAATTTTCAATCTTAAACATTTATCCTTAAAACTTAAGAACGAAAAATCATCAATTTAAGATCGCTATTAATCAACTTTTACAATAAAGGAGCTCACAGACATAGCTTAGTTATAAAAATTATCCAAAGACATCAAAGAAAGTCAGAAAAACCTTAGCAAAATAAGTCAACATTCTTAATCCAGCGTGGAAGTTCATATAAATCACAGCCCATTTACACGTGGAAGTTCAAAGACATCCCATCCCATTTACACGTGGAAGTTCAAGAACCTAGTCCAAGCAAACTCTCACAAATAATCAACCAAACTCAAATATGACATCCCAAGCATCCCTCTTAGCCTCACCCGACAACTCAGCCAAATTCCGCACAAACTCTCGCTCCAGTTCCAACACGAACCTCTACAAATCCCTCGAAGACATCCAAAAGAATCTTGACAACCTCGACAACTTCCTCACAATCACCGAAGACATCCTAAAACGTGAAAAATTCCACGACATGGAACTTTATCGACGAGAACGTGAACGAAAGACATCAGGCACTAAATCATTAGAGTCACCGACATGTCCACCGCCATTATCATTCAAAAATGGCAAAATATTCTGTCCCGGTGTTGATGGAGCGACTTTTAATCCCGCAAATGTTCAGTTGAACTTTGAAATTGTCAAGAATATCATAAATAATCAAAATAACTTCTTGTGCTATGAGAATCAAGACATGACCGGCGACGAACCAGACCAGTCGTCATCACCCGAAATAAATTTGTCGGACGAGCAAGACATTTACATTACACATCATGAGAATGAGACCGAAGGAAAGTTGAAGTCGATGAATGAATTTTTAATGAAGTCAAATTCGACGATAAGTAGTAAGTTGGAAGAAGCAGTGATGCAGTCGATTGAGGATGAGATTAAGGGATATGAGAGAGAAATGAGGGAGAATTATGAGAAGAGCGAGACGATGGAGTGCATGATCTTGCCGCCAGATAGTCCTGAGTGAGTAGATTTCTTTTTTTGGGGTTATGTTGATTATTTTTTTTTGGTGTAAGTTTGTCTTAATTGTCTTAGTGGCCATGTCAAGGAAGATAACAGCATACTGAGACAATTTTTAATGAGGATTTTTTTTTTGCTTCAATTCCTCATCATGCTGTTACCCCCTTGAGTCAAGAACTGCTTTTCTTAGTGAACTATATTAACTCAAAAATATGGTCGAGTCCATAAAAAACAGGATTTTCACTTTGAAATCGAAGGTCATGTCCATAAAAATCGGGAATTTTCACCAAAAATTTAAGATCATGTCCATAAAAATCGGGAACTTTCACAAAAAACCTTAGTTATATTCTATTTTTCTATCAAGAATCTTCACTTAATTAATTGTCATTAATTTTCATGTCAAAAAAATAAGGAAAATTTTCATAAACATTTTAAGGTCAAGTCCTCAAAAATCAGGAAAATATCCAATATAGTGCCCCATAACTCAGCTCCTCTAACCTTTAAAAATTGACAAATATTTAAAAATTCAATTTTTCTGACAAATCCTTTCAGATTGAAGGAAGAGAGAGGAAGGATATGGGAAGAGTTGTACTCTGGCAAAAGAATTTCGAAGAAATGGCTTAATTCGACTCACAATCGACCTGCTTAGTAGTAACTTCAGATAGATCACCAAATAATTTTCACAAAACATTTCGTAAGGCTTAGACTTTTTCCAAAATTTGTTTAGAGTCACGATGATTAGATGTCGTGTCGCACATACAATTAATGCTAATCGCACTTAGAGTCAGTATTTGAGTGTATTGTGGGCTAGATTTATACAATTTTTTGTGGTTTTGGAATGTTTTGAGCTAGTTGAATCAGTCTGAAGAGTCTGAGCTTATTTTTTTCTAAGGGTTGTCCGTAAAAATCGGGAAAATTACACTAATTTTAAGGGACTACTTTTTTTTTGGAATTTCTCACAAAGTTTAATGGTCATGTCCACAAAAATCGGGAAACTAATTCCAAATTTTCAAATTTTTTAAACATTCTTAACCAAAATTATCAATTTTTAATTCCAGAAAATCCCAAATCACCCAATTAACATCCTTATCCCATCGTTCAACTCCATCATCAGGAACCAGCGACAAACCAGCCATCACCAACCGCTTCATTCAACATTCCTTCCGAAACTTGATCCACAAATTCAATGAACGCTCTCAGCGTATGAGGAACCGCTTAAATCGTCCACTAACTCCATCAAGTGAAAGTGGATTGTCAACTTCCACACCACTTCACATGAAACTGCTATTTGGTGTCAAAAATGATGACAACAATGATGTTATCGTCGTTGAAGAAGGAACAGACTTAAGTGGACAATTAGCAGGCAAACAGAAGCGTCCATTGGCACAGATTGCAATTGAATCACCAGCAGCACTTGAAAAAGAAGACCCAAATCTGCACAACAAGTGCTCAATCTTCTGTTGCTGCAATGGTCGAGTCCTCGATCCACAAGGAAAGTTTTACATCTCGTGGCTCTTCATTGTCACGCTGTCGTTCCTTTACAATGCATTTGTTATTCCTTTGAGGACATCATTTCCATTTCAGACACCAAACAATGTTGATGTGTGGGTTTCGCTTGACCTGTGTGTCGACATTGTCTACGTTATTGACTTGCTGTTCATCAAGCATCGGAAAATGTATCTATTTGAAGGATTTCAGGTCAAGGACAGACAATTGACGCGGAAAAATTACATGAGAAAGTTGCAATTTAAAATGGATGTAGTTTCGCTGTTGCCACTTGATTTGCTGTGCTTTATACCGGCTGTTGGACGTGGTGCTGTGTACTTAAGAGTTCCGAGATTGTTGAAGATTCAAAGCTTTTGGGAATTTTTCAAGTTATTGGATCGAGTCGTTGCGTCGCCACATTTGTTGAGAGTCACGAAGACATTGAGCTATATGGTTTATATGATTCATCTGACTGCATGTACTTACTATGCTGTTAGTGTTTACAAAGGTAAGAAATTAGGGGTTGGCTGTAAAAAGTGGGAACATCACAAACATACTTAATTCTTGTATCATGTTTGATGATCAAGTCCTTAATAATGAGGAATTATGCTTGAAAAAATTCAATGGTCATGGCCATAAAAATCGGGAATTCAATACAAGTTTGATGTCAACTTCATATATAAAGTTGATTAACATCCTTATAATCAACATAATCTCTTTCCAGGCCTCGGAACCAACAGATGGGTCTTCAGTGGCAAAGGACATCCATACGTTCGATGTTTTGCGTTCGCAACTAAAACAGCAACCTCAATTGGAAAGAATCCGAAGCCGTCAGAAGTGGATGAGTATCTGTTCATGACATTTGCTTGGTTGTCTGGTGTCTTTGTGTTTGCCTTGCTGATTGGTCAGATTAGGGATATTATATCGACTGCTACGAGGTCTCAGGTGGGTAATGGCAGTTTAAGTTTGGGGTTTCAACCTAGAATTGACTTTAATCTGAGACTAAAGCTTCAAATAGCTTGAACTTTAGCTTCCTTAAACTCCTAACCTCAATTTGTTTTTAATTTGTAGAGCGAATACAAGCAACTTGTCGACGAAACTCTCGAGTACATGCGACGTCTTAACCTACCGACTGAGCTACAGCGTCGAGTTAAACAATGGTTTACATTCACATGGGATCAACAGCGTAGCTTGGACGAGTCTCATATCTTAGATGCTTTACCAGCGAATTTAAAGACAGACATTGCCATATCCGTACATATTCAGACATTATCAAAAGTACAGCTGTTTTCTGGCTGCGATGAAGCCTTCCTCCGTGAACTTGTGCTGAAGCTTCGATCTGTGATTTTCCTGCCTAATGACTATGTCTGCAAGAAAGGGGAAGTCGGTAAGGAAATGTACATCATTAAGACAGGAAAAATTGAAGTTTTAGGCAACAATGATGTTGTGCTTGCTACTTTGTGTACCGGTGCATGCTTTGGTGAAATTTCACTTCTTGATATCAGTGGAAGTCCGAATGGAAATAGAAGAACTGCTGATGTTAGGTCCAAAGGATTCTCAAATCTCTTTGTGCTGTCAAAAGCAGACCTTGAGGAAGTTATTGTTCATTATGAAGATGCTCGTGCTGCTCTTGAAAGTCGAGCAAAGGCACTTCTTAAAGAAAATGCAAACCGTGACCGACGTGAAGCTAAACTTCGTCGACCAAGCATGTTGTCTGTAAAGTCTGAAGAGGAAGTTGTCATCAACAATCCAAAAGTCGTCACTTTACAGCCAAAATTACTTGAAGCTGTAATTCAAGCACTTCCATCAGATTCAGCAGCAGCACAGCTTCTAACTAGAGGACCAAGAAAAGGCAAGAAGCGAGTCGGACCAGCACCAACTGACTTTAAAATTGAAAATGAATTTAATGACAAAAATAAAACAAATTTGACAGACAGCGAGAAGGAACTGATGATGAGAGCGAGCAGTGGGAAAAGTGTCAAGTGTGATGTTCACCGAGAAATGACTTAAATATGTTGGAATTGAAAATAGTTTTAGAGAAGATGAACGATTTATTTATTTTATTGAAAACATTCTATTTGACAAAATGGAAATAAAAATGAAAAAATAAAGCTTTTTTGATGTCAAAATTATAAAATGGTTGTTTTATTTAGTCTGATGAAGGAAAGTTCAGTTTTCTTAAGGATAGGTTCAGTTTGTTGAAGAAAAACTTCCGTTTGTTGATGGATGAATTCAGTTTAATGGAGCATGGGCTTGGTTTGCTGGATGATTAGTTCAGTATTTGAAGAATTAGTTCAGTTCACTGACGGATAAATTCAGTTCCTTAAGGGATAAGTTAAGCTCACTGACGGATAAGTTTAGTTCACTGAGAGATAAGTTCAGTTCACTAAGGGATAAGTTCAGTTCACTGAAGAATAAGTTCAGTTCACTGAAGGATAAGTTCAGTTGATAGAGGGATAAGTTCAGTTCACTGACGGATAAGTTCAGTTTACTGACAGATAAGTTCAGTTCACTGATGGATAAGTTCAGTTTACTGATAAAAAAATTATACAAACTGCATTCCTTGTTAAACTAGCTTTCCACAAATATTCGTAGTCGATACAGGTGCTGCCATCTTTTAAAAGTTTTTTTTAAATACAGTTAGCTTGATACTAATATGATGATACTTTATGATGATATATATAAATGCTTTATTTCAAGCTAAACCTTCATTCAAGCATCATATTTTCATAAAAAAATGCTTCGCCAACTTTAATTTTCCAGTTTTTTGCAATTTGACGTCAGTCGGGAAAGTTTTTTATAACAATTAAAAAGTTTGAATTTATTGATTTTGTAAAATAAAATGTTGGAACTTCTGTTGAAGGTTTCATAAGAAGAATGAATATTATATTGAAATAATTAATGTTGAGTTGCTGCAAATTGAGTATCAAGCACATTTAACTTTGGGGTACATTTATTTTAATTGAGGATACGTTAATGCAAATGTGTGATAAATTTGGTCAGATTTGGGATAAGTTCAGTTTTATTTAAAATAAACTCAGTCTGATGTGAGGGATAAGTTCAGTCATATGTGGTATAAATTCAGTCAGATGTGGGATAAGCTCAGTCAGATGTGGGATAGCATCAGTCAGATATGGGATAGGTTCAGTCGGGTTTGGGATAAGTTCAGTCAGATTAGTCAGTATTAAGTTCAGTTAAATACAGAATAAATTCAGCTTTTTATTCAAAAATGGATGAGTTCAGTTCACATAAAAAAATAAAAACTTATTCAAAGAAATGTTAAATACTTGAGCATCAATTCAGCTAATCCCCTCCAAAATCTAAAGCCCCTCAACCCTAACATCAATGTTCACATCATCCGACAAAATTTTTTCCTGCTGCTTATTCAACCTGAAGTCATCGACAGTGATTGAATAATCACCAGACAGTGTGCTTTTAACATCAGCTTGACCTTTTGGATTAAATTTTGGTCCATCGCCAGTAATTGGTTGGATTTCCTCCTTTGTGACTCTATATCCACCTTCATCAGCTTCATAATGGACAGTTCTTCGGAAGAATCCATCAGAATATGAATACATTCCTTTCAATGTAAGTCCTTCACGAACTTCCTGCCTGACATGCTCATGATCGTTGATTGTATCACGAACGGAAGTGCCAAACTCATAATGAGCTGACTTTGCTTGATGTTCAAGTTCCTCGGATGTCAGTTCCGCTGTTGTTGTTCGAACACGCTCAGTTGTTTCTTGAGTCGTTGCTGGAAGTGCTTCTACTTGTTGTCTCAAAATTGGACCTTGACGTTGAATTCCAGGCACAATTGGACGTGGCGTGTTCTCAAATTCCTCCTCATCCTCAAAAGCTTCAACACGTCTTATTGTTGTTGTTGTTGTCGGTACAATTGTTGGAACTGGAATTGGCTTTTGTTGGATCAAGTTTTGTGGAAAATTAAACTTGAAAGTTTGTTGATGGATTTGCTGCAAAGTTTGTTGCTGTTGAGGCTGATCATTTCCACCATAAAAGACTTCTTGATGATATGCAGCTCCATTTCTGATTGACTTTGGCTGATGAATCTGAAATTGGAAAGTTTCGAGACTTAGTAAGTCACATGATTGAACAACGTGAATGGAAAAGACAAAGGCTTTATTTTGAGGTGAGAGAAAATGTTATTCACAAGTCGGAATTGATTTTGTGATGAATAAAAAAGCAGTAACAGCAGCTGAGCAACTGTAAAATTGAAGTTGTGGAAGGGTTGGTAATCGATGACTATGAACTCTGGTTAAATGGTTCCACTGGAGGGCTACATAACTGCAAACGACACTGAACCATGGGATTCTCTATCTTACTCGTACCTAATTGCTAGTCCTAACATCGCTTAACCTCCTTAACCAGTGTGTAACCTCTTACTGACTTTAACTCCTCTATACCAGTGGTGGGCAACCTTTTTTGTGCCACGGCACACCTTGTGCTTAAGCCTTCACAAAAATTGCACACGGTTCGAAGGATTTCTCGGTTTTTTTCATGACTAGTACCGCGGACCTTAAGTTGGCCATCACTGCTCTATACCTTCACCACTTTGATCTTACTGAACACTCTGTTTCGTAGTATTCCATTAAGGCTGTAGTGGCCAACCCATGTGACGCGGTACAATAATGTGAATTTGAGAAATCTCTCAAATCGTATGCCATATGCGGTTTTGGTCATAACTTGCCATCAAGGCATGCAGTTGCACAGAAAAAGTTTTTCACCACTGTTTTATATGAAATACTTTAACTAAGTGTCGTCCAAACTTTTTGAGCTACGACACACCTTGGAGGCAAGCCATGAACAAAGTCGCACACAACATGCGACTCGCGTCATTTGCAAAAATCTCTCGCAGCTTTGACAGCACAGCTTTAACTGATTATCAGGTGATTTTTATGTTGTCGGCTTGTTCCCTTCCTCCCTTTGAACCTATGAATGTCCTAACCCACAATAGTCCAGCTCTAAGTTCCAACCAAAATCATGTCCCAAATCCCCAACCCTGTAAATTCATTGAGAACTCACAACTGCGTATGTTATTGCAAACTGATTATTATTATAAGGGCAATTCTTTGGATGAATGGAATTCTCAAAAATTCGCTTGCAATTCTTCTTTTACTTGAAAATTTGAATTCCCAAAAACCGTTAAACTTTATTTACAAATTTTGGTCAAAAAAAAATAAAATATTTTGTTAAATCTAATTTTAACATTAATTAAGTCTTAAATGGTAATAAAAAATAATCACTATTTACAAGAACAATAGCAAATTGTAGATATTTTTTTAGAAACAAGCGTAAGATGGAAAATTACAGAAAAAAATTGAAATTAATGGGAAATGAAGAAAATCTTGAAGACTATCGAGTAAGACAAAAAATTTATGATCAAAACTATAGCAATAAAATGAAAAAAACCGAATCACTTGCTGTTGAATTTAAATTGAAGCAACGAGACAATCAAAGACAATGCCGAGAGCGGAAAAGAAATATTTTGATGAATTTACAGGATACTTCTTTTCCCTCAATCTCTTCTAAATCTAAAGCTATTAGAAAGGTTGAAAAATCTCTTCCAAAAGATCCAAATAAAAAGGCAGAAGTTCTCGTCGCTGTTCTTGAAAGGAACCGCGTTGCCAATGATATTCCAATTGTTAAGAAAAACGTCAATAAACCCAGAAAAGGCTTCAAGGATGTTCAGGAACTTGTCGTAGAATTTTTTAGTTTGGATATGATTAGTCGTCAATTACCTGGCATTAAGGATTTTGTTACAGTCAAAAGTAAGGATGGATTTAAAGAAAAAGTTCAGAAAAGAGTCCTTGTCATGTCATTAACGGAAGCTCATCATGAATATAAAAAGATGTTTGAATCCAAGTCTATTTCATTTTCAAAATTTTGCTCTTTGCGTCCATCAAATGTAAGCTTGATTTCCTCGGATATTCAATTTTCATGTCTCTGTGTATACTGTGAGAATAAGAGGCTATTAATTGAAAGTCTAAATCGATATATCAATAATTTCAATTTAGAATTAAAGGATTTAAGCTACAAATTCAATTGTCATCACGATAATTTTGATTGTATATCTGGCGTGTGTAATGAATGTTCAGATTTTAATTCAACTTTAAACAATATGGTTCCACTAGAATTGCAAAATGAAAGACTGAATTATAAGGAGTGGGAAAAAGTGGATGGATACTCACAGAAAGTTTTAATATCGAATTCCACAGTACGCAATGTGATGGACAAAATTATTGAAAACATGAGCGATTTTAAATTGCATTACTACTTGAAAAAACATCAACTGCAAGTTTTTCAAAATTTAAAAAGTACACAGCCTGATGACCACGCCACAATTGTGGTGGACTATGCCGAGAATTATACCGCTAAAGTACAAAATGAGATCCAAACGGCTTACTTTGCACGAAAACAAATCAGTCTCTTCACATGTGTGGCTTACTTAGGCCAAAGTCACATCGAAAGCTTTCTGGTGGTAAATGATAATACTGTTCATAGTAAGGATCAGGTTTTTTTATACTTAAAAAAAATTTTGGCAAAATTGAAGGAAAACTATGTCATTAAACATGTAAATATGTTTTCTGATGGCTGTGCAAGTCAATTTAAAAATAGATTCAGTTTGTCTAACTTGTTGTATGCAGTCAGTGATTTTGGAGTCACTATGAATTGGAATTTCTTTCCTACTTCACATGGAAAGAGTGCAGCCGATGGAGTTGGGGGTACCGTCAAACGTGGAGTACATTATAGAGTCTTGAGTGGTTTATTTGAAGTTTATACAGCAGCTGATTTTGTAGCATGTGCTAATTCATTTGTCAAGAAAATTGATGTTTTTGAAGTCAAACAAAATGAGCTAATTGATTACCTTCCTATGCTGCAAAATCGTTGGAAAAATTATAAGGTGATTCCCGGTACTCAAAACTTTCATTTTTTTAAAGCTTCAGAAAAAACTGGCTATATTTTTGCAGCAAATTCATCACTTCTTGATGGCTTGCAAGAAATCAAATTTGTAAAAAAGAAATAAATTTTTGTCTTTGCTCATTAATTCAACGGTTATTGTTGATTCATATATTAACGGTTTTTTAATTTTCAAAATGTGTGAAGCGCTTTGCAATAATTCGATGACACAAAAAAAATTTCAAAGAATTGAAATATTTCATTAATTAAAGACTTATAGTATACAGAAAAGCAACTAAATTGTAGATTTTTGTCTGCTTTATATGTCAGTAGTAGTTATTTAATGCAAATATCAATAGTTTTTTTTAATTTTCGATTCTTCGGATGATAAAAGTGAAAAATTCCTATTTCTGTCATCGAGTTATTGATCAAAGAATCCAAATATCTTAATTAATATGGTGATTAGAAGCGAATGATAGTGAAATTAAGGTACATTTTGGATATTTGCATTAACTAAAACCATTAATTCAAAGCCTTTAATGGGAAAAACTAAAGAAATTTCAATTTTTTGTAAAAAATTTCCAAAAATTCATCCAAAGAATTGCCCATAACTCGATTTACATTCTTATTGCCTTCATGTGAGTCTTTTCTGTCTTTATATTTATTTTATGCTTATATTCAGCAGGCAATAAATCTCACTGTTGTGTGCTTGCTTGTGTTTTTACAAATTTATTTATTTCTTTTTTGGTGATGTTTTCATTTATTTTGATGATTTTATTAGGAATGAGTCTAGAAGCAAATGGGAAAGGGCATGTGGGGATGGATTGAAGGGGCTAGATCAGTGTTGTCCAAAATGTGTGCCGCGACACACATGTGTTTCGTAGAAATAACACAAGCCACATTTTGTTTGTGACTTCGGTTATGGCTTACCGCTAAGGTGTGTCGTGGCTCAAAAATTTGGACAACACTGATCTAGCCCCTTCAATCTTTCCTCACATGAAATTCCCCATTTGCTTCGAGACTTAAGTTAGATGGACATTAAGGTGAGCTTCTAAGCAGAATGACCTTCTGTAAGTCTCCCTGAAAGGCACACGGTGTCAATATGGCAATTTTCGTGTAATTTGGCGTGGTGCCACGTCAATGCCGTCCTGGACACTAGATTGACAGCCATTTTCACTCATTGTGCCTTTCGGGATCATCAAATAATTCAAAACCAGCAAACCAACCTCAAAAAAATTAAAAATTCAAAACAATCTGAAGACAAATTCCTCAAATTTGCATTCATTCGTGAAGCCTTTTCTTTGCGTCATTCAACCGACAAATTTGTTTATTTTTAAATATTTTATTGACTCGACTCTTATCTATTCAGAATTGACAATTGATTTAAATTAAAGATGAACTGCGGTTCACAGATTGAGACTTTAAGATTTAAATTGTAACAAAAAAATCCGACTAAAATAATTGACTGCATTTAGTTCGCATAAATTTGCAATTCAAATCAATCAAATCCGACACGAAACAGCGATGCGGTCTTTGAAAAAACTTCACAACCACAACAACAACAAAAAAACGCACTCGACGTTGGCTTTAAAAACTTGTCATTTTTGCGGTTGTAAATGAGAAAAAGTTTTCAGTCACATTTGAGCTCTCGACTAATCGACATCATGAGATTGACAATTTTCTTAGTTTTTGTGCTTGTTGCTGCATCATTTGCACTGTCGCCTGACTGCCCGTCGTACACACAAGTTAATACTTGCACACCGAAGTGTAAGGACGACATTGAATGTGCATCGGTTGGCGGGAAATGGTAAATTTGAGGGAATTTGGTGATTTTTGTTATCAGGGGGAGAGTAAGAGGGGGACCAGGGGTGTCCGAGACGTTTATCTTGATGGAATAAGAGTTTTAAGTCCTTCCTTATTTTTTTGGTTAAACTCTTTCAATCTTAATGTCAATACTTAAGCTTTAATTCTTATTATTCATCCACAGCTGCCCTAATAGCTGCAACACTCGCAGCTGTGTTTCAAGACAGAACAACTCAAAATATGGAACCAACAGTGGTGATAAGTGTGAGTAGAAATTAAATTAAAAACATTTTACAAAATAGGGTTTTTTTAAAAAATTCAAAAATAATAGAAAAACGAAAAAAAGTAAAAATGAAAAAAATTGAAATATTTTTTAAAAAAATGAAAAATTGAAATAATTAAAAAAATGAAAAATTGGAAAAATTAAAAAAATGAAAAATTTAAAAAATTAAAAAAACAGAAAATTGGAAAAATTAAAAAATAAATGAAAAAGTTGGAGAAAAATGATAAAAGTTAAAAAATTGAAAGAATTTGAATTTTTTTTAAAAATGAAAAAATTGAAGAAATTACAAAAATATAAAAAAAAATAAGAAAAACTAGAAAAAATATAAAAAATATGAAAAAACTTAATAATTTAAACTCAAAAACTAAAACACAATATTTTTTTTCAAACTCAGACGGCTCAAACACAGCAACTGGAGCTTACTGTGGCAACATTAAGTGCAATTCATTTGAAAAATGTGGATCTGATCCATCATCAAAGAAGCCAAAGTGTGTTAGATCTTAAAGATCTCAATTTTGTAAATAATAAATAATCTTAAAAATCCTCTGGATTTGTGCTTTAAACTACAATTTTTTTTTAAATATTCCTAGTTTTTATATCAAAAAATTAAACCTTTAAAACTTTTCGATTACTCACGGCAGCAAACTGCGACACACAAACTTCGATCGATATTGTTAACAAGATTGTTATAGTTACGAAAAATAATTTTTTCATATTTTCAATATTTTTTATGTCAAACAAAAACTTAAAAAAAACTTTTATATTTTCTATTAAAAAAATAAAACTGAAATGAAAATAAAATTACTAAAATTGGGTCTATTTATTGACAATTGTCTGGATGGAATGGGATTTAATAATTTTTTTAAAAAAAAAGGGGAATTTTTTCATGTTTTTATTCCAGCATAAAGACGTTCTGGAAGGGCTGGTGTGTTGAAAATTTGAAGTCAGTTGCAATCAATATTTTTTTGGTAGACAAGTGAGTGGTTTTGGAGGTGTGGGGAGGGATTGCTGGGTATGAGGGGGTTTGATGGAAATTATTATAATTTTGTAGACAACATAAATGCAGTTTTAAGGCTGCAGAAGATGATTTATGAGGGATTGTGGAGTTTTGAGGTTAAACTTAGCTTTTATCAATTAAACGAGCTTCAACGTTGCATTTTTGACCCTTAAAGACACCAACTTGACTTCAACAATTTAAATTATTTCAATTCTATCTTATCAAACCCCAATTGTACCCATCACACCCCCTAATCTTCTCCTACTCCCCTCAAAAATGTCAAAACAATAGCAAATCAATCAATTTAAACCTTCAAACACCAAAAAAACAACAAGAACCAGCTCAAAGGTGACGACAACCATGTTTTGCTGATTAACAAATCAGCTGAGTATAAAAACAAGTTCAAGTTGAAGAGGAAGAAGAAGAAAAAGTTTCACTTTCACTCAGGAATTCGCTCGAAGCTTAAATTGAACCAGTTCTGAAATAAAAAAAAAATATTTAATGACATTTTGGACTGGTTTGTGTGTTGCAAGGCAAAGAAAGAAGAATGAAGAAATGAGGAAAGAATGAAGAAGAGCTGATGGTTTATGACAAGCAGTGATTGTTTGTGGCTAGCTATTATTAGCATTTGGAACTGATTGAATCACATTTTGATCGTTTTTGATGTTAGTGATTAGATTTGCGACCTTTACATAGCGAGGAGAAGGATGTGGACTTTGCCACAGACAAAAGATGAAGATGACGATGGGTTTTATTGCTCCACTATGAAACGTACGGCGTCCACAAAGCATTTGAATCGCACTCGATTCAGGGCAAAAGCTGGTTTTTCCTGCAGCTTCTTGTTCTGTTGTTCCGCCTCCCGTTCAACAGTTGTACGCCAAGTAATTCTCCGTCGGCCCTTAGTCCTATCTCCTTGGACATTCCAGAAGATCACTTACCTCGCGATGTTCGTATGGTTTTTCCTTAATGTATGGCAAATCCAGTTCCATTTAAGCACGTCACAAGTGAACGGCCAATTATCTGAATTGTATGTTTTTAACCTCCCCAAGAGGTTGAACCTCCTCCAAATGAGTTCTCGTTCAACTCAGGCTGGCTATCACAAATAGCACATAGTCGTTGCGACTCTAGCATGGCACTGGATTTGATTTAAAACTGGCTACATACCACAGTGAAGCTGATTGATTAACCGACTAGTGATATTCGAGTTTATAGATCAAATTATATTCTTGCTTGCCTGTAAACAGGCGCGTAGCCAGTTTGAACCGCAGCGAGAGCACGGCCTAAAATGTAAAGCTTCCCAATTTTGTCAATATTAATATTTCAAAATCCAATTTGATTCGTAAATCCATGCAAATGTTATTGCATAGTTTTAAGGGGTTCTGCTTGGATGTTCGACTCAAATCCACTTGTTAATCTTCATTAAGTTTGATAATTTTAGAGAAAATGTAACCAAATGTCACCGACAAATCCGCTCAATATTTCATCATTTTCATAACCAAACAAAAAAAGTATCAGTAATAAAAATAATAATTTTTGCGATGTCACATTCTGGCACATTTGAGTTCATTATTTTACCTCACAAAATGCACTTTTTCAACTTTTTGCAACTTTTTTGTATGCAAAATAAAGTTTTCTTCTTTTTACCTTCACTATCAATTTCTTTTCTTCCATATTCTGAAAGTTTCAAAGTTCTTTACCTTCAACTTTTTGTGCGGATTTGAAGGCAACAAAAAAAGTTGAAGACAATTTTAAAGTTAATGATTGATGGCTGATTGGGGGTTCAAAATTTCTAAATTGTTGATTAAAAACTTTAAATGCACCTCCTGAACCCCTCCTGTGTCTACCTTAATCCTCACACCTACCCGAATCAATCTTTATTGATTCCGATTGCTTGTGACTCATCAAATTCTATAGAAAATTTATAAATAACATAAAAAAACTGTGCAGAAAATAAATCAAAAAAATTCATAAATGGAACAGAAAGCAGCAAAAAAAAGAAAGAATTGTCTGATCGATTTCAATTTTGATAAGTGGAGCCATGAGCCGTGGCTGTATTTGTTTATTGTTGAACGTGCTGCAAATCGGAGTGGGAGTGGATATATGAATGAGCTGGGCAAGGGATGGCAACAGGCAGCTCAGCTCTTGCTCAGCTCTGGCTCAGCTCTAGCTCAGCTCTAGCTCATTTGTAGCTCAGCTTTAGCTCAGCTCTAGCTCAGCTCTAGCTCAGCTCTAGCTTAGCTCTAGCTCAGCTCAAGCTCAGCTCTAGCTTAGCTCTAGCTCATCTCTAGCTCATTTTTAGCTCAGCTTTAGCTCAGCTTTAGCTCAGCTCAAGCTTAGCTCTAGTTTAGCTCTAGCTTAGCTCTAGCTCAGCTCTAGCTCAGCTCTAGCTTAGCTCTAGATCAGCTCTAGCTCAGCTCTAGCTTAGCTCTAGCGCAGCTCTAGCTCAGCTCTAGCTCATCTCTAGCTCATCTCTAGCTCATTTCTAGCTTAGCTCTAGATCAGCTCTAGCTCAGCTCTAGCTCAGCTCTAGCTCAGCTCTAGCTCAGCTCTAGCTCAGCTCTAGCTCAGCTCTAGCTCATTTTTAGCTCAGCTTTAGCTCAGCTCAAGCTCAGCTCTAGCTCAGCTCTAGCTCAGCTCTAGCTCAGTGCTAGCTCAGCTCTAGCTCAGCTCTAGCTCAGCTCTAGCTTAGCTCTAGCTTAGCTCTAGATCAGCTCTAGCTCAGCTCTAGCTTAGCTCTAGCGCAGCTCTAGCTCAGCTCTAGCTCATCTCTAGCTCATCTCTAGCTCATTTCTAGCTCAGCTTTAGCTCAGCTCTAGCTCAGCTCTAGGTTAGCTCTAGCTCAGCTCTAGCTCAGCTCTAGCTCAGCTCTAGCTCATCTCTAGCTCAGCTCTAGCTCAGTTTTTGTCTACAATTGCTCAATTTTGTTCACATTTGCTCAGTTTTGCTCAGTTTTTTTTTCAATTTTAAATTTTTCTGAAATGCCCACCCCAATGCCTCATTTCAATCGACAACTGTGTGATGTGGGAAAAGCGATTCATTTGTTTTATTTTTTTTTTCACTCAAAGCAACATAAAAAATATTTTTATGCAATTTTTTTCTCACTTTTTTTTGCTATTTTTCTCCTGTTTCAGTTTGAATCGCGAATTTTACCAGTCAAGACTGAATGAAAAGTTTTGAAATTTAAATGTGGATTTTGTTTGTGGACTTTTTGTTGAGATGATTTTGTGGTGCTAGGATGTGGATATGTGGATTAAGAAGTGAAATTCTGTAGTTTTGAATGCAGGAAGCATTTGGGAGATAAATTTGAAATTTATTAAGTGCTAAGAACGGCTTAATTTGAAGAAGTTGAATATATTGAGCATAAATATGAAATTATGTAATTTTGAGGAATGAAAAATTGCAAATTAGTGTCAAAATATGAAAAATAATTGTGAATTTGAACTAAAAATGGATACATTAGTTCCCACGCAGCTAAGTAAGTAAAAATAATTCGAAATAATTTTTTTCTAGCTCCATTGATCCCTTAACAGCCCCATTTTAAGTCAACCTTAACAACATCAAAAAGTTACCTTCAACAATCCAGCTCACATCCTACACACATCGCATGCCAAGAAAGAAAATAAAAAAAGCCACAAAAAAACTTCACCAAAGCCGTCAATTTGCGGCAATTATTCAATCAATTCCTTCAGAACTATTTTTTTCACCTTTTCACGTACGCGACTCAAATAAATGTCATGATTATGTGTACAGGCCCATTTATTTACATTGTTTAACAAGATCGCATGCATGAATGGCATAAAGCATGAAATGAGAACATTTGTAAGGTACAAATTATGGGCTGATGTGTGTGCTGTATAAAGGCAGTCATGCAAATTGGATTTGATTTGATTTTAACGAGGCTTTGTCATTTATTTGTGGTTTTTTGGTGGGGGTGGGAGGGGGGGTGGATTTATGAGATTTGGTTGTCAGGAGGGGGAAGGGAAAGGGATTTATGACTGATAATTGATTAAAATTGAGCAGCTAAGGTTTGTTGATTTTGTTCATTTTTATGGGAAATGTTTTTTTTTTTTTGGAAATTAATTTGAATGCAGGCAAAGCCCAGATTGACCTCACTAAGCACGCATACCTAAGCTGTCCACTTGTGCACTGAGCAGGACACTCCCGCTTTTTGAACCTATTTTTTCTTGGAAAATGCTTGAAAATCTGTCACGCTTATTCAAAGCTGAGATTAGTCTATATACCGAATTTTTACCCAAAAATCGGCAAAGACAAACGGACAGGCTACATATACCACAACTTTGTTTGTTCCTTAATTATCATGACATGATGTTGCATGTTATTTAGTAGTAAATAATGAATAATAAGAAGGAATTGAGCATAAAAACGGGAGGGATTAAAAGTTAAACTCGAGAGATTTTTTTTGCATTTCTTTCCTACTTTGTATATTTAATGCAGGGCTGATAAACCTTTGACTGGTGAGATCATAAATTTTCAATTGTATTTTGAAAAATTCTATTTATTTAAAGCTTGAAATCTAAAAATGTCAGGTTAAGCATACCTGGAATCTATCTGATTCTTGATAAATGAATTAGGGTAAAGAAAATATTTTCACAATTTGTTAACTTTAGCTACGAAAAGTCATACAAATCAGAAAATAAAAAGGAAAACTTTAAGCATGAAATTATTTGAGCATGACAAAGGAAGAAGAAAATTAAAGCTTGTTGTTTTGACTTTTTAGAGTTGCCAGATTAACTTTTTTTTGTCAAAATCAAAAAAATTAAAAAACTTATTCAGAAAAATTAAAGAAATCAAAAGTTCCGAAAAAAGTCAAAAACTATAAAATATTTATTTAAAATTTTTCCAAAAAAGCAACAAAAAAGTTCATAAAATATTCAATCTGGCAACCCCAAAAATAACATGATTAAAGCGATTAAACAATAAAAATAATATTTCTTCTTTTTTTATAATAAAAACTTTTTTCATGTTTTCTTCGCCTTTTTTTTTTGTTCCTTTCGACAACTTTTCATAATTTTTTTTTATTTTATTTCATTTTCCTTCTAATAATAAAAGAAAAATTGCTGTCTTTTCTGCGTCTTTTTATTATTTTTCGCTGACTTCTTTTTTCAGTCGTCTAATTTAATCAGTTTGTGTTGGGATTTTGAAGCGAATAGAAGTTCAAGATAGCTTAATTCAATTAAAAATAGATAATTGGTTGAAACAAAAAAGCTGAAAAAATTTGAAAATTTGAAAAAATAGAAAAAAAATTAAGAAAATAAAAATTCAAAAATAAATCTTTTTTTAAAAAATAAAAAATTTAAAAATCAAAAATCTATAAAATTTTAAAAGTTGAAAAATATTAATAAACTGTGAAACTCAAATTTAAAAAATATCTTGAAGGAATTTAATCAACGGAAAATAGTCAATTTTGTAAGAAAATATGTTATTCTTAAGTTTAAAAATTAAACTAAAATTCAATTACTTTATACGCCCTAAACTTAATAAAACATCCAAATTTAACCACAAAAACCAATCCACATTTAAAGTTCAAATCTTTTTTTCTAACCCCCAGTGTCCCCACAACCCCACTAAATCCCCACCAAGATTAACAATGAAAGAAACCAAAACGAGTCAAAGAAAAAGTCAAAGAAGAAAAAAATGTCGCGAAAAGGACGAAATAAGAAAAATCCCAACGATGAAATTGAGGCAATGAGGAAAATTTTCTGCGATGAGGCGTCAAATCAGATGAAAATGAGGAACTTCGCGAAGGCTGTGATTGGGTATAATCAGGTAAGTTGCTTAATTCTTATGCTTTAATTTTGTTTTACTATTCCGGATATTTTGACTGACTTTGTGCCAGATTTTGGCTGACTTTGTGCCAGAATTTTGGCTAAATTTGTGCCAGAATTTTGTAAGACGATTTTGTGCTAGATTTCTGGCTAGATTTGTGCCAGATTTTTTCCTGGATTTTTTCTAGATTTCTGGCATACTTTGTGCCAGATTCATAGTTGACTTTGTGCCAGATTCATAGTTGACTTTGTGCAAGTTGTTTTTTGGGCTTCCTTAGCGCCAGATTTTTAATTCGCTTTTTGTCAGATGCTTAGAAAACATTTTTGCTTGAGCATTACCTTGATTACCCTAGAAACCATCAAAAACCAACAACCAAACACCAACATTCCATCGAATTTCCTTCAAACCATCCAATCATCAACCAGCGCCATCTGTATCTCAAGCATCAAGTTCAAGACAACGATCGTCATAGCAATTGACATGCATTCTCGTTACATTAATTTGTTTATTTTTCAACCAACTGTTGATGGTTGTTTCTGTGTGTCTTGTTAATTATTGTTGAATTTTACAACCACAAGTTCCAATATTGAGCTTATTTCGACAATTCTTAAATCAGTCAAGCTAGCTTCCATCCACTTAACCCTCAGCAAACATCAAAAACTCCCCAAGAACTCAAATATAACAAATATACCAAAACTCAAACCCAAAAAATGAACTACTTTAACGAAGAGATGCTTCAGTCCTATGTCCGAGGACCAAACCTAGACGAAGAAGAACCATCTCGACTCTATCAACAACCACAACCAAAAAAGGAAGAACCAGAAGTCAAGGAACCCAAAAAAGAAAAGCAACCAAAAGAACGTCGAGAATCCTTCACACCAACTTGGATGCGACGTAAGAACATCATTGTAATTGAACAGAGGAAGTTCAAGTCTGTTGCATTGGCTATTGATGAATGTTATTGTGACAAGGATCGAGCAGCTGCTGTAAGTTTTGGGTATATGGACATCAAGTATGATTTGAAGCTCAAGCAAACGTCTGAGAAGCAAAAGACAAGAATTATGCCTGACGATACAGATGCGATGGCATTTTTGATGCTTGGAATGAGGGAGATTAAGTATAATAATTTGGATAATGGTGTTAGGTTCCTTAGTAAGGTTAGGCAATGGGTTCCAGAAGAGATTCTACAAGCAGGTTCAACGAATTTTATGATTGTTTACTTTCAGGCTATCGAGATGTCACCGAACGACCAAGGCGCACTCATCGCAAGATCAAAATGCTATCTACAACTAGGCGAGCCAGAGAAGGCACTGCTGGATGCAGAAACAGCACTTGAGATTGACAAGAACAGCATTCGAGCAATCTATCAGAAAGCTGAAGCACTTTACTATCTTGGGAAGTTTGAGCACAGCTTGATGTTCTTCCATCGTGGTCTGAGATTGAGACCTGAGTTGAATAACTTTAGATTAGGTGAGTTGGAGTGACTTGGAGAAGTCTGTGATTGTACTCAAACTTTCATTCCATTTCCAGGCGTTCAAAAGACCCAAGAAGCCATTGAGAACACCATCGGCGGTTGTCAACACAAACTTGAACCACGACAGCTTGCAGCTCTCCAAAAATCTGACAAACATCCAACAATTCCACGCTCATTATCGCCAGCTTCCAGCACAAACACAAGAAAAACTCCAAAAGCACCAATCAGCCGAGAAGTTTATGAACGCAGACAATCCAGGAAGCTTCTCGGTGAGCTGTTTGTGGATAAACAATATTTGGAAAACTTACTTAAACATCCAGACTTGAAACGTGCAGACACAAAAACTGAAAATGTTTCTGGATATGCGAAAGATGCAATTGCATTTTTAAACAATCGACAGGAATTTTGGAGGCAACAGAAGCCAACGAATATTTTGTCTAGTGGAAAGGCGATTCATGAGACGATTCCTCAAATGTCTGCGAATACAGCTTGGAGAATTTAAGTTGGGATTTGGGTGGGCAGCTGTGATTTGGAGGGGAACGGCCATAAATATTTAAAAGTTCAGCAATCCTGTGCCTGTAACAGGTGACCTGTATCGCAACTCTGGTTTATAGATTGAAAATTAGGATTTTAACTTAATAGGGTTGAGTAGATTATGAAAGAAAAATGAAGGGTTGGCCGTAAAAATGGGGAATATTTTTATTAAGTTTTAGATTGAAATTGTGCGTTGAAAATAGATTAGTTGACTAGTTTGTAGATCTTAGATGCTTATATTAAAAAAATGACAAGCAACTTAACTTTAGAATCAATAAAAATGATAGAAAAAATTAAATTCATTATTTTTCAACAAAAAATCTTCGTAACTGCCCTCAAAAATTCAAATTAAAATCTCCAAAGATCCACAAGATGTCGCCACATTCCACTCAACCTACATACTTCACAAGACAAACCAGCAATCAGCATTACATATAAATTCAATAAAGGAATTTCTCTTTAACAAAAACAATATATTCATACGTGAAAATTTTTTATATATTTTAATATTTAAAAAACCCTGAAGGTTGAACACCTTTGTGGGAATATTCACACCGTATGTTAATAAAACATCAATTTTTGTGTGGTTCTTTAGCTAACTGCGGGGACCTAATTGAGACTTTAAAAACAAAATAATATGTTGGATGCGATTTGAAGTTGTGCTGGTTTGAGTTGGAAAAGAATTAAGTTAAAGACACAAGGTTGACTGTTGGTCCTGTTCATACTTTGGAATTGTATTGAGACAAGCTTGCTTCTAAAGAACCTTTATCATGCATTCAAACTCTGTGTTTTAGTTCGCTATATTGTAACAGCATTGCTAAAGTCAATTTGTCCATAGCTAGTTTCGTCAAAACAGAATTTGGAACCCCTGGAACCTCCAAAACACCTGGGCACCATGGAACCTACGGAACCTATGGAACCCCTGGAACCTCTGGAACCCATAGAATCTATTGAAACTCTGAAACCCCTGGAACCCATAGAACCTCTGGAACCTCTGGAACCTCTGGAACCCTTGAAACCCCTGGAACTCCATGATCACATGACTTCACTTAAAAGTCAAAATTTTAAATTTTTAAAAACACTTTTTTATTCTTATCAATTTTTCAATAAACCAAAATATTGTGATTAGCCAGCCTTGCAGCTTGTTGACACTCCATTGTAGCTGATTTGTCGTTGTGATGCAAGCTCAAGTTGTGGTCAATTTTCCGGTATCCTTTCAGTTTCACTTCCTCTTCGTTTTCAGGGTTGAAGCAGAATTTTACTTTTTTTCGTTCAGGTTGTTGTTCCACTTTCGCGATGTTCCATGATTTTCGACGGTTGAGGATGCATAGGAACATCCAGCACATTGTGGTCTTTTAGGTTTGAGTTGGTGCTTTGAGTTTTGTAAATGTTCTGGATGTTTTGTAACTGCTGAAGCTTGTTTTTTAATCAATATGAGCTATTCTAACCAAAATTTGACAATTTTTAACAATTTTGACTTCAATACCCACCAAAACAACTCACTTTGATGCCTCCAAATGAACTGAACTGAAAAAAAGCACTCAAACTTAAACTTGACATTGCAAAATCTTTCCAAATGTGTCAGACTTTTTACAGCATTTTAATTAAATCATTGCGAAAAATGTTCATTTTTCTTTTGCATTTCCTGAGTGGGGCGTTCCTTAACGAGAGCTATAAAACTGAAATTATGTGTTTTTCAACTCTATTATGAGCTAAGCGATGATCAACTGGAACATGAGGAATTAAATTTAAGGGAATTTTGAATGATTTTATTGAATTTTAAGGCTTTTTATTACAGAAATGAACTTAAAAGGACCTAAATGCGATGAACTACATCAATATCAAGTTAATTCCAACATCCTGCACAAGACATGCCATTGTATAGACTTAGCATGTTGCGTACAGCTTCCAAATGAAGCTTAATGTCTTCGTAAGGTAAGAATATTCCTTAAGGTACCTTAAAAATTGATTATCATATCCTGTTAGTTAAGTTTCCACATGTGGCCACATCCAGCCCCACACTCCTCTTATCCCAGACCCCACACATCCCCACAGACCACAATTTACCCCACCAGATCCCCAAAATACCCTCAAACAATTCACACATCCTGCATAAACCGATGACTCCTTCCAGCAAAAAAAGTCACTTCCTCAGTTTTATTTCTCATCGGCTTCATCGTCTGTCCAAACTTCCTGACTCTCTGATTGTTGACTTGACCACCCTTGACTCTTGTTGACTGTGTCCTTAACCGCTTCTCATCAAATCTTGTCAACAATTTATCGCACTTATCTAAGTCAAATTGGACGCAATTGACATCGTCAACTTTCAGCTCCTTAAGCATTTCAGTATGCAGCTTTTCAACACAAGATGATGAAAGCTTCCTGGCATCCTCTCGTGACTTAACAGTCAATGTCTGTGGCTCAAGATGAATCTCATCGGAACTTGCTAAATATTTTTTCAAATACTTTAAAAGTATTCGGAGCAAGTGGAACAAAGTGAATATTCCAATGAAGGTTGCAGCTATAAGAACTCCAACTGTGAATGCCAGCGAGTTAGAAGGCTTTGGATGTGGATCGTCCATCGGATGGTGCTTGTTGCTTGGTGGTGGCTTGTGGAATTTTTTGGGAGTTGATCGGGAAATTTTTGAGGTTTTTTTTTGATGTGGTTGGGAAGGTGTTGGTGATTTTGGCGGGAAAAATAAATGTAGGCAGGAATAGCACTAACTATTTCGGAAATTAACTGTGTACACAATAAACTGACAACTTGCGACTCTATCCTTCAACTAAAACCTCAAAAATGAAATAAAAAATTCCAAAAATTTTATTTAAAATTCCAAAAAATTAACTGACAATAAATTTTCAAAATATTTTCACACATCACAGGTTGCCAACATCCCTTTCATCCCTCATCGTCCTCAGCATCTCGTCCATTTGCATCATCAATCTCTTCACATCTTTCTCAATTGACTCAATTTTCTCGCCAATGTCTTCATAATTTTTGTCCTTTTTCTTAATTATTGCAATTAATTGTTCATAGTTCTCGTCATCAAGTGAGTAGGACTTTACAGCTCCGTTCTTCTTCCTTAAAATTGGTTCTTGGTTTTTATTTAATTTATAGAAAATTGCTTTGTATTTTAAATCGATCCACAAGCTGTCCATTTTATGTAGGAACGGGTAGCGATTCACGATAAAAGTTAGGATCTTTTTTGCTGTTCTTTTGATAAAGTTTAAGTGCTGATCGTTGTCGTCGAGGTTGTTCTTTTCAATGTCTCGTGGAGATCTGTGCTGGTTTGTGTTTTTGGTTCCACTGAAATCAAATAAAGGTTAAGTTTAAAAAATGGATATGTTCAGTTTCGAAAGAATACGTTCAGTTTAGAGGAATAAGTTCAGTTTCAAATTATTAATTCTGTTTTATAAGGATAATCTCAGATGCATAGGGATAACATTAGTTTTAAAGGGATGAGTTCAGTTTCAAAACGATTAGTTCTGTTTCTTATTCCTAATTCTTTTTAAAAGGATAAATTCAGTTTCATACGTGTCAGAAGGCTGAAATCAGTTTCAAATGATGAGTTCAGTTTCAAAAGAATTAGTTCAGTTTCAAGGGATAAGTTCAGATTCAAATTCCTAATTCATTTTTATAAGGATAAACTCAGATCTATAAGGATAAAATTAGTTTAAAAGGATGAGTTCCGTTTCAAGGGATAAGTTCAGTTTCGAATTCCCAATTTGGTTTTATAAGGATAAACTTAGCATCATAAGGATAAAATTAGTTTCAATGGGATGAGTTCAGTTTTAAAAGGATAAGTTCAGTTTTTAATTCCTAATTCTGTTTTAAAAGGATCAATTCAGTTTCATAAGTTTCAGAAGGGCAAATTCAGTTTCAAAAAGAATATGTTCAGTTTCTAATTCCTAATTCAGTTTTATAAGAACAAAGTTTCAAAGGGATGAGTTCAGTTTTAAAACGATTCGTTCAGTTTCAAATTTCTAATTCTGTTTGATGATAAATTCAGTTTTAAATGATGAGCTCAGTTTCAAAAGAATAAGTTCAGTTTTAAGGGATACGTTCAGTTTCAAATTCTTAATTCAGTTTTATAACGATAAACTCAGTCTCATAAGGATAAAATTAGTTTCAAAGGATGAGTTCAGTTTCAAAAGAATTAGTTCAGTTTCAAGGGATAAGTTCAGATTCAAATCCCTAATTAAGTTTTATAAAAATTAACTTAGTGTCATAAGGATAAAATTAGTTTCAAATGGATGAGTTCAGTTTCAAAACGATAAGTTCAGTTTTAACAGGAATAAGTTCAGTTTTTAATTCAGAAATTCAGTATCCAAAAAATGAGTTTTTTCACAATCGGATAAGTTCAGTTCTAAAAGGATAAGTTCAGTTGGCAAACTCACCAAATCTTCCAGTACAAATTACATAAAATCTTCTCACAATCAGCAGTCGTCCTTATCCTCTGCTTCAAATTCAAAAACTCAGCATCATCCTTCAGCTTCTGAATGTCACTAATAGCCAAACCATTGATCAAGTTATAAAGTATAAAAGCAGTCAGCACAAAGCACAAGAACAAGATCTGCTTCCAAATTGAGTCAAGCTTAAAAGGTTCGACTGAAAAGTCCCCAGCAAACATCAAAATTGTCTTAATAAAGGACGTAAATGGATTCTCAAAGTTCTTAAAGACAGCTTCATTTGCCTGCATTGTTGCTGTGTCATTGTATGATTGATTACTCGAGTGCTTAATAGGCTTCAAGATAGCATAAAATGAGAATGTAAAAGCCAAAATGATCAGAATGAAGATTGTAAAGAACTTCAGGAACGTGATCGTGACTTCCTTCAGCATGAACATATAAATAGACAACGATGAGTACGGAAGGATGCTAAGCAGCTCAATAGCACCAAAAAGAATAATAAAAGCTGACGAGACTTGATACGAATGAAAGTTATGAGTCACAAGAGCCATAAGCAGCCACCAGGACGAGAAGATCATCAGCATTTCCAGCTTGTTGCTTTTCTTCTTAAAATATTCAAGTTTGCTGTCAATAATCCAAAAGAACTGAATCGATTCACGGATAGTCAGATAGAATGTGGCAACAGCAGCAGGACTTAAGATCCTCAACATGTCAGTGTCATCCGAAAGATCGTAATGGACGAAAAGGAGCATAAATGGAAAGACATAAAATATGCAGAACATGTAAAGATTCAAATTGTAAATCTGTGAAAATTTGTGTGATTTAAGGTTGATAAAAGTAGACAGCAGTGGATGTGTAATCAAGTGTCGTAGCCTGTCACTCTCAAGAATCCACTCGAGTGGCCTCATTCCAGCTGAAAAGATTAAACTTCCATTCTCAGATTGATAATTTTTCATGACAATTGGTCGAATGTCTGGCGATATAAGGAACGTGTAGTCAAGCTGGATCCCAACATTAAGTTCATCTCGATTTACGCCATTGGCTGGTGCCATTGTGACACAAGAGTCTAGAAATTGCTCGAAAACTTTAGCATTAAACCAATGTCCATCCTTTGCTGATTCATCCTCATACCCAAGGTAGTAGCCGCTTTCAAGGAGCTTCAGCATTGATATTTCATTAGATATTGAAAAGTCAAGAGTTGTTTGTGGACGTTGTGGGTCGATGGATTGACAGCTGATCAGGATGTGCATGGCTTTCCTCATTCCTGTGTCTAGTGCCAATGTCAAGAGGATGTTTGTATCCTCACGGATTGTCAATGTGAAATTCTCATTATTAATTGAGTTCTGCCTTAAATAATCAAGATATTCAGGAAATGCATCCTCAAAGTCATCCTCATCATGTTCCTTTAAGGACAAGAAAAGTTTAAAAAATGGTGAAATTTCACAAAAGGCATTGCGGTAGTAATGATAGTCCTTGGAATTGACTTTCCAAAATTTGATCAAAATTCTCAATAAATTATTTTGTGTTGGACCTTCAGGCATGCTTAGGACAGCATCAATCCTCACTTCCCTCCGGATATCACAAATTTCTTTCATTTCCTTCAAAATCTCATTCAAAATTATCAAGCAAATGTCAACCAGTGCCTCGTCTGCCTGCATTTTTGAATAAATTTTACTAAAAATTGAAATTCCCGATTTTTTGGCATAAATTTCATTTTTAATTTTTAAAAAATAATTTTTGTCGCTTCTCATTTCGTCACTAAGATCGTGGATTAAAAATGTAAATAAATTCATGTCGTCGCCACTTTCAATCACAAAGTCCATAAAGCACATGCCTTTATCATTGACAGCATAAAGTGCGACTGGATCTCGCCAAAAATCACATTCAGTCCAAATAAATGAAATAAATTCATGACTGTCTGGTTCCTTCATGATTCTCTCAATCAAACTTAGTTCCTCATTATTTTTACGATAACAAAGAATTCGCTGGGAAATTTGATTATTTAAATTAATTGTTCTCGTCTTGTTTTTGTTGTTTTTTTCCTCCATACTTAATTCATCGATGCTTGCTGTTGTGCTGATGCTCGTGCATGTGCTGGTGCTTGTGTTTGTACTTGTGCTGTTCCGGAAGAAGTTGAAGCGTTTCGCTCGGAGGCTGTCGTAACTTTTTGGATCGTAGATTGAGGATTGTGATGGAATGAGTGCTAAGGACTTGCGGATTGGACGCTGGAGGAGCATTTTGAATTTTTCGAGGTTGCGGCATGAGAAAGCTTCGCTGAGCTTTTTCTGGTGGGAGAAAAATTTCGGATTAGTGGTTTAATGATGAGGATGAAGATGTCTGAAAGGGATATCCGGATTCTAGAGACACGTGGACGCTGGTAGACCTAGAAACCAGGCAATAGACCTTACCAGCAACAGTTTCTCTTCAGCATCTATATTTTTGACACAATAAACACTGTCACAGATGAATGCCAAGTTATTCATTTCTTTCATGTTGATTTGTGGATTTTTCTCTGGAATCTTCAATTTTTTAACAGTTCTTGAGATTTTTTAACAATTTTTCAGCTTGTTTTCGGCTAGTTTGTAACTTTTTCACTTATTTTTGTTTTTTACAATTTTTTTTATAATTTTTCTAGCTTTCAAATTTAAAAACAATTCAAATTTTGTTTCAATTTTTCAAACTAGTTTCAAGTTTTCTTATTTTTTTCAATTTTTCAATTTTACAAGTTTTTCAACGTTTTATATTTTTTGACTTATTTTGATTATTTTGACTTTTTTTTTAAATATTTTAATTTTTTCTACTTTTAAATTCTCATTTTTTTCAATATTTTTTACACTTTTCAACTTGCTTCGAATTGTGATTTTTTTGGATTATTTTTTTTAATTTATTGACTTTTTAAATTAATGTTTTTCACTTGTTTGATTCTCAATTTAATATTGATCTTCAGAATTAGAATAACTTTGAATATTTTTCAATTTTATTATTTTATTAAAATCTTTAATTTTAAATTCACAAACTTATTAAGATAGTTTTTTTTACTTTTTTTCTTTTTTTCTTTTTTACTTTTTTTCTTTTTTATTTTTTTATTTTTTTTTAATTTTTCACTTTTTTACTTTTTTTTTAATTTTTTCTCTTTATTATTTTTTTTTCTCTTTTTTAATTTTTTACTACGTTTTTCTTAACTTGCTTTCTTATCTGTTTGATTGTCCGCAAAATTTCGTACTTTTGTAATCGATTTTTCGACCACTTCTTTTTCTTTTTTAATTTTTTTACTTTTTATAATTTTTTTATATTTTCGCTTTTTTCACTTTTATCTCTTTTTTTTTACTTTTTTCACTGTTCTTCCCTTTTCTATTTTGAGATGTTAACCCTTCCAATCACCGCAAACAACTGACTCAAATCAATCAAAATTCATCAGACTTAAACTCAATCAATTTGTGCTTTTCCTATAATTATTGAAATCTAATCGATTAAGAAGAGAATGTTTTCCCACAAATTACATGAAATTAGAATGAATCGGAGCAGCTTACGATACGTGCTCATTAAAAATGCGCATTTATTAATCTGGATTTGAATTTTATTAAGAAATTGATTTGATTTTGAGGTTCACGTGAGGAAATTCGGAAGATTTTTGATGAATTTATAGAATGTGATCCTGTTAAATGAGACAGTGTTTCCCCTGGTTTTAGTAATTGGCTAGATGCATCCAGCTTCAGGCTTTATCTAGAGGAAGCTATTATTCATAATTGATCAGTAAGACCACCGAAGTAAGTAAGTAAAGTTGGACATGAGGACATATATTTTAACTTATGGATAAGATAACTGTGTAGTGCTAGGATGAAGTCATGTCCCATCGATTTGGGAATGCATTTTTGACCCTAATCAATTATAAAGCTAGCAGATGTCAACTCTTGTCCAAAGGATGCATCCAAACCTCTCAAAATGAACCTGATTCACATCTTACTCACTTACTGAACTCTTTTAGTCGTTTCATTCTCTCAGTTCCTTATAATCCTCGCCTAGCAGCATCAAATCTCCAAATTCAATCAACCATAAAAAATTCCCATCAATTCTGACATAAAAATTAAAGAATTTCAACAATTTTTCTCACAAAAGTTTCCGAGAATCCCACAAAAAATAGATTTTCACATCTGCAATTGCCTTAATGACGTCAAAAGCTGTAAAATTGTAATCGAATTTAAATTTATTCATAAATTAATTGAAAGTTGAACTGCCGATGTTGATAATAACATGTGAAATACTTTTAATTATAACACTTGAGGTGTTTAATTGCTTCATTTTGTTCACATTAATCAAGAATATTTAAAAGTGTTGATGGATAGACCGGATTATTATGCAATTTTGCTATGTAAAGCCTGTTGTGTGCAATTGTGGGAGGACTTTGATGATCATGTGCTAGGTCAGTGTTGTCCAAACTGTGTGCTGCGGCACACTGGTGTGTCGTTGAAAATGTTTGGTAATGACTTGAGCCACATTTGCGTAAGCCATGAGCCGAGAAGGTGTGCCGTGGTTCAAAAACTTTGGACAACACTGTTCTAGGTAATGTAGAGATCCAGAAGGTCCAGAAGATCCAGATCCAGAGGCGTATGGTGGATATCATGTCGTATGAATTGTTAATTTAGGTACGATAGATAATAGTTAAGTTTTACCACTAGTACGGAACTGTTTCATACTTATTATCTCAAACCTGTTCACATTTGATGCTAGAGATCGGCATTAGCTATCAAGTTGCTGTATTGACTTCATCATTGTCTCTTCTTGTTGGAGTTCTCAGTTTGTACCAATAAAAAATTCTTAAGAACAACCCAGAATAGCACAAGTGGGTTAATCTAATATAAATCCGGCGCAAAGCTATCATGACTCTGGCATAATACTAGCTTCAAGTTAAATCCAGAGTCACACCGGCTTGGTGCTGGATTTCTGATAGATTAATTGTGTGAAATTGAATAGCAGTGCCTCCCGCTGAAAGGCTGGGCACTTCACACATTATTATAAACCGACTTTATTATAATTCGGGAGCCTGAAAAAGATTCAAAAGTTTGAAGTTCAAGAATCATGAAGTTTGCATCAGCATAAGGACATTAACCTTTCTGTAGCTTCAAGTCCTCTTTATTTCTTATGTACAGAACTAATTCCAGCTTCCAAAGAGCTCTAACCCATCGAGAAATAATGCTAATAAGCAGTCGTAAGTGTAAGTTTGATTAGATTTAATTAATATGCATTTACTGAATGAATAGTCTTCTAATAAGATGTTTATGGAGCATTTAAAGAGAAATTTAGAAGCTATATTTAGAATTTAAATTATGCAAATTAGCAACCGTGGAAGTAGCATTTGTATTGATTAAATGGAGCTGGATGAACTGAGGTTAAATTGGAATTAATTCGTAATAACTTTCAAAATACAAGAAAAATGTTGGAACACTGAAAATGAAATACTTTTTGAGACCCGGACTAGGATTGAAGTCGTGACCTTTAAGTTGGAAAATTTTGACATTAAAAAATATTTTGAAAAAAGTTTGAAAAATCTTTTTAAAAAAATTTCACCAAAAAAAATTGGCTGAATTCATAAATCGGAATTGCCAGAACTTTGGCAGTCTCTTTTTATTCTTAATTCTAATAAATTTCGAACGACGAAATGTAAGGAAAAACCGGTGAAGAACACCAGCCTGCCTGCTACTTTTATTAAGCTCTCAACTGCGCTTACACCGCTTGTGTTTCGCAGGTAGTGCAATGAAAGTAACAAGCTATGGAAATAATCTGACTCGTTAGACTATGCATCCTTCTGGAAGAAGAATGCATTAATGAGCAGTATTTAGAATTTAGACTACCAAGTGTCATATTTGGCTAAAGTGCAATATAAGCTAAGCGCATGTTGGACATTGTTCTTGTGAAGTATATCTTTGGATTCATTTTGGAATGGAATGGAAAGTGGATTGTTGGAATTGAGGAGAATTTGGAACATTTTGAGGGGAAGTTTTGATAAGATTGGATGACTACCTGTCAGATTTTGATGAAAATGATTTAATTTTATAGTTTTAGGAGGCATGACAGGTAGCATGGCAGGTACAACAGTTTATACATGATACATGATGAGTTTCTGACTGCTCAGAGTGTTATGAATGATTGTGTGGACATTGTGTCATCTGGAATGGGCTAAATCGAGGCAATGGGGCCGTTATCAAGCCATGCAGTGGGTTTGGTGCTTCTAATGAGTGAGTTTTACTTCTTAGAAGAGAATCTAACCTAATCTGACCTCTTATCACCATAAACTCATCAATTTTGGCATGTATCTACTATTAATATGCATTAGTACTGAATATGATGAGCTAAGAGCTCGTTAACATAATCAGCTATAGAAGTCATTGAGCCGTAGTCAGCCATAGCCCTTATATACTCTCAAAGTAGCTCAATACTGCTCAAAAACCATCAAAACTCAGTTAAATCTCCAAAAATCCCATCATAATCATTACATATTCTCCTTTACTTCCAACAAACTCGACACATCCACAAAATGTCCAACAAAAAGCAACTGACACATATTTGCACTCAAAATACATTCATTCATGCTGTAAAACACATCAGTTGTTGACCAAACAAGCAGCAAAAAGAAGAAGACCCCAAAAGAGAACTGGAAAAAAAATATATTAAGTAACACAGGCACAACGGTAAGTGCTATGAAGTCACAATTGAAAGTGAAATTAGAAACACGTGAGAGATGTGAATGAAAAAAAAATATGGTAAAAAAGTGAAAGTAAATCATGAAAGATTCAATTGAGATTAAATTCACGTTTCTTTGCATGTTTAGATGTTAAAGTTTATGTTGATGCTGACCTGCATTATGGGATGTGGAAGTTAATGGAAGTAATTTTTATAATTATTTTTAATTTTTTCAATTTCATATGGATCTATTAGGTGGATAAGTAAACTAATTTTGAGGTTATGAAAAGCAAGTTTAGGTAATAAGCTACAGGAACAAAAAGACTTGCATCCAAAATTTGTGAATTAATCACCAAACCCTAGACCACCTCCAAACATGCTCAATTCTTCACATCAATTATCCAACAACATGCCCATTCCATGTTTTTAATTTCCTTAATGAGCATCTCTAATAGACACTCGATCGTTTCCATACAAACATGCCCAACTTGATCAACTTTCTCAAAAATAATTTTCTTCTTCTCTCAATTTAAGCGCCAAACGCAGAGTGTATTAATAATTACATAAAACATGAAAAAGAGACATAACTATTACAATTTGGAACTGATCATGTGACACAATGCATTATTTTTGGGAGGTTTATTTTTTTAAATTTTAGCTATGGTTCTTCCATGACTTGCTATAATTCTGCCATATTTTGCTATAATTCTACCATATTTTGCTATAATTCTGCCCTGCCTTGCTATAATTCTGCCATATTTTGCTATAATTCTGCCATATTTTGCTATAATTCTGCCATATTTTGCTATAATTCTGCCATAACCTGCTATAATTATTTAATTGATCCAAAAATTCTGAAGTTCTCAAAGAACGAGCAAAATTAATTTTAAAACCCAATATCAAGTTTAGAAACATCCACAAAATTACCACATTACGCACTACAATTTTTCCATTTAGACCAAGAATTTGCACCACACATAATGCACTACGCACCAAGTCTAGCTGCCTCACACGCAGTCCCAATTAAAATCTCAAATGAGGAAAAATGCGCAGAAAAGATTACAAAATTAGAAAAAAATGTGTCAATCGATAATTATGGCTGGCAATAAAATTCTTCATTTTTTTTTAAAGAAATTGCAAGCATGTCTTAATGGTCTACTGAGTGATATAACAACAGGTGGATATGTTATGCGAATAATTCACTTTCGTTTGAATTTAGTTTTGATGAATATTCATCACGAATGAGTTGGTTTGGTCTATAGATGCATGTTTGGTTTTAATTATTTTGCAAAATTATTATTTTAATTATTTTAGACACATTAGAGTTAATCCAGTACATGAACATCATTTTTATAATTTTTAAAAGCTACAACGAACCTAACAATGACCTAAATTGCAACAAAATACAATGAAAAAGAAATTTTTGAAGCAGCTACAACAAAAGCGAAGGAAATTAAATCATTTGAGTGAATATGGAAGTAAATTTTATGACGTCAATTAAGTAAAGCTGCTGCGGTGCGGTGCACTGACTGAAAAGTAAAAAACCTTTGAATAAAAATAAGAGCACTGAAATAAATGATTTTGGATGTGAAAGTTGAAGTTTTGGGTGTTTTTAACCTTTGTTGGTGTTATTAATGCAGTACTGAGATTTCTATTGGGCCAAATATAAACTTAGTTTGGTTTAGTGTCAAGCAAGCTTAATACTAGTGTCAAGCTAGCTCAAAACTAGTGTCAAGCTAGCTCAAAGCTGGTGTCAAACTAGTGTCAAGCTAGTTCAAAACTAGTGTCGAGCTAGTTCAAAGCTAGTGTCAAGCTAGTTCAAAGCTAGTGCCAAACTAGTTCAATACTAGTGTCAAGCTAGTTCAAAGCTAGTGTCGAGCTAGTTCAAAGCTAGTGTCAAGCTAGCTCAAAGCTGGTGTCAAACTAGTTCAATACTAGTGTCAAGCTAGTTCAAAGCTAGTGTCGAGCTAGTTCAAAGCTAGTGTCAAGCTAGCTCAAAACTAGTGCAAAGCTAGCTCAATACTAGTGTCGAGCTAGTTCAAAGCTAGTGTCGAGCTAGTTCAAAGCTAGTGTCAAGCTAGCTCAAAACTAGTGCCAAGCTAGCTCAAAGCTGGTGTTAAACTAGTGTCAAGCTAGTTCAAAGCTAGTGTCGAGCTAGTTCAAAGCTAGTGTCAAGCTAGCTCAAAACTAGTGCCAAGCTAGCTCAATACTAGTGTCAAGCTAGTTCAAAGCTAGTGTCAAGCTAGCTCAAAACTAGTGCCAAGCTAGCTCAATACTAGTGTCGAGCTAGTTCAAAGCTAGTGCCAAGCTAGCTCAAAGCTGGTGTTAAACTAGTGTCAAGCTAGTTCAAAGCTAGTGTCGAGCTAGTTCAAAGCTAGTGTCAAACTAGTTCAATACTAGTGTCAAGCTAGTTCAAAGCTAGTGTCGAGCTAGTTCAAAGCTAGTGTCAAGCTAGCTCAAAACTAGTGTCAAGCTAGCCCACATCATATTTTCAACTTTCCTTACACAAACCAAAAATCAGTTTATAATATAAAAAAAATTATTTTGTTTTCATTTTTAAAAACACAAAAAAATTCATAATTTTTCTTTATTTAAACACAATTTCTTACACAACTAAGATTAATTATAATACACAAATTATTTTTTTTTTCACAAAAATCTTCAAATGACTTCTTTTTTACATTAAAATAATTCACCACACAAAAATAATTATTATTATTTTACATTAAATTTTGGGCAAGTTTTTTTGATGGAGTTCGATTTGTTGACTTAAAATAAATGTCTTGCAAATTGTACAAAGATTTTAATGACAAAAACCGATCAAAATTGGATCTCATTTCTCCGTCCATGCTTGAAAGAGTTCTGGGCGTTCACTTTGATTTTAAGTGATTTTTTTTACCAAAATTTTGAGGCAATTTAAAAAATCCTAACCTCAAAATTAAAAATATTTTTAAAATCACTTTGCCTTTCCCCTTTAGCAATATCACTTAATCATAACATAACCTCAAAAAAATAATAATTATTTTTACTGTGACAAGATCGGGTCTGACTTGTGAATCACAAAAATGTAGTAAAATGATGCAATAATTAAGGCGTAAATGACTTCCATCCAGACTAAATACATCGGCACACCGCAGTCATTCCATATGAACATTTGAAGTGAATGGATGATGATTGATGTGAATTGGAAAACCTGGAATTAGGAAAAAATTATTTTGAGGTTATTTTTCAGTAAAATTGTTGAAATTTTCGCTATAAAAATTGAAATTTAAGGTTATAAAACTTTAAAGTAGTCAAGAGTCAAGCTGAAAACCTTCAAAAGCACTCAAAATAGTTTAAATTAATAAAATTCATTCAATCACACCCAAAATTACTAGCTCATAAATAGGAAATGAACAGCCGTACAGACATCAATACAATCAAAAAAATGTTCATGTTTTATTCATTAAATCGAAGCTGTATCAACGATGAGGAAGAGCCAAAACATCGTTTGATAAGTTAAATGGCTTAACTGGTTTGTTGACTTTTTCTATTTTTAATATTTTTGGTCATCTTTAATGTGGGTCAGGAAGATAAACAAGAAGTGCAATAGACTAATCGACTTCCATCTATGTACATCAAATCTGTTGTTAAAAGAATTTCAGCACAGATTAATTATTTACATAACACAGTTTAATTCTGCTTTCGATATTGGCCAGTAAGGCAGTTTACTCAAGTAATTCTGAGCATGATCATAAATGGACTGTGAAAGTGTTGATGTTTATGATGGAAATTAATCAGATGTGACTTAAATTGAATTGTTATTGTTGCTAGGAACTGAGAAATGTCAATTATGATTAGGCTGTCCATTGGCTTAAGTCGATTTTTGGTCAAAAGACTGGACATGTCTTGATATTAGCTCTGAAAAATTAGGACAGCTCAAATCTTCAAGCTTTATTCAAGAAAATTTGGTTCAAAAAAGCGTAATTGACCGAATATGGATTTTTTCAAAGTCAAAGGTTAGAAATCAAGTCGGATCTAGTCACAGCAACCTTAAAAATCTGTGTCAGTTGCTATCTAAAGTACCAAATTGCAATTAATTTAACACTTGTAAACACTATTTCATTTAAAAATCAATAAAGTTGACAACTAAACTTCAATATAAAAATAATTGAACCTTAGCTACAAAATGCATTAAAATTAATGAACGAATAAATGCAATTAGCAACTTTTTTATCTTCTTTATTGTCCATTTGAACTTTGCAACCGTGTCATTCGAGATTGCAAACATAAAAAAAAGTCATTTGACATACACACTAAGGCAGGGGCTGCTTATTTACTGAATTATGAAATATTCAACTTGACATTTCAATTCAGTTGCAATGTTTTTCTTAGAAAATCTTTGAAAAGAAGCAATTAGGCACTTAAAATGATAGAATTGAAGCTGCAGGAAGTTTCGATTAAATAAAATAATTAAGAAGAAAACAGCATGCAGTTAAAGAAGGCATTGAGATGCTTAAAAATTATGGAAATCTAGTTTTAGAAATAAAATTTTAAATTTTAAAAAAAATCAAGGGGGAAACAATGTGATGGAAAATTTTCTTAAATATAATGTTTAATATTTCAGAAGAGCTGATGGGTAAGGGAGGAAGGTGGGGGGAGCTTTGTGGACTTGAACCAACTACCTTAAAGATCAGTCGATTTAAACCTCAAAGTCCATTTTCAAAAATCTTAGAAATTCCATAAAATCATTACAATTTTTTGAGCAATAGTTCCACGATCTATCATTTATAATACAAATCTACAAGACTTAGGGGCGTAGCCAGGAATTTGAAGAGGGGGGGGGGATTTTTTTTGAATGGAAAAATGTAAAGGGGTGGGGGATTTTGGTGATTTTTCCATAAAAACCCTAGCAAAACAAAGAAATTTCTGTTTACGTTGGGGGATTTGTCCCCCAAATCCCCCCCCTGGCTACGCGCCTTACAAGACTTAATAACATACAATCAACATAAACTGACTGATGTATGCAATTAAAATCAATAATTGAGCTTTCTGATAGCAATCATGCTAGACATTTACACTAAATACAGCAATTAATCAGCAATTTATGTAAATAAACATTTTTTTTGCAATATTGTATCACAAATAATAATTATTTTATTAAAGACTGCAATCAATCTTGTGTCAATTTGTGTCTTATCAATGTTATAGCTTATATTGATCCTAACTTTGTAATATTTTTAAAAAGAATTGCTGGTTTTTAGCATTACAATGTTGAAACCAAAAAAAACTCGAGACGCCCACAAGCCATTCAAGTTACTTTGAGTAGCAGTTGAAGACTTTGTGGACGGTAAGAGATGGCCAATGAATACCTGAATTGGATGTGTTGATAAAGATGCTAGAGTCCCTCATATCCTGAACTGGCAGAAGCTTCCGCAGGATAGAGTAGTCTTTAGACGATCTCTAAGCCCGACACCCCAGCCAAGAAAGTAAGCAAGCAAGTAAAAAGAATCTTCTATAGAACTTGGCAGAAGCCTGATCCCATCTTCTTATCACCTTCTCAGTTATAACTATTTTTTAAATATTGATCCAATAAATATCCGGCACATTAACCCGTAATCTTAATCCTGTTCACAAAGTCGAACTTTCTCTAAACTGAAATAATTTCGAATTTTCAACAAAACCTCATAAATTTTGCAATAACTAAAGATCCACATGAATTTGTAAATTATGCAAATTTTCCATTTAAAACGATTTGATAGATCAGTGATGGTCAACCTATTTGCCACGGCACACTAAAGATTGAGACTTGAAATCCCACGAGCCCTACGCTTTGTGTGGTTTCAGTCATGACTTACCACTGAGGTGTACTGAGGCACAAAAAGGTTGCCCACCACTGTATTAGACTGAATCCATAAAGCATCTTCAAGTCTGTTTGTGGTAGCTTCATTAAATATGTTGCTAAAGCAACAGAACAGCTGATTTGATAAAAGATAGGATTGAAAACTTGATTGCTTCTTCTATCTTGTGGAAAGCGTTTTCTTAATTGTACAAGTCTGTTAAAGTCTGGAGCAGAAAGCGAAGCTGACTAAGATTTGCAAATAGTCTAGTACAGTGCTTCTCAAACTGTGAGTCATAGAGTTTTTTTTTTTTGGCAATAGGATGATACTAGTCACGGTTTTAAGGTGTGGCTTGGGTGAAAAAGGTTGGACAATAGTGATCTAGTCCAGTGATGTCCAACCCGTGTGAGGCGGCACGCTTTTGTGTCGTCTCACAAATCATATACTGTGTACGGTTTTGGTCTTGGCTCACAACTAAGTGTGCAGTGGCACAAAAAAGGTTGGACACCACTAGACTCTAGTCGACTAATCCATGACAAATGCTAGTCAGCCTCAGCTTTTGGCTAGACTCAAAATCCGGAACATTTACAACTCCAAATAAGGTTTCTAAAACTTGTGGAATCAAATCATTTCGGAATTTGCTACGGAAGTCAGTCTAGCTTCTTTTTATGGCAAATTTTGTCTACCGTTACTCAATCTGCAAAAATCAACAACAGCTGATTGCCAAAAATCCTTCAAAAAATTTTCGCACAATCGACTTAGGAAGTTGCTTCTTTTGTGTCATCAAATACGGCTTTTATTGATTGTTATTGCGAAAATTGGCAAATTGTCATCAAATGAGGATGTTTGGTAGCTCATTTGTTTTTTTCGCAGATTTGTGTGAACTTACTGGACTTTTTAATGTGTTTATAAAATCAGTTTTGGAGGTTAAATGTGAAAAAATGATAAATTTGGCGCCAAAAATGACAAAACCTGAGATTTTAAGGTTTTAAAAAAATTAGAATTTTAAACTAATTCAAAATAAGCAAGAACTTCAAAACCTAACCTCACTTTTTAAAAAAAAAATTCATACAAATAATTAATAATTTTCGCAGCTCATCCAAAAAGCCTTCAATCATTAGTTTCTCATTTATCTTTGTAAATAAATTGTGTTATTCTCACGAAGGTCGCCAATCTTAACAACAACAACAACAGCAACTTCGAAAAAAAAAGTCATTAAAAGCCGGTGCCCTTTCAATGGCTAACCAAACGTCTCAAGTCAATATGTAAACTGTAAAATAATGATTAATATTCGTATGAAGCACAAAATTCATTTACAGCCACGCAACAAGTTCAACTGTTGATACATGACAATGAGTGTTTGAGGGAGACAAAGCAGGGACAGCAAGTAAGTGTGAAGAAATCGGAAAGTAAACATGACATCAGAAAAATCAGATATGAAATGTTAATTCGGAAGTTATTTACCATGCTGTAATGTCCTTGATATGGTTAAGGTCAATTTACATTAGATTAAGATGAATATTTTACTGATTTTTAAAAATTTATTGATTCGAATAGTTTTTTAATGTTCTTTAATTTGTTGGCAGGGGGATAACAACTGCTTGTAAAATAAATTACTATTTAATTTTATTTTTTTATTCACGATTTCTACTTTTTTGTAGCCCAAACATCGTTGAGGGGAGAACAATATGGTGAGAATTTTTTTGAGAAATAATTTTGCGCCTTATGTTGTTATCTCCTAAACGTTGTTTTCTACTCAAAGTTGTTACCCCCTGAAATAAGTCTTCCGTTCAAAGATGGTTCCCGTTAAAGTTATTTGCCCCTTAAAGTTTTTATCCCCTCAAAGTAGATTTCCCTCCAAAGTTGTTTTCCCCTCCAAGTTGTTTTCCCCACAAAGTTGTTTTCCCCTCAAAGCTGTTTTCCCCAGACTATAAGACACCAGATAGCTCAGATGTTTTATCAAAGTTCCGCATGAGTGTTGCTGTATGCCTTTTTCCATGATCACAGTCAACTTATTGACTAAAGCTATCAAGTAGCCGCAACGACAAACATCACATTTTCATTGAATTAAACAGAATCTTAAAGTCGTTGTGACATCAAAAGCTACTATCTTCATGTGGCTACTGACTTAAGTTGTATGACTGGGTCAATATTTGAAGATGGTTTCGTTTTGCTACGCATGTGGATTTTATTATTCTTTTTTTTCGAATATAATAGATTTGAGCTATATAATAGAGCTGAATCAGCAACGTGTAGCCAGCTGAGCTCAAGAAAGTTCCAAAAACACGCATGACCATCAACTACAAATTCAATCAGCCAAAACAAAGCTCAAAACTCAATCCACGCACAAAATACTGTTCAAATAAGTACAAATCAAGCCATGGATGAACAGTCAGAAGGACAAGTCTTCATACACATGCACATTCATCTAACCTACTGGATAACCATGTCAATAAACAATCCAAAAACAAAAATAAAAGTGAAATAAGTCCCTGACCGACCCCAACTTGAACTTCTTTTGATTTTGCTTCAATTTTTTTTACAGTTCAATGTACATGCGGAGTAGTTTATCAGTAATCAAAAGACCTTTAAGAAGTAATTGTAGCACAAAAAGAAACTGAAAATACAATAAATCGAATAAATTGAACCAGTTATTACAGACATTAAGGCTTTCAGCATTTCCACATCTTTCAATAAATCCATTAATTCGAGCTATTTGTTGATTAAAGCTATGATTTATTGGAAATTGGAGTGGCTGGGTGTGGGATGGAGGGGATTAAGGGGGTTGTATAATTTTGAGGTTATTTTCCTGAGTTTTGAGGTTATGTTCTTCAGTTTTGAGGTTATGTTCCTAAGTTTTGAGGTTAAATTCCAAAATTTTGAGGTTATTTTCCTGAATTTTAAGGTTACATTCCTTAGTTTTAAGGTTATGTTCCTGAGTTTTGAGGTTATGTTCCTGAGTTTTGATGTTAATACTCCAAAATTTTGAGGTTATGTTCCTGAATTTTAGGGTTACGTTCCTGAGTTTTGAAGTTATGTTCCTGAGTTTTGTGGTAAAGCTCCAACATTTTAAGGTTAAGTTCCTGAATTCAGAGGTCATGTGCTTGAGTTTTGGGGTTATGTTCCTGAATTTTAGGCTTACGTTCCTGAGTTTTGATGTTATGTTCCTGAATTTTGAGGTTATGTGCCTATATTTTGAGGTTATGTGCCTGAGTTTTTAGGTTATGTTCCTGAGTTTTGTGGTAAAGCTCCAAAATTTTAAGGTTATGTTCCTGAGTTTTGAGGTTATGTTCCTAAATTTTGAGGTTAGGTTCCAAAAATTTGAGGCTACATTCCTGAATTTTGAGGTTAAGTTCCTGAATGTTAAGGTTATAGACCTGGATTGTTATGCATTCGGATCCAACCTCAATTAAAGAATTGTTTTTAAAAATCCTGACTCACCCTCCCTCCTCCCCCAAACAATACCTAGGATCCCCCATCCATATCTCTATCTCACACATGACTACCTCTTATGAGATATCGCAAATAATTCATTTATTTATCCATTTCGTAATTTATTTCTCAATTTGCACAGAAAGTGAAATTTTATTTTTTTTTTTTTGCACATAATGGACTTTGGATTTGTGTATGTGATTTAAGAGCAGCTGTTTAATCGCCATTGAAATACCAAATAATGGCATTATAAAATTTTTAATTATAGTGTTTGGTATTTGCAAACATAATATTTTTTTTTTGGGAAGTTTTGTACGATTTTTGAGAGCATAAATAGTGAAAGTGTTACAATAGACTGCATTTTGGGTAGACATGCTGAATATTATGAAAATATTTCCGTAGTTTTTTTTTTTGGTGCTTTTACGTCATTATTTGAGATTTATCGAATAATCGTCGATAATATTCATAATTTGGCAAAAAAGCAACGAAATGTAGTTGCAAAATGTTGAGTAAATAAGCAAGTAGAATGTAATTGAAGCTTATGATGCTTCAGGCTCGACGTTGAGTAGAATTTTCTAATTTTGCTGTTGAAGTTTACTTGACTGTGAGGTTAAAAAGTCAAAATTAAGTTGATTTATTGAGATTTTTTAATGTGATTTTGCACTTTTTTAATGAGAATTTTGCTGTTTGTGAGTTTTTGAGTGTTCTAGAGGATTTGAGTGGCTGTTGACTTATCATTAGAGTTGTGATTTGGGATTGATGATACAGACTGAATATATCCTTGACAGTCATCAATTTTTACCACTTTATCGTCAATATCTGATTCATTTTGACTACTCACAGCCTTAACAGCTCACAAAAAATTCCTAACAGTGTCAACAGCAGCAAAAAACAAAGTTTTGCAGCCTCAAGGACGGAGAAATAAAGCTACAAGATGCCGTAACACTTGTACACATGTTTTTTATGACTAATTTTCTTCTTTCTTTCTTCAAAATTGCGCGTGATGTCTAATAACTTGGCAATGACCTATTTTGCGTAACTCTTTTTTTGGGTTTTTTTTTTTACTTTTCAATTGAACTTTTTTAAAACTATTTTGGAATGGATTAAATGACCTTAGGAATTTTTTTGAGATTTGTGATTATATTTCACTGAAATCCGCAAATTTTTAAGGGTTTAGTGCTTAAAACTAACCCAGCATAGCTATGCATAGCTCCAATAAATCAAATAAAATTTTATAATGGTCAATAAAGCTTCAAAAGCTCTAAAACAACGTTCATGAACCTTCAATTAAAACTTTCAATCCAATCCAATAAAAACAAATTATCAAGTTAGAATGCAAGGCAATTGAAAATTAGCAGAACTAAGCCAAATCTCTGTTACTAATCGTGCAAGTATTAAGAACAATGTGCAAATTTTTGCTCCCTTTTTTGTCTCGTGTCGATTTTTTGCAAGGCTTGGAAACTATCCCACATATTCCATTTTGATCCCAAAAATATCCCAAAAATATCCAAAATAATCCCTGAGCCTGTATGCATGATAATAAAGATATCCTAACGAATCCTTCGTGTATTGGACATTAAATCTTGGGATTCGATGGGATATCTCAATTTTAATGCATACAGGCTCAGGGATTATTTTAGATATTTTTGGGATATTTGGGATAAATGGAATATTTGGGATAGTTTCTACGCCTTGATTTTTTTTTCTGATTTTATCTAAGGGTTCGTTCACTTATTACGTAACGCACTAGGGGGGAGGGGGGGGGGTCTAAGATTTTGTTACGGTTTGTTACAGGGGGGGGGGGGGGGGGGGGGGGGTCTAAAAACTCGTTTTTTTTCGTTACGTAATAAGTGAACGAGCCCTATTTAAATTAAATTTTTTTCGTGACTTGTTCGGTCGTTTAAGTCTTTTGCGTTAGATTTTCAGCTAAGTGGGATTTAATTAGAGATTGTTTGTTAAAAATTGTGTTAATTGTAAAGTAACAAGGAAGTAATTGGATGAGAAATAAAAAAGAATTTAAAATTGAGGATTTCTTAATTACGGAAATTTGATTTGTGTGACGAAATTGATTATTTGGGTTTGATTTTAAGAGTTTTTAGGTTGAATTTGAGTTTGAAGCTTTGAAAAAAAACGCTGGGCCAGATTTTTAAGGCTACTTGAGGTGTCCTTAGTACTATAGAAGCCACCTTCTTTGGCAGAGACAATAATACACTTAGTATTGGTATTTGTCAAGCGGGAGCTAGCAATAGAGCCAGCTTCAGGCGCCATCTAAGTTCAGCCATGGATCACAAATGATCTGTACAGCCAGAGAAGTAAAGTAAGTAAGAAACCGAAGGGGGCACTCTAGATATAACTCCGAAATTTCAACAAAGGTATCACTCTGACCCAAACTAAGTATTAAACCCATAGTTCCATCAAGCCATCCTCAATTATTCAACTAAAAGTCACTTTTTCCATCAATTCAACATCATTACATCACCAAACTTCCATCAGATTCACGCACTATTCACAAAGTATCCATTAAAACTGTCCAGCTGACATTTCCTGTCCAAATAAAATCTCTCTACACTTAATTTCTCATATCAACTCATCACTTATATCCAACAATGTCAACAAATATTCGTCATACAATTTCGCACTCATATGTCAAAATAAGAAGTCCACAAAGCCTACTCACATGAATAAAGACATGAAATTGTCTTCGATACTTCTTCACTGATGGATTATACAAAATGACAAATTTAATTCCAAATAATCCAACATGTGTCATCGAGTTGATCCATCCACCAAATGTAATATGCCCGCCAGGATAGACATTAATAAATGACCAAACCATGACGGGAAAGACTGCATGATGAATAATTAAATAATTTGCAAGTGAACTTTTCCTCTTGCTAAGGACAAATGGGACACTATGGAGGGTGTAGATGAACCTCGTCATTAAATATTGCCAACAAAACTCGACTGCCATTCGACTAGTCCATGAATTTGATCGATCAATAACTTCACAACGCCAATTGAACAGGAACAGCCACGAGTATGTCGTAATGACGAAAAAATAGCAAGCGATGAACAACAAAAGGGCATCGATGTAAAGTGAGAGTTTTTGGAAGTCGTAAGGCTTTCGATTTTTCATAAAATTTGGTAAAATTCTCGTTATAATCACAACGTAGATGATGTAAAATAAAATAATCCAATGTGGCTTGCCCATCAGGAATCGATCACGCATTCGCGGGTCTGCATTCTCGTAAAATAGATTGTAAAGCTGTGACAACGACTCGATACCGCCATCGAGTGACGTGAGATTTTTATTCACGCTTACGTTACTAATAAAATTACCCGAAACACTACCGTTCATGATGAGTGACTGACTGAAACTGAGGCTGTCGACTTTGCAGCGCTGCTCAGCTGAATTTTTTTAAAAACATTTTCTTTTTTTTCGGGCTCTCGCTGAATTCACTTTTTTTTTTGTTGTTGTAAACTCGTTTTTCTTTTGTGAGTCGTGGAATTTAATTGGAGAAAATGGTAAATAAATGTAACTTTTTGGACGTTGTGGACTCTCTTGGATGTCAGTTGACTCTCAAATTTTGTGATTAATGAGATTTTTGGAATGACATCTTTGAGTTCAGGGGATGGTGAGTGACTCGTTGTTGTGGCTATATTGGTGTACAACTTATAATTTGTGTAATCAGTTGTTCAATATTAAGATGGGGGTGGACTCAGATTCCAACGTAGGTGGACATATTTAGTCCTATTTGAGTTTATTCAATCTTATTCGGTTCCACTCGGTTACATTCGGTTACATTCAGTTGCATTCGGTTTTATTCGTTTTTTTTCGCTTTCATTCGATCTTATTCGGTTATGTTTGGTTATATTCGGTTTCATTCGGTTTTGTTCGGTTTTATTCGGTTTTGTTCGGTTTTATTCGATCTTATTCGGTTTTATTCGTTTTTGTCTAGTTTCATTCGGTTTTGTTCGGTTTCATTCGGTTTTGTTCGGTTTTGTTCGGTTTCATTCGGTTTTGTTCGGTTTCATTCGGTTTTGTTCGGTTTCATTCGGTTTTGTTTGGTTTCATTCGGTTTTGTTTGGTTTCATTCGGTTTTGTTCGGTTTCATTCGGTTTTGTTCAGTTTCATTCAGTTTTGTTCGGTTTCATTCGGTTTTGTTCGGTTTCATTCGGTTTTGTTCGGTTTAATTCGGTTTTGTTCAGTTTCATTCAGTTTTGTTCGGTTTCATTCGGTTTTGTTCGGTTTCAGTCGGTTTTGTTCGGTTTCATTCGGTTTTATTCGGGCCTATTTGGTTCTATTCGGTTTCATACGGTTCCATTCATTTGCATTCGGTTTTATTCAGTTCCATTCGGTTTCATTCGGTTTTGTTCGGTTATATTCGGGTTTTTTTCGGTTTCATTCGGTTTCGTTCGGTTGCATTCGGTTTAATTCAGTTCCATTCGGTTGCATTCACTTTCATTCGGTTCCATTTGGTTCAATTCGGTTCCAATCGGTTCCATTCCATTGCAGATCTATTCGGTTCTCCTCGATCCACCTTAATCAATCCCTAAACCAAAACACTGGTCACTAAACTTCGAAATTCAACCAATCTTCATCCATTCAATCCAAAAAATATCCACAAACAATAACAAAACAAGTCGTAGCATCGTCATCATTCATACAGTTCACATAATACCTCTTTGTAGCACTTGAAAATACCTCTGTAATCCTCTACATGATGTAACATTTATTAATAAAAAATGAAAAGAAGCCAGATGCTTGAACTATGAATCTCGACTGTGTTTTAAATGATTTGTCATTTTGGAATGCGAAAGGGGGTCAACTTGGGGTAATTACATGATTCTGGGGAGGTTTAACAAAAATTACAAAAATTCACACACCTCCAATTACATGCTTCAATTCTTAATACATTGTAACTGATCCGTACACATTTCATGTCCATAATAAGCTACAGAATTGACCAATAGTACAAACAAGCCAATTTGCTCTCTTTGCGAAATTTTTGTTGCATTTCAGTTGCACTTTTTAATGCTGAATGACGAAAGTTTGCAGGCTGTAGACCTGCTTGATTGCAATGATGAAGCTAGTTGAGTGCTGAGTCGCACTTTAAATAAGTATCAAGCTACAAAAATTAGAAATCACAAATAAACTTTTGATTGACACATTTCCCGATACTTAGGAATGTCCCACATTATTATTTTTATTTCCTACACAGCAGCAGCCAGGAACAACAACAAAGAAGAAAACACAAAAAAAATAAGAAAGCATCCAAAAATCAAGAAATTGTCATGGTCATGGTTGTAAATGATCGCGGTGATTTCGATCTTGTTTTGTTTTTTGTGTGGTTTTTTCCGATGCGGTTGTGAATAAAAGAGAAGCTGAATGTTGATGACGAGTCTGCAATAACCGGTATGATCAACAAAGAATTGCGGAATTGGTTGTAGAATTTTTATTGGTTTTTAATATTTATGAATTTTTTGCATTGGCAGACAAACAAGATATTTTTTTGAGGAAATGAATGAATTTTTTGACATTAAGAATCTAGAATAATTATTGTGAAGGCACCTGAACATAGAAAATCTATTGCAAAAGCTCCTGAATCTCAAAAGCTCTAGTTTAAAGGCACTTGAATATCCAAAACCTAGTGTGAAGGCATCTGAACCTCAAGACTACTAGTTTGAAGGCACTTGAACCTCCAAAACCTTGTTTGTAAGCACCTGACCCTCAAGACTCTTAGGTTGAAGGCACTTGAACCTCCAAAACTTAGTATAAAGACACCATAGCCTCAAAAACCTAGTGTGAAGGCACCTGAATAACCAGAACCTAGTGTGTAGGCACCTGAACCTCAAGACTCTTAGTTTGAAGGCATTTGAACCTCCAAAACTTAGTATAAAGACACCATAACCTCAAAAACCTAATGTGAAGGCACTTGAATAACCAAAACTTAGTGTGAAGGCATCTGAACCTCAAGACTCCTAGTTTGAAGGCATTTGAACCTCCAAAACCTAGTGCAAAGACACCATAACCTCAAAAACCTAGTGTGAAGGCACCTGGATAACCAAAACTTAGTGTGAAGGCATCTGAACCTCAAGACAACTTTTTGAAGGCACTTGAACCTCCAAAACATAGTGTTTTAAGACACCATAACCTAAAAAGCTTAGTGTGAAGACACCTGAACCTATAAACCTCTAGTTTGGAGTAACTTAAACATCCAAAACCTAGTGTGAAGATACCTGAACCTCCAAAACTTAGTATGAATACACCTTAAAATTCAAGCTCTAGTGTAAAGACACCTGAATTTTAAAAACCTATTGTGAAGGCACCTGTACTTTAAAAACCTAGTTTTTTAAAATTTCTTTAAAATATAACAAAAGGCGAATAAATCTTAAATAATTCTGAAAACAAGTGTACTCCACAACAATGAGCGTCTTAACAAAAAGATCAATAAAATTCACACGTGCTATTTCAAACACTAGACTCTGAACTCTTTCAACTCAATCAAGATCATCTTTATGTACTCAAAACTAAAGCCCACTGTGAAGTAGATTATGAAAGGAAAATTTAATTAAATTATTCTTGCTGTTAATTGCGTGTCAGACGTGAAACAATCAATTGGTCAGAGTCTGAGGCTTAATATCAGCTGTTTGTTGATTTTTATATTGGACATGCTGAAAATGTAGCGAAAGAGATTCAGATGATAATTTATTTAAATGGCAAATCTTGTTTGAATTTGAATCTTTTGGATAAAAATAATTTGCGATACTTCCTGCTTATAGAAGATTATCTATGGTTCTATGAGATTGAAGAATATCGTTTGATAACATTTGGTTCTTATTGACTTAAAAGACACTTACTCAGGTTTCTGTGACAAGCTTAGTAGCTGTGCGTTGTTGCTTATGTTACTTCTCTCTTTAATATTCTTATGGCAGGCTTTAAGTCTCCAGTTTATCCCTGTCAAAATATTAAGTATTGAAAATTGTGAATGTGGAAAACAGTGATGCACAACCAATGTGACGCGGCACACCAGTGTGACACGTAAAAATTAGCCAAATTCTTCAACTGGATGCTGTGTGTGGTTTCATTTATGGTTTGCTACCAAGCTGTGCCGTAGCACAAAAAAGGTTGTCCACAACTGGTCTAAAGCTAAGTGGAAGAAGCTAAAACACGACTTTAATATGAAAAAGTGTTAGAATTTTATTAACGAAATCTTACAAATTGAAAACAAACTTTCCAATAATTTAATAATTCAACCAATTTTCAGTAAAAGTCTCCAAACAAAACTTAACCTTAAATTACAAAAATCTTGATATTTGAGTTGAGTTAACAATTTTTAATAGTTCTTAGTGAGATTTAATTTTTTTATGATTATTATATAAGCTCAAAGTAGGCAGAATAGACACTTCTCGGGTTAATAGAGGGCTAGGGTACATCTTGAAGTGTATCCTATAGCTAATATTCAAATCTGATTGATTATGTCCTTCTTATGTGTTAAATTACCAAGTCTCAGAATATCTTTCCACAATAAAGCAGTCCCAATTGTAGTCTTAACCCTACAAAATCCATTTACAACTTCCCTTCAGGCTTCTTCTTCGTCACTTGACTCTGATAATGCAGAGCCTCCTCATACGCCTTCTTAACAGCCTTTCTTAATGTTGGCTTCTTTGACTCACTCAATTTTGACTCATCAATTGATTTTTGTATGCCAAGCAACTCCAATTTCGAAGACGGCAACCACTGCCATGTTCTTTTTGTGTCGAAAAACAGAACTAAGAAGTCATCGCTGGTTTGATTCTTTCTCAGTGTCAGGACATTGTCTGGTGGACATGGCAATGGAACTGAATTGTGAACGAAGCCTTTTGGAATGCTTGGATCAATTATTAAGGCTGGATACCATGGATATCCTCGAGATTTAGCCCAGACGAGCTGTAATGGCTTCAATTTTCCACTTTGTGCATTTGCAAATGCTCTCATGGCACCAGCTGATGTGGATGCAATTGGGCCAGTGTCATCATCACTTTCACTAAGTCTTGACTCTTCATCCTTCTTATCTCCACTGGCTCTTGTTGTTGTTGTAGCTGTTCCTTGTGAATCTTCATCTGCATTTATTGGTTGATTAAAGGAACCAGAATCGCTGTTATTGTCACTTCCAATTTCTGAATCACTCGCATTTTCTGACCCACTTGATCCATATTCTGAGTTTGTGTACGATTCACTGAACTCACAGCTCGTGCATGAATCAGAGAATTCAGATTGTTCTGAATTTTCAGAATTTGATCCTTGACCGCGGTACAGACGGAAGCTGTCTGGGATACGGGCGTCAAATTTTGGAGTCTCGAGGGTGATGCTTGTGTTTGGAAGGATCGTTGGTGTTCTAAAATGAAAAAAATAATATTTTTGAGGTTAGAATAATTGTGATAAAGGCTTATTAAGGTTCACAAATCTACGCAAAAAATTTTAGAATCAAATTTTAAAAAAATCAATTTGTCAACAAACTTAAAAACTCGCTAACACTCACAGCAGCATCGATTTTGGGGTGCTTTCAATAGCATTTCTGGATGTAGACGGTGTGCACTCCAAGTTGTTTGTTCCTACAACTGGATGCTTTCTCCATCCAAGCTTTCTTCCTCGTCCTCGCTTTTTTTCCTCTTGTTTAGGCTTTAGTTCATCTAATCTCGAGCTGAGTGAGCCAAGGAGTGAGTCTGACTTCATCATGGATGAGAGGTCTGGGAGTTCTGGTCGCTTGAGGACTTGTTGCTTTCTTGTGAATAAGACGGCGTTTCTAAAATTGCAGAGAAAGTTTATTAGGAATGGATTTTGATGATGTCAGTAGCATAAGAAGCTCATTTGAAATTAAAGAAGATCTGTAAATTCTTAGTAGTATCACCAAACCCTAACGAGTATCTTATAACGCTAAGGAGTATCTCAGAACACTAAGGAGTATCTCAGAACACTAAAGAGTATCTCAGAACACTAAGGAGTATCTCGGAACAATAAGGAATATCTCAGAACACTAAGGAATATCTCAAAACACTAAGGAGTGTCTCAGAACACTAAAGAGTATCTCAGAACACTAAGGAGTATCTCGGAACAATAAGGAATATCTCAGAACACTAAGGAGTGTCTCAGAACACTAAAGAGTATCTCAGAATACTAAGGAGTATCTCAGAGCACTAAAGAGTATCTCGGAACAATAAGGAATATCTCAGAACAATAAGGAATATCTCAAAACACTAAGGAATATCTCAAAACACTAAGGAGTGTCTCAGAACACTAAAGAGTATCTCAGAATACTAAGGAGTATCTCAGAGCACTAAAGAGTATCTCAGAACACTAAGGAGTATCTCGGATAAATAAGGAATATCTTAGAACACTAAGGAATATCTCAAAACACTAAGGAGTGTCTCAGAACACTAAAGAGTATCTCAGAACACTAAAGAGTATCTCGGAACAATAAGGAATATCTCAGAACACTAAGGAGTGTCTCAGAACACTAAAGAGTATCTCAGAATACTAAGGAGTATCTCAGAGCACTAAAGAGTATCTCAGAACACTAAGGAGTATCTCGGAACAATAAGGAATATCTTAGAACACTAAGGAATATCTCAAAACACTAAGGAGTGTCTCAGAACACTAAAGAGTATCTCAGAACACTAAAGAGTATCTCGGAACAATAAGGAATATCTCAAAACACTAAGGAATATCTCAAAACACTAAGGAGTGTCTCAGAACACTAAAGGGTATCTCAGAACACTAAGGAATATCTCGGAACAATAAGGAATATCTCAGAACACTAAGGAGTGTCTCAGAACACTAAAGAGTATCTCAGAATACTAAGGAGTATCTCAGAGCACTAAAGAGTATCTCAGAACACTAAAGAGTATCTCAGAATACTAAGGAGTATCTCAGAACCCAAAATACCACCCCAATCCATATCAATCCTAAATCTTCTTACCTCCTATTAACACCACTGCTTAATGGAGACGTAGTCGTACTCAATGCCGAAGATTTCAATGGACTCATCGTCGGTGTCTTCAATTCGTCCTTATCTTTTTCATCAGATCCACTGGATTCTCCATCAGATTGAGATTCTTCACTTTCAGTACTAGCTGCACTCTTTCTGCCTCGGTTTAGTAATTTCTTCATCTTTATTATTTCCATTTTGATGATTTTCATCTTCTTGGCTTTAGCAAGATGGTGCTTGATGGAATTAGCTCTGCTTTGAAGCTGTTCAAGTCTCTTTATTCCTTCGACTGATGCTGGCTTTGTGACAATTTCTTTCATTTCTTTATCAATTATTTTGACTAATTCACCATCAGCGATTGGAGCTTCAATTAATCCAGACTTCTCAAGTTCCTTTCTAGCTTGTTTGAAGACTGCTCCTCCTTGTTCCTTCATCTTGACTCCCACTTTATAGAATATTGTCTCTTTGTTGTTGTAAAGCAAGCAGTTTCTTATCATCAATGAAAAATCAGTTTCCATATCATCTAAGCTGTCATATCCACCAGACTTGAGTTTCTCCCTCATTGTTCCTAAGTCCATAGGACTTTTGATGACATTCGCATAGTCTGGAACCTCATTGACATCGACTGGTTCCAAGAATATCTCCATAGTATCTCTTTGGACTAGCTGGTCGATGATCTTATGCATGGCAGTTCCAAGTGGATCAACTTCAGTCATTACACATTCCTCATTGACTTTAATAAGCAGCATCTTGAGTTTTTCGCGTTTTCTGACCAACTCGCAGAGGAGCCTGGCTCGTTCTAGGTCTTGCCTTAAATGCTGCCAGTATTTTAGCTGCTTGTAGAGTTCCTTAGCATCCGGTGATCCTTCAAGTCCTCCTCTAGAATGTGAACTTGTCGTTGATGTCTGCAATCGTCGCAGCAATGGAACTCCATTCCTGAATTGTCTTTTTAATGTCCAATAAGCAATCAGTCGCTGCATAAAATGATCCTTTTTCTTAAAATTCACCAAATTTGAGATCTCCTGGACTCGCTCAGTTGGAATTGTCGGAATCAAAATTATCGGCGCACTCGATCTCTTTTTTGCCAACATTTTTCTCGCCAACTTCATCTTGTTCCTGCATTCTTCCCGCGCTTTTTCATTCTCAATCGGTGACTTTTCACTTCCATAATTTGATGGCGTGTGCTGATCACAAAATGCCATCTTCTGGACCATCATTTGTCCATCGTTTGACTTGACAGTCTCCATTCTCATGCACAGTCCAGCATATTGTGCACATGTGACATGAAAGGCTGAATAGCAGTAATTCTTGTTGCATTGAATGCAAGCTCCAGTCTTTTGCTTGCAGATATAACAGACCAACCTCCATCGAGCTGGTGGGATGCAGTCAATTGAGTCTATCGGTTCCAAAAAGACAGTATTTGCGAATCGAACTTCTGGAATCCATAAAGCACAGACAACATGTGCCCATTCACTTGTGTCTGTTTGTTTAAAGGCACCACCAGAGTTTGGACATAATTTGCACTGAACTGGCTTGCTTGGTGACTGAAGACATTGCCTGCATAGCCATTGATTCTCTGGGATGTAAGGCACACCGTAGCAATCTTGATGAACTGCCAAATTGCACATGTCACAGAATAAAATGACATTTGTGTTTTGACACTCGCCGTCCATACAGATGCAGCAGATTGCATCCTCATCGATAATCGAGACTGCTTGACCATTTGATGCTGCTTGAAAGTAAGATTCCTTTTCAAGTCTATCGATGAGCAGCTCAAGTGTCTCAACTGGAATCGCATGTAAACTTGTCTCAGATCTTTTATCATTAATCATGTCCAGCCATGTCGTGTCTTCCTCATCAACATCATACTCAATTTCACCATCTAGTTCCTCTGGTGTCTTTTCAATGAATCTTATATATCCAGTTGGCTTTGGTGGAGCATCAAGTATGGCATAATCATCAACTGGTCTGTATACAGCTTGAGGTAAGCTTATGATTGGCTCTTTTGGCGGTTCTATGTCCTCAATCTCATAATTCGAATGTGCTGTCATTTTTTCATAAACTTGCATGTCAATCAATGGAATGTCCTCATCAATTGGAAGTGGAATTGTCTTTCCTTTGACTTTAAGGACCAAATTTTGTGAATCATCAAAAATTATTTGATTCTCGATTGGCGTCGATGGCGATTTATTTTTGTTGTTGGATTTAATTTTTGGCGTATTTTTGCCTTTTTTGCGCTTTTTTGGAGTCGGCGTTGCTGGTGTAGCTGAGACTGTTGGGTCACGGTCATGATTTTTTAAATGATATTGCAAGCCGATTATCTAAAAATGATGAAAAATAGGAAAATTCGGGAATAAGAAGAAGACAAGATGATGCTACTTACACTTTTGTATTGTTTTTCACATGCTGGACATTTAAATGGAGGTCCTTGGCCTTTAATTGACTTAAGGTAGTCGGGGATGTCGAAGTCAATCATCTTTGTGACTGAATGTTGTGTAAATTCTTGTGAAATTTATTAAAATTGTGAATCAAAACAATAAAAATAAAAGTTTTGTGATCAAGATTTTGGTACCTGTTGTTGTATTCGGCACTAGCGGGGATTGTTGAAGATTTTAGGGTTTGAATTTCTTATGGCCGTTAGGAAAATTAGGAAACTTTATTACTTTATTTTCATTTTTTCAATTTTTTCAATTTTTTCAATTTTTTCAATTTTTTCAATTTTTTCAATTTTTTCAATTTTTTCAATTTTTTCAATTTTTTCAATTTTTTCAATTTTTTCAATTTTTTCAATTTTTTCAATTTTTTCAATTTTTTCAATTTTTTCAATTTTTTCAATTTTTTCAATTTTTTCAATTTTTTCAATTTTTTCAATTTTTTCAATTTTTTCAATTTTTTCAATTTTTTCAATTTTTTTAATTTTTTCAATTTTTTCAATTTTTTCAATTTTTTCAATTTTTTCAATTTTTTCAATTTTTTCAATTTTTTTCAATTTTTTCAATTTTTTCAATTTTTTCAATTTTTTCAATTTTTTCAATTTTTTCAATTTTTTCAATTTTTTCAATTTTTTCAATTTTTTCAATTTTTTCAATTTTTTCAATTTTTTCAATTTTTTCAATTTTTTCAATTTTTTCAATTTTTTCAATTTTTTCAATTCCTTCAATTTTTTCAATCTTTTCAATTTTTTCAATTTTTTCAATTTTTTCAATTTTTTCAATTTTTTCAATTTTTTCAATTTTTTCAATTTTTTCAATTTTTTCAATTTTTTCAATTTTTTCAATTTTTTTCAATTTTTTCAATTTTTTTATTTCATAGTTTTTCAAATTATTTCAAATTCGTCTTTTTTCTTCCTCAACTAAATCAACTTCCAGCTTCCTGAAGCTTCCAACGCCGTCAAAAATTTTCTCGTTTTCATAGTTTTTCATTTTTTTTCACATCAACTTCAATACTTTTGACAAATTTAATCCATTTTAATGAAGATTCTTCAATTTTATGTCTAAAGTGCAGCAAGCAGTCGTCAAGATTTTCAGTTCCACCGTACTCAATTAACAGGTTTTTAGCATCAACGACTTTTGGCATGTCTTCAACATTATTCAGCAATTTTAATCTTTTCTTAATTTTGTCACTCATCAATGATTTTAAGAGTTCAAAAAATGACTTAGCTATGGCTGGAAGTCCAAGAATATAAACATTTTTAAGCCTTCCTCCAGTTGATTCAGCAAATTGAATAAAATTTCCAAAAGAACTTAAATCAAGAATTGTCACATATCTAGGGTGACCATCTGCGTAGTTTTACAACGGACGGTCCTGTATTTCAAAACCCTGTCCTGTATAAATTTGAAAATTTTGTTCCAGGTCCTGTATTTTTTTCACGAAAATTTCCGTTAATTTTCAAATTTTCCTTTGTGTCCTGTATTTTTTGGGAAATTTATCAAATGTCCTGTATTTTCATAAAAATTAGATGGTCACCCTACACATATCGCATGGATATATCACGATAATCCATTATTTCAATTAAACCAGATATTTGAGTTTTGGCTCGTCCATTAAAGCATTTGCTACCAGAAAAATATAATTTCAATATCTCATTGATGTCAAATTTCCATTTGTCAAAGATTTCATGACGAAAAACTAGAATTCGTTGTCTATCCGCGCTGTGGTTAATTGTTGGTACAATTGCTTTCTTGTCATACATTTCGAGGAGTTTGGGAATGTTATAATCAAATAGTTCAGGTTTATTTTGTTGGTACATAACAACATTGTTGAAATTTTCATAGACTTTGTCCATTTTGTACTTTCTACTTCGGAGAAGCTTAACTATTTGAGGTCGATCTAAAATTCATAAAATAAGATCAGTTTTTTTTTCAACCAAGAACCAAAAATGTCACAAAAATAATCGACGTTCAATGTCCGAAAAGCCTGAAACTTGATTTCTTAGCCACAAAAATAATCAGCGTTCAATTTCCGAACCAAAAATCAAGAACCGAGAACCAAGAACCAAGAACCAAGAACCAGGAACCAAGAACCAAGAACAAAGAACCAAGAACCAAGAACCAAGAACCAAGAACCAAGAACCAAGAACCGAAAACCAAGAACCAAGAACCAAATAAAATGAGCAAAATGGACGCAAAAATCAAATTTTCAAATTATTACCAATTTCACATTTAGTGCTGAACGGATGCTTATTGAGCCACTCGTAAAACTGCTTGATTGACTGTTTCTTTCGTGATTCCGTTTCATTAAGCTCAGTTTTAGCCTTTTCGGTACAAAAATCTGACAAATTTTCCATTTTCTGTTCAAGATTCTCAATTTTTGTGAGCGAACTTTAATGAGTTGTAATAAAAGACTGAATTGCTGAGTTTTAAAATATTTTTTTTTTAACTTTATGTCTTTAATGTCAATACAGATGTTTTTAAATGAGTCTTAGTCTGTACTTAATTGGTATGAGCTGAATAATTTAATCAATTTCCAACTTCCTTAAGCTAGTAAAATCCTCAAAATTAGTTTTATTTTCATAATTTCTCATTTTTTCTTCATCAACTTCAAGATTATTAAGAAAATTAATTAATTTAATAGTTGCAATGTCAAAAGCCTTCTTATGGTACTTAATACAATCATTAGAATTGTCAGTTCCACCGTACTCGACTGTCAAGTCTTTTACATCCAAAACTTTAGTCAAATCTTCAACATTTTTACAAATGTCAATTCGGTTCTTAATTTTATCATTCAAAAATGTCTTGACGATCTCAAAGAGTGAATTTGCAATTGCTGGAAGTCCAAGAATGATAATTTGTTTAAGTCGCAGTGCTCCAAATTCGCTTATTGATGCAACCTTTCCCAAAATATTTACGTCCATAATTTTCATATATTTCATGGAAATATCCCGAACGTCATGAATTGTAACAATTCCACAAATTTGGACTTCTGACTCAGCTAATAAGAATGCTGAAATCATTTGATTTAATTTTAGAATATTATGAAAAGTAACATTTAAATTTTCGAGAAGTTTGTGCCTAAAAATGCAAATTCGTCGTCCATTTTTGTCGTAATTTTTCATAATTAAAAATGGTCCTTTTTCATAAATTTCATTAAGTTCATACAAATTTGAATAATTTAAAATGTACGAGAAATTTTGATGTATTTTAATTATTTTATTAAAGCTTTCGTAGACTTTACTCATTTGGTACTTCCGGGCACGAAGAAATTGAACTATTTGCGATGGATCTAAAAAAAAGAATTTAGAAAATTTTAACAATAAATTTTAAGAACCAAGAACCGAAAACCAAGAATCAAGAACTAAGAATTAAGAACCAAAAACCAAGAACCAAAAACCAAGAACCAAGAACCAAGTACCAACAGCCAAGAACCAAGAACCAAGAACCAAGAACCAAGGACCAAGAACCAAGAACCAAAAATCTAGATCCAAGAATCTAGAACCAAGAACCAAGAACCAAAAACCAAGAACCAAGAACCAAGAACCAAGAACCAAGAACCAAAAATCAAGAACCAATGAACCAAGAACCAAGAACCAAGAACCAAGAACCAAGAACCAAGGACCAAGAACCAAGAACGATGAACCAAGAACCAAAAATCTAGATCCAAGAATCTAGATCCAAGAACCAAGAACCAAAATCAAATTTTCAATTTCTTACCAATTTCACATTTAGTAATGAACGGATGCTTGCTGAGCCACTCGTAAAACTGCTTGATTGACTGCTCCTTCCTAGACTCCGTCTCATTAAGGTCATTCTTAGCTTTTTCGATATAAAAATCTGACAATTTTTCCATTTTCTTTAAAAAAATTTCACTTTATGTGAGCTAGCTTTAAAAGATGTAATGAAAGACTGACTTGCTGAATATTGAAATATTTTTTTTTTAAATTTTTATTACTAGTTTGTCTTTAATGTCAATACAGATGGTTTGAGATCTGTCTTAGACTTTGCTTAATTCGGTCACACTTGAATATAGCGAACTTACTATAAGATGAATAACAATGAGCTGCTAAACCTAATCAATTTCCAACTTCCTGAAGCTCCCAACAGCCTCAAAACTTTTCTCATTTTCATAAATTTTTATCTTTTTCTCGTCAATCACAAAACTGTCGAAAAATTTGATTGCAATGTGAGCTTGATTTTCAACATCTTTTCTGCGCTGCTTCAAGCAATCATTAAGATTATCAGTTCCTCCGTACTCAACCGGCAAGTTCTTTACATCCATGACTTTAGTCAAATCTTCAATATTTTTCAATAAATTTAATCTGCTCTTCATTTTATTATTCAGGAATGACTTGGCCAGCTCAAATAGAGAATTCGCAAATGACGGAAAACCAATAAAATTGATCTGCTTGATTCTTATTGTATTGGAATCAGCCATTGTCAATATTTTACACAGTAAATTCGTGTCTATAATTTTAGTATAATTAAATGTCACATTCCGAAAATCATGAATCATAACAAGTCCACAAATTTGAGTTTCTGGCTCGTCTATTAAGCTCGCTCCAATTAAATGACTCAATTTTAAAATATTTATAAAACTAGCTTTAGAGTCTTCAAGAACTTTATGCCTCAGGAGCACAATTCGACGACCATCAGAGTCACGATCGTTCATTACTAAAATTGGTCCTTTATTATAAATGTCGAGGAGTTCCTTAAAGCTATGGAAATCGTAAAGTTGTGGAACACATCTTTTAAAGTTGACAAAATTGTTGAAACACTCAAAAACTTTGTCCATATTGTACTTCCTGGCACGAAGAAATGTGATGACTTGGAATGGTTCTACAATAAATGAAAAAAATTAAATTTATGCGTCGAAAATGAGGGGTTGTTGAGGGTCCCCCTACCTCCCCCTCCCCTCCATTTTGAAAATTTCTTCAATTTGCTAGGGTTTTTTGAGAAATTTTTGAATCCCGCCAAAAAATTTTTTTTTGACCACGCCCCTTTTTAGGGGTACGAAACTAAGCAGAACAAAAACCATGTTGTCTAAGCCTTAAATAATCAATTAAGGTTAGGATTGTCATACAAGTTTGACTTAATATCGGGATTCCACTTTATTTGACACCTTTTAAAAATTAAGGAGCATCCAGGAAGGATTTGAGGGTCACAGGCCCCTTCGGGTTAACATAACTCACCAATATCCAACTTGTTAATGAACGGATGCTTACTAAGCCATTCGTAAAACTGCTTAATCGACTGCTCCTTCCTTGACTCCGTCTCATTAAGCTCAGTTTTGGCCTTTTGAATAAAAAAATCTGACAAATTTTCCATTTTTTTGCTGCTGAACTTTTTTATGACAATTTTTAATGAGTTTAGGCAAAAGACTGACTTGCTGATCATCTTACATGTTTTTTTTTCAATAGCGTTCTAGCTGCAAGGTCAATGTTCGTACGTAGGTAATATAGACACAGATGGTTTGCTGTGAAAAAGTATAAACTTTACTTTACTTACTAAAAGCCTTAAGGACAGGGGCGTTGAGTGTGACTGTTCAAGGTTTATTGAGTCAATTTAGGGAGATGGCATTAGCTTAAGGTCATTTTGGAGTCAAGAGACTTCCTTGAACCCTTTGGAACCCCTGGATCACCCTAGAACCCCTGTCTAACCCAATCCAAAAATTAAAATGCAAAAATTCCCATCAAATTATCAATTTTTATTTTTATAAATAATTAATTCACAAATATTCGATATTTTCACCATCAAAATTGTCCACATCGTCTTCGTCCTCAATGTCATCCTCAACACTTTCCTCCTTCCTTCGGATTTCCTTCAATAAATTTGAGTCACTTTTGTAATGTTCCATTTTGTGGTCCTTGAGTTGCTTGAATTTAGCAAAGCTTTGCGAGCACATTGGACATGAATAGACATTTGGACCTAAGTGAACCTTCAAATGCTTGATGAGGTCGTTGGACTGTGCGTAGGCCTTAATGCAGTACTCACACTGAATGGATGTAAAAAAAATAGAAAAAAATTCAAAAATTTAAAAAAAATCTCACCTTGTAAGGCTTCTCCTGTGTATGAATCCTCAAGTGCCTCTTTAATGGACCTGAAGCTACAAACTTCATGTTGCAAAATTCACATGCATAACTTTTCTCATTCCTATGAATCTTCATATGCAGCTTTAATGTCTGAACTTTAGTAAATTTCGCAGGACATTCGCTGCATGCAAACTTCCTCTCATTCGTGTGTGTCGTCGTATGTGAATCTAGTCCAGCCTTAACAGCAAACCTTGCTGGACATAAATTACATTCGAATGACTTGATCCCTAAGTGCCTGAACAGGTGCTTCTTAAGATACTCAATTTCTGAGAACTTTTTATCACATTTATCGCATTCGAAGCATTTCGAAGAGTTTTGGTTGTGAGTGGCTTCATGCAGTCGCAGCTTGTGTGCCTTCATAAATGACTTTTTACATCCTGGATGTGTGCAGCTGTGCGGTTTGAAGCCTTTGTGTCTCAAAACATGATCAATAAAGTCATCACCAAATCCAAACTTTTTACCACAAAATGTGCACTGATTTGTGGCATTTTCAGCATGTAGCTTGGAATGTCTAATGACATTTGCTAATTTTGGGTAGTTCCGATTGCAGAGCCGACAATTTACTTCCGAATTTTCACCAAGCTCTTCACGATGTGCCTTCATATGCTCATTACATTCCTCATAATCAGGCAGCTGTGTCAAGCAGATCACGCACGTAAACATGTGACCAGCTGGATGTTTAATCTTTGAATTCTCACAGTCATCGCTGTGGATGTAACTGTGCCTGTCCAATTTAACTTTATCCCAGAATCTTTGTGGACAGTCTGAACATCCAAAGGGTCGATGCTGGTTGACCCCATTTAGTCGACTTTTTTTGTCATGAACCGACATGTGACGTTGAAGTTTTGATGGAGTCTCGACTTTTTTGCCACATTCTGGACATTCATGCTTGTATTCGCGTGGTGGGAATTTTGGTAAGACTGATGGATCTAAAATATCTTTGTGGACCAAGAAGTGCCTTCTTAGTTTCCACGGAGATTCAAATTTCTTTTCACAAATTTTACAGTCATACTTCCTTCCTATTGTTGTTGCTGCTGCTGTCTTAACATCGACTTTCTCAACATCTGCACGGTGACTGCTTGCTACGTGTATGGCAAGCATCTCAGATGACTCAAATGCTTGTTGACAAAGTGGACATTGGAAGTAACTTTTCTGAATGTCTAGGAACTCATCGTCTTTGACTGCCTCGATGATTATTTCCTGCTGTGTTTCCTCAATTATTGACTGTGTTTCTGTGATTTCATCAATTTTGGCTTCATTTTCTTTGAGTTCCTGGATTTCTGTGTCTGACTTGATGCAAGTTTCTCGGAAGTCGAAAGCTCGCATTGCGTTGTCTTTGCATGTGTCACAGATTGACTGTGGGAAGCCTAAAATTGGAAGGTTTTGGATTTTTATCAGTTATTTTGAAAGGGTTTGGAGGAATTGAGAATGTTTTGGGGGGTTTCTGCAGTTTTTGGAAGCTTTGTCTTTCTTTAGAGCTCTTTAGAGGTAGAGAAGATCCTTTTGTGGACACTTAGTTCTTTAAAGGAGCTCACAGTGGATTCTACAAGCTTCAGTTGGTTTTTAAGCTCACAGAAGGTTCTATAAGTACACAGGAAGTTCTACAAGCTCACAATAGGATCAAAAAGCTCTCAGCCCCGACAATAGGCTCACACTAGCTTCAATTAGTTCTCCATCCCCTTCTGTAGATCCACAAAACCCTTGAAACCCTTACAATACCCTCGATCAGCTGACAATCTCCTTCCTGAGCTCTTCTTCCCCTTTGTAAGCTCACAAAACTCCCAACAATTCCAAACCAGACTCACCATCATCAAGTGCTATGTTCAATCCAGTTATTAAACTCAGAATCTCATGCAGTTGCAGCTCTTTGTAGAAGCATTCGAAGATATTGTCAAGTTCTTCAGTGTAGTTCATGCAGCATCGGCAACATTCGTTGATTTCTATGTACGACACTTCCATTTGATTGATTTATCCAATAATATTGTGATTTGTGATGAAATTTGATTGTATTGGTGACTGAAATCCTTAATTCTTCAATAATGATCCATTTTTAATTGGAAATGCTGCAATAATTCCAAAAAATCTCAAAAAAATTCACAATTTTAGTTTTATTTTGTACACAAAAATTCGATTGTTTTTGTTTACATTTTGATACTCAGAATCTTTTAAAATCCCTTTTGGCGCGATCGAGAAGAAGCGACAAGATTTGAATTTTAAAAATACGTTATGAGATTGAGGAAGATGTTCCTTACACAATTTACTATTAAACACTTATATGGCATGTACAATCATTCCAAGCTAATTTCATCACCTATGGGGTCGTTCACTTATGACGTCCAACATGACATTGTGTCATAGGCGGGGGAACGCATTGTGACAGAGAAAGGGGGGACACATTGTGACATTGTGTTCTAGGAGGGGGGTCACATTGTGGTCATAGGAGAGGGGGGGGTCACATTGTGACAGAGGAGGGGGGACACATTGTGACAAAGGAGGGGGACACATTGTGACAAAGGAGGGGGACACATTGTGACAGAGAAGGGGGAGACGCATTGTGTTGTAGGAGGGGGGGGGTCACATTGTGACAGAGGAGGGTATGTGGTCGGAAATTTCAATAACATCCAATAACATCCAATTTTTTAAAACAGGACATCATAATTATTTTGTGTCTTGGACTGTACGTCACAAGGGATAACTGTGACAGTTTTGTGACAGAGGGGAGGGGGGGTGGGGGATTAAAAATTAGGTTTTTCGATGGACGTCATAAATGAACGGCCATGACTAAACACTATCTCAACTCTTATTTTTTTTTGCAAGCTAAAATCCACAACAATTTAATCGCAATTACCACAACCACCATAAAAAATTATTTCTCTTATCATCATCAACATTATTCAATTTCGGGTAAAAGATAAAGACGAATGAAAAATTTTCGGCGATAAGCGACGAGCCACAGAAGCTTGCATTACCAAACCCAAATAGAGCCATGACTCAAGACACTCAGTTCTTATTGAAAATCGCATGAATTCACATCGAAGCTGACGGAATAAAGATTTAAGACAAAAAATGCATCCTAAAGCATCGGGCCTCCCACGTGTTGAAAAGTGGCTGCTGTGCATTGATCTTAAAATTGGTGTTTTAATTTGGACGTGCTTTGAGTTGGGAATTTGGGCATTTTTATCGTATGCAGCTGTTGATAATGAAAGTGCATTCTTTAGTAATTATGATTTGTACAAGTATGAGGAGCATATTGAGGATAATTGGTACTTCCAAATGATTTTTGGACAACCTGAGGAGGATGATTATGACTACGAGATGGGGTGTGAGTAGAAATTTGTGGAAAAATTGTGAAAAAAATGAATTTTTTGAATGTGAGTTGAGAGTGAGTAATTGAGAGATGAAGCTTTTTTACCCCTTCCCCTCTCCCCCCCCCCCCCCCCCCTCTCCTAGCTTTGCTCATCGAGAGCTACAAGAGCACTGATCATAGGTAGATTAACTCCTAATGGTCCCTCTAGAACCTTGATTAGGGATCATGAGAACATCACAGAGTAGATCAGAACTTTAGAATCCTCCCCCCCCACCCCTCCCTCATACCATCATACCAAACAGCCAATAACCTTGAGCCGTGATCTAAGACAACAATTGACTGCTCCTATTATGTCACTAAAATACATATTATCTCAAACTATCTCACTTTAATTACTATGTCTCATTTATTAACCCAGTGATGGTCAACCCATATACCGCGGCACGATAGTGTGTAGCGAAAAAAACCCACAAACCGTAAGTAGTGTCCAGTTTCAGTCATGGTTAAAAATCAAGGTGTGCCATGGCTCAAAAAAGGTTGACCACCACTGAATTAACCGCAAATAATTTTCTTTTCACCAACAAAAGATAATGAAAAATTGTCCAAACAAAAAAAAATGCTGAATTTTTATCTTCTTTTTCGCAGATGAGTCAGTCATTGATGATACTGACGGCATCGATGAGGGATATCGCTGTAAGTATGAACACAAACTTATCAGATCGTTAATTGACTTCGGAAATACATTCAAACTTTGTGTTTAGTAATGAGAGTATTTATGGTCGATTACTCAAAGTTTTTGACGTCACAGAAACGTGCTCGGCTGTGGCATTAAAAATGTCGTCAATTAATTGTAAATGAACAAAATGTTGAAGCATGTGTGACGTTATGGATGATGATTTGGAGGCTTGAGTGAGAAATATAGCTTGAAAGTACCCAATGGACCATCGTGGACTCCTCCTTGACTATGCTCTTCCCTTGCATTGAATTTGATCTAATTTCTTTGCTTTTTATGCCTATTTCAGTTCAAACTATGGCTATCAATGGAATCTTGATGTTTGTTTTCATCGCTTACTTCATATTGACTGTGTTCTTCATCCTGGCGATTGTCAAGGTAAGCTAGGGTCTTCTAAGTACCTATTTAAGTCCCTCCTATCCCAACCCCATCTCAATCTAACTTAATCTTCAATTCCAGAGGTCAATGAATTTCGCAATCCCATACATCATCTTCGACTCATTCATCATCTGGATGTCCCTCATCTCAATCTTTGCAGCATTGTTTAATATGAATTTCGTGATGGTTAGGAATTGCTCAATCTTTGCATCCATCAAATTTTATCCAGCAATTTGTAATTATTCGTACTTTCGAGATGTTGGCGGGAAATTTACATTTTCCAGAGACATTCCACAATTTTTGAGAAACTCTCCGAAGACATTCGAGAGACGAAGTCAATATGCGGAAAGGAGGAGAATCAGTAAAATGAAAGAGAAAAGAGAGACTGAAAATGTTCATGAACTTCAAGTGCTGAAGCCAAAAGAGAAGTTTGAGGGTAAAAAGCAGGAAATTTTAGAAGTTGTTGTGACGAGATGAATTGGTGGAAGTTGGAACTCTTACTGAGAATTGAATCATGAACAGACCTCATATTCTAGTCTTATTGAATTACTAAGTTTAAGAAATTTTAGATTTTTAAGAAATTTAAATGAAATTTTATTGTAATTAAGGAAACTTATTTTTGGATAATAAAATTATAGAAATTATTAAACTTTTTGGATATTTGAGGTTAGGTAAATGTTTGTTTAGGTATAGGTTAGGTATAGGTCAGGTATAGGTTAGGTATAGGTTAGGTATAGGTTAGGTATAGGTTAGGTATAGGTTAGGTATAGATTAGGTATAGGTTAGGTATAGGTTAGGTATAGGTTAGGTATAGGTCAGGTATAGGTTAGGTATAGGTTAGGTATAGGTTAGGTATAGGTTAGGTATAGGTTAGGTATAGGTTAGGTATAGGTTAGGTATAGATTAGGTATAGGTTAGGTTTAGGTTAGGTATAGGTTAGGTATAGGTTAGGTATAGGTTAGGTATAGGTTAGGTATAGATTAGGTATAGGTTAGGTATAGGTTAGGTATAGGTTAGGTATAGGTTAGGTATAGGTTAGGTATAGGATAGGTATAGGTTAGGTATAGGATAGGTATAGGTTAGGTATAGGTTAGGTATAGGTTAGGTATAGGTTAGGTATAGGTTAGGTATAGGTTAGGTATAGGTTAGGTATAGGTTAGGTATAGGTTAGGTATAGGTTAGGTATAGGTTAGGTATAGGTTAGGTATAGGTTAGGTATAGGTTAGGTATAGGTTAGGTATAGGTTAGGTATAGGTTAGGTATAGGTTAGGTATAGGTTAGGTATAGGTTAGGTATAGGTTAGGTATAGGTTAGGTATAGGTTAGGTATAGGTTAGGTATAGGTTAGGTATAGGTTAGGTATAGGTTAGGTATAGGTTAGGTATAGGTTAGGTATAGGTTAGGTATAGGTTAGGTATAGGTTAGGTATAGGTTAGGTATAGGTTAGGTATAGGTTAGGTATAGGCTATGTATAGGTTAGGTATAGGTTAGGTATAGGTTAGGTATAGGTTAGGTATAGGTTAGGTATAGGTTAGGTATAGGTTAGGTATAGGTTAGGTATAGGTTATGTATAGGTTAGTTATAGGTTAGGTATAGGTTAGGTATAGGTTAGGTATAGGTTAGGTATAGGTTAGGTATAGGTTAGGTATAGGTTAGGTAGCAGATTACAATATAAAATCAATCTAAACTGCAACTTAAACCTTAAATTTGCCCAAAAGATTTCTTATCTTTTTGGTAGAGATTTTAAAAAACAGTCAGTTCAAAGAAAACAATCCACTTGACTTAAGTTGTCTATCATTCGAATTCGTCATCTACGTGATTTTTCCTTTACAACATGTAGCGTAATAAAACATCAAACAGAACATAGAGATTAAAATTTCCAATTAGTCATCATTTATTGTTTAAACTTAATAATAATTATTGCAAAATATCTTTAACTATAAATAACAATTCCAGTATTAGCTTCAATCCAATCAAGATAGCTTGTCACTCTTGTAAATACTAGTGGATATCCCAATGTGCAGCCCAGCTCAGCTCCAAATGACACAACACCAACCAGTGTCTTTTGACCAGCTGTGATTTCAGTGACTAGTGGACCACCTGAATCTCCAGAGCATGTTGACCTTCCTCCAGTTCCATTCATGCACAAGTTCGTACTTTTCACATTCACACTTCCATAAAGCTTTGCACAAACTGAATTTGCAACAATGTCTTGATTGATGAACCTTAAAAACTGTGATGGCTGTGATTTGACATCATCAATCTTTCCAAATCCACAAACGGTTCCGATTTTTCCTTCCAAAACAACTGATGAGTCACTTCTTCTTGGCAATGCAACATTAGTGACGTACGGACTTAGTGGAATTGCTCTTACAAGTCGAACTAATGCAATGTCATTAATAATTCCAAAATAATCTTCATGAATGATAAAATTGGCTGGTGTGACATCAAGTGTCCATATAGCAGGTCCATTGACTCTATCAATCATTCCAACATAAACTGATGTCCTGACAATTTCATCCAAACAATGTCCAGCCGTAAGTAGCCAATTGTGTGATATTATTGACGCTCCACAGACATAAGTGTCGCCGTAGCTATCAACGTTGTATAAAAATGCGTAGTAAGGAAATTGACCGAGGTATGCAAGCTCACCGCCTGCAATTCTTCCTGATCTAATTGCTGGATTTGTGTAGGCTTTTGGAAGGACTCGAGTCATGACTTCACGGAATCTAGCTGCATCCCATGGAGATGAGACTGTCCGCCAGCCATCTTTGACTGGAACTTGAGCAGAAATTGTTGTGATTGTGAGGAATATTGTGATTAATTTTAGCATTTTTGACATTTTTGAATGGTTTTTGAATATTTTTTGAACAGTTTTTAAATTTTTTGAATATTTTTGAATTTTTTTTTGAATTTTTTGAACAATTTTGAACTTTTTGAACAATTTTTTAATTTTTTAAATATTTTTTGAATTTTTTGAACAATTTTTGAATTTTTTGAACAGTTTTTGAATTTTTTGAATTTTTTGAACAGTTTTTGAATTTTTTAAAATCTAATTGTTCACTTTTATCAACAAAAATCCAACCTTAATGCACCGACAAACTCACTATAAATGTTTCACTTTTCGATATTTCGCAGTCGTTTTATTAAAGACGCGAGTGTTATCAATCATTATCAGCAACAATTGAACTTACCCGATAGGCATTTTGATATCAAAATAACTTGAATTGAAATTTTGTAATGATGCGAAATATTGACTTATTGGGAATGATAAATTGCGAGGACTTGAAGGTGAACAAACTGAGTTTTTGAATTGTTTATTTGGTGAATTTAGAGCATGATGGGGTCAATGATTAGTTTTTAGGGTGTCCTTGAGCTAATTTGGAGTTGATTTGGATGGCTTTTCTTTCTAGGGGTCAATTTTAAGGTCTACACAGGGCATCCTAGCTTCAATATGTGCTTCAATATATAGTTTAAATAAAATTTATCGAAGACTCAGGCAGGATGTCTCATGGAGCTCTAGAAACTGGTCCCTGATTCGTTAGATTACACTAAGGTTTGACATTTTATAGTTCACTTGGCATGGTTGACTTGATTAAGCTATATTATCGTTACTAACCCGAATGGCACAAGTCAATAAATCGATCAGAAATTCGGCATCAAGTCAGAGTGACTCTTGCATGTTGCTGGGTTCATTTCGAATCCAGCATCATGCCAAAGTCATGCTAGCTTCGCGCAGGATTTCGATTCGATTAACCGACTTGTACTATTCGGGGAAGCTATACTATAACCATAAATGTATCAAACAAATCAGCTTTTAATGTCAAATCATGCTAAATTTCAGAGTTGGGGGTCCAATACATACCCACGATGAAGTAGTAACGATGATATTCCTGTAAGATATAAAATTATAGTCAAAATAAATTTTTTTTTGTTAAAAATCTTATCAAATTTCATTTTGATCCACAAAATTGTTATTTTTAAAATAAATTTCTCTTAAATCTATCAAATTTGTCTACACTTTTACTCTATTTTGAAAATTTATCTTGAATTATTTAAACCTAGCAAATTAATAAAATAATCTACAGCATAAAATGAGTCACAATAGTGAGTAATAAAAATATTTTTCCTATCACAATATGAACTGCTGAATTTCCATCTAAATGAGACCCACCAACAGGACCAATTGTGCTACTTGATGGAGTTCTTTGAATCTTTCCAGTATGACTTTCGATCCATTTTAAATAATTGCTAATTCTTGTGAAGACTCCTGGGTGGCCTAAAGTGCAGCCGTGTCTAAAATTAAAGCATATTTATTATTTTTTTGTTCTTAATTGAGATAAAATAATGTTTTAGTGCCGTGGATGCTTACTTGTGACCAAAGCTAACGACTCCCACTTGAACAATCTCTCCTGGTGAGATTTCAGCTACTAATGGACCTCCGGAGTCACCTGAAAAATTTAATAGAAAATTTTTTATTAATGGTTTGTCTTTGAAATGTAGATCACACTTTGCTGTGATTTTCATTTAGGATGAAATTTCCTCGCTCTTAGCTTTAGGATTAGATTATATCAATTGTTTAGGATTGGGTATCGTGAGGATAGTCTACTTATATAGATTACTCAAGAGGTCTAGCATAGGTAAGAACTTAGAGTAGAGTTCTCCAAGAAATTACCTTGGATAACCTCAAAAGACCTTTATCCGCCTAAGATCAACCTAATCTAAACATCCGAAGGACCCTAAAGGCATAAAGACATAACCCCAGGCTCTACTCCAGTTATAATGCATTCTATACAGTCCTTTAGACTCAGTTCAAAAAGGGGGTGGGGTTGGAACCCAAAACACTGCGCTCCACCCCCTTGATACGCTCTTAGGGTTGATTTCTAGGTCTTCCCGGGGCACCTTTGGACATAGAAATTAATTTGGATGCACTGCAACATTGGATATAAATAAAGTTAATCTGAGACTTGGGTTGCATGCCCCGGGTAGACTTAAAAACCAAACTCTGACTATATGAATTTATCATGCAACCAGCCCCACTCTAATCTCAAAAAATAACAAAATAACCTTGAAATGTTTCAAAAATTACCAAAACCACCAAAAAAAAACCTCCAATAAAGAATTTACAACAATTTTGCAACAATCATTTCGTATCTTATCACTCTCAAAAGTTTAATTATAGCCAAATAATTCAAATAATTCCTTAACTTGACTTGATTCTGATCTAAATTGACTCACAGTTGCGTCAAACTGATATCACATTCCACAGTATGTCATAACTCTAATCAGTTGTCGATTACTCACCCGAGCAAACACTCCTTCCACCATTCCCGCTCATACAAAGATTTGTCGGTCGAATGAAATTTCCAAAAGTCATTTGGCACTGCTGATTAGAAATTATTGGCATTGTTACAAATCTAAGGTCAATTGAGGCTTTATTTGTATCAGATGTTGATCCAAATCCACTGACTGTGCCTCTCATGCCAATTAAACTGATATTAGCTTCAGCATGTGTTGGAATAGCGACAGTCGCAACATTACTATTGTCTAAAATTCCAGCATCAATTCCTTCCAATCTAATAAGTGCAATGTCATTAGCATGACTCGTTGGGATGTATTGTGGATGAACAAATAGTTGATTCCGACTTGTGACATTTCCAGACCATACAGTTGGTCCATTGATACGATCAGACACGCCCAAAAAGACAGCAATGCTAACAAAACCATGAAGACAGTGAGCAGCAGTCAGCACCCACTCATAAGTTATCAAACTTCCACCACAAATAAAATTTGAGCCATTTTTATCAATCATGTACATGAGAACTTGATAAGGAAATTTTTCGGCATTCGTTGACTCACCGCCAGCAATTCGTGCCTCTATGCTGGCTAAGACATTATCGTACAGGCCTGGAAAATTGGAATCGATGATTCGCAGGTAAAATTGTGACTCCATTGGTGATTTTGCGTCAATATATTCTTGCGGAATCTCCAATTCTTCACATTTATTCAGCACGAGTGAGCACAAAAGTGCCAGGCAAATTTTTATCGACATTTTTGGATTGAAATTTAAAGAAAGACTGGCTGAATATATTTGAAATTATTGCGATCGTGGTTGTATTTCATATCTAATCAATTCTCTATTGATAAGGTATTAAGGTTGTATAGAAATGTTGAGTTTGTGGTGGTATGAACTGATGATTGGTGACTATGAAATGATTGTGGATGTTATATTAATGAATCATTGATAATGTTATATTTTGAGCGTGGTTTTCGAATTGTTTTGGTGACGTTGAGAATGATTTCGATCAATATAACTGAAATTCTGTCAAAACTTGGTCAACTTAATTAGAATTCGGTCAGAATTTGGTTAACTTAGCTCGAATTCGGTCAGAATTTGGTTGACTTAGCTAGAATTCGGTCAGAATTTGTTCAATCAAGAATCGACCATAATTTAGTCAACTTAACTAGAATTCGGTCAGAATTTGGTTAACTTAGCTAGAATTCGGTCAGAATTTGGTTAACTTGGCTATAATTCGGTCAGAATTTGGTTAACTTGGCTATAATTCGGTCAGAATTTGGTCAGTCAAGAATCGACCATAATTTGGTCAACTTAACTAGAATTCGGTCAGAATTTGGTTGACTTAGCTAGAATTCGGTCAGAATTTGGTCAATCAAGAATCGACCATAATTTAGTCAACTTAACTAGAATTCGGTCAGAATTTGGTTAACTTGGCTATAATTCGGTCAGAATTTGGTTAACTTGGCTATAATTCGGTCAGAATTTGGTCAGTCAAAAATCGACCATAGTTTGGTCAACTTAACTAGAATTCGGTCAGAATTTGTTCAACTAGGCTAGAATTCGGTCAGAATTTGGTTAACTTATCTAGAATTCGGTCAGAATTTGGTCAATCAAGAATCGACTAAAATTTGGTTAACTCAACAAAAATCGGTTAAAATCTGGCAAACTTATCAAAAATCGATCAAAATGTTGTCAATTCAACTAGATTTTTGCTACTTTACTGAAAATAACCCAATTTATACTTTATAACCTCCAATCTTTTATTCTATATTTTCAAAATTACATTCCTATTGATATCAATATTGTCACTATCACAAAAGCTACTTGTCTACTACTAAACATAGCCACTCCTGAGTTAGGCGTTGTTGAAGAGATTGATTTTGTTGATATTGTTGTTGTTGCTGCAGTTGTTGTGTCATCTTCAAATGTTCCTGTTGTTGGAGTTGTTGATGAAGCTTTAGTTGTTGTCGTTGTTGTTGCTGTTGTTGCTGTTGTTGTTGTTGGGTTCTTAAAGTACTCAAATTTTTCATCCATCCAGTCAATGTAATTGCTGAGTTTTGTGAGCACAACTGGATACTTTATTTCGCAAAGACTTGTTCCAAATGAGACGATTCCGATTAAAAATCTTTGGTCATCCTCAGTGGTGATTACAACGCCTCCACCAGAGTCTCCATTGCTAAAAAAAATTAATTTAAGTTATCTTAAGTCTAGACTGGATATGCTGAATTCAAGTAGTTGCTAAATTTAAAGCGAAACCACTTCAAACTCGATTTTTTAACTTACCACGGGGATTCCCCAGTCTTTGTGCTTACACAGATATTATTTTCATCTAGATAATAATAAACCTCGCACTTTTCGTACTCCATGACTGGAATTTTTATGTAATTTAAGTTATAACTGGCTCCGCTGGCATCACTTGTCTTTCCAAATCCACAAATTGTTGCAATTTGATTCGTTAAGTCACCAACTAATGGCGTAGGCTCAATAAATCCTATTGACGATGATTCAAGCCACGATATTGACATCTTTTCTAAATAAATTAATGCAATGTCATTCCATAGCTCTTTAGAATCAAAGTTCTCGTGGACTATTAAGTGACTGTTGTCTTCAATTTTTAGAGATCTTTCTGGACTTGCTAGTCTGTTGACAATTCCGAAATGAACTTCCACATTATTAAACCCATAGAGACAGTGGCCAGCCTAAAATTGAATAAAGTTGCATAGTAAACTTTTAAAACTTAAAAATCCGTTAAAAATTTGAATTTTTAGCGGTTTAAATTTAAAAAAAAACGTTAAAAATTGAAATTTTACAAAGCCGTTAAAAATTCAAAATTTTAAAAACCGTTAAAATTTCAAATTTTCATAAAACCATTAAAAACACAAAATTCCTCACCGTCAACACCCAATCAGCTTTAATCAACGTCCCTCCACACAAATATCTTCTATTTTCTCCATAAACAATCACAAAATAGTCAAATTGACCTAGCACAGCTGGTGAACCACCAACAATTCGTCCATTTCTAGTTGCTTCTATGTCTTGCTTCAATGTTTTATTTAACACAACATTTTGATAATATTCTGTGTCAATTGGATCCACAGACTCACAGATAATCTCAGAGATTTTAACAATAAATAAAATTATAATTAAAAATTTCATTTTGCGTTGATTCGCGTGAATAATTCATCGACAAATGACTGCTTATTGAAGAAAAGTATTGTAAAGAGAACCTTTAATCTTCGGGAAATTCCCTTGATAAGATTAACAATTGAAATTGTAGTTGAACAATCAAGCTGTATGCAGCTGTCTTATCAAAGTTATTATATGGCTATTACTGTGATCGTTGATGATAAATTTATTGCTATGTGATACTTGAGGGGTGTTTGGCAGATGATAGGAATGTGGTGAAATTTAATTCTTTATTGTGGTGTTTGTTTTGAATTGATTGTGCTTTTAAGATCACTTAATCTCAAAAATTGTTGAACTTGACCTCAAAAATTGTCATACCTAACCTCAAAATTTTTGATATTAACCTCAAAAATTATTGAACTTGACCTCAAAAGTTTGTTGAACTTAACCTCAAAAATTGTCAAACTTAACCTCAAAAGTTGTTGAGCCTAACCTCAAAAATTGTGAAACTTAACCTCATAAATGGTCAAATTTAACCTCAAAATTGTCAAATAAAACCTTGAAAGTTGTCAAACCTAACCTCAAAAGTTGCTAAACTTAACCTCAAAAATTCTCAAACTTAACCTCAAACATTTTCAAACTTAACCTAAAAAATTGTCAAACTTGACCTCAAAAATGTCAAACTTTTCCTCAAAAATTTTCAAACTTAACCTCAAAAATAGTCAAACCTAACCTCAAAGTTGTCAAACCTAACCTCAAAAATTGTTGAACTTGAACTCAAAAATTAGTTGAACTTGACCTCAAAAATTGTGAAACTTAACCTCAAAAATAGTCAAACCTAACCTCAAAGTTGTCAAACCTAACCTTAAAAATTGTGAAACTTAACCTCATAAATGGTCAAATTTAACCTTAAAATTGTCAAAACAAAACCTCGAAAGTTTTCAAACCTAACCTCAAAAGTTGCTAAACTTAACCTCAAAAATTGTCAAACTTAACCTCAAACATTTTCAAACTTAACCTCAAAGTTGTCAAACTTAACCTCAAAAATTGTCAAACTTGACCTCAAAAATTGTCAAACTTAACCTCAAACATTGTCAAACTTAACCTTAAAAATTGTCAAAATTAACCTTAAAATTGCCAAACTTAATCTCAAAATGGTTGAACCCAACCTCATAAATTGACAAAATTAACCTTAAAAATTGTCAATCTTAACCTCAAAAATTGTCAAACTTAACCTCAAACATTTTCAAACTTAACCTCAAAAATTGTCAAACTTGACCTCAAAGTTGTCAAACTTGACCTCAAAAATTTTCAAACTTAACCTCAAAAATAGTCAAACCTTACCTCAAAGTTGTCAAACCTAACCTCAAAAATTGTTGAACTTGACCTCAAAATTGTTGAAATTAGCCTCAAAATTGTCAAACTTGACCTCAAAAATAGTCAAACCTAACCTCAAAGTTGTCAAACTTAACCTCAAAAATTGTGAAACTTAACCTCAAAAATTGTCAAACTTGACCTCAAAGTTGTCAAACTTTTCCTCAAAAATTGTCAAACTTAACCTCAAAAATAGTCAAACCCAACCTCAAAGTTGTCAAACCTAACCTCAAAAATTGTGAAACTTAACCTCATAAATGGTCAAATTTAACCATAAAATTGTCAAATAAAACCTCGAAAGTTGTCAAACCTAACCTCAAAAGTTGCTAAACTTAGCCTCAAAAATTGTCAAACTTAACCTCAAAAATTGTCAAACTTAACCTCAAACATTTTCAAACTTAACCTCAAAAATTGTCAAACTTGACCTCAAAGTTGTCAAACTTAACCTCAAAAATTTTCAAACTTAACCTCAAAAATAGTCAAACCTTACCTCAAAGTTGTCAAACCTAACCTCAAAAATTGTTGAACTTGACCTCAAAAATTTTCAAACTTAACCTCAAAAATAGTCAAACCTTACCTCAAAGTTGTCAAACCTAACCTCAAAAATTGTTGAACTTGACCTCAAAAATTTTCAAACTTAACCTCAAAAATAGTCAAACCTTACCTCAAAGTTGTCAAACCTAACCTCAAAAAGTGTCAAACTTAACTTCAAACTAAAGACATGCTTCCTTCCAAGTTGACTTCTTCTTTCTGGAATTTCCAGTACAGCACAACGCAAAAGAACTGCTCGAAGGACATTCATAAAATAGCTTTTGACCTATCACAACCAAAACTAATGAGTTTAATTAAAATAATAATTTTTATATCCTGTGCAGCATTGTCAGTTTGCAGTTCATCAGATATTTACTTGGAAATAAACCTTATATCATCAGCAATTACAGAAATTTGTGAAGAATATTTCATGAAAAAATCAATAAACTTTGACATAATTGTATTCGGCAATTCGACAGCACGTGTGAGTAAAATTATTGATCAATTTTTAGGACAAATTGAAGGCAAAGCTTTGTTAAACATTGAGTATGTCCAAAATCTAGACACATGGCACTATAGACTCAAAAATTCAGCTCTAATCTTCTTCAGTCAATCCAACGACATCTGGATGTTCTCAAGAAACTCAAGAATGTCAAATTTGTTCCGGAAAAGATTCAAATTTTTGATGTATTTTGATAAATTTCATCGATTTGATCCAATTATGACAAAAAATCAAGATGACGTCACCAACGTCCTCTCACATCAATATTATATTGTCAATAACAACGAAGTCATTCAATTTTATACATTTGAGTATTTTGAAGTTGACGCCTGCAATATGCCGACTAAAGTCATCCTCAATGTCTACGACAAAATCACTCAAAATTGGAACCAAAAACTTGAAAATCACAAAAAATTCACAAATTTTAATAAATGTCCGCTGATTGTTGCTGAAAATTACGGACCATTTTTGTATTTTAATAAAAATAATGAAGACCTGCTGAACTGCATTCGACGACGTACTCGGAACTGCTTTGCACTATTAACTCACTTTACTAGAACTAGAAAAGTTCAAGGATTTACTTACGATATTTTTGAAATTGCACAAAAAATTGCCAATTTTTCAACAATTTTTAGATTTGAGTCTGAAAAGCATAGAATTCAGCAAGTCGATGACTTCCCAGTAGTCAAAATATTCATGGGATCTGTCATCAAAATGTATAATTATGAAGTAAGTCCGACAGTCTACTCACTTAGTGGATATTTTGTGTTTGCAGTCACTCCTGGTGAATTTTATACCAATTATGAGAAGCTATTGCTGCCATTTGATGATGTCACGTGGATCCTCTTGCTGCTCACATTTGTTCTGGCTTTTTCTGTCATTTTTGTGGTCAAATTAATGCCAAAAGTTGTGAAAACTTTACTTTTTGGACACCAGGCTCTACATCCAGCATTGAATATCCTGCAAATATTCTTTGGTGTTGCTCAATTCAGGCTGCCTAAAGACTCAGTTCCACGATTCATTCTCATGCTGTTTATTGGATTCTGTCTAATTTTTCGGACTTGCTATCAAAGTAAAATTTTTGAGTTTATGACATCGGACATGAGGAAGCCACCGCCAAAAGATGTTAAGGATCTTATTAAGAATAACTTTACCATTAAGTCATGCAATGAGGGACATGAAATGGTCTTGAATGACATCCTTTTAACCTCAGATGAAAGGTAAAGCTGATTTAAGTTTCCCATCATGTTGTTTCCCCCCGAAAAAAATTTAATTTTAAATTTTATTTTTTAGAAAGTTCATCAAAATATTTGACAACTGCCAGGATTATGCGCATACTTATTGCAACTACTTGGACAAGGTTCGAGCAAAATTTGCATTTTTCATGGAAGATACTCAATTTTCAACATTCAATGCTCTTTGTCATGGATCTGCTGTTAAGCTGAAACATTTTAAAAAAGATACAACCTTAATAGCTTTATTAATGCTAAGGAATAGCTTTCTTACTGAAATTATTAATGATATTTTAGAAAAGACAATTCCTTTTGGAATTCCGCAATATTTGATGGACTTTCATCACTTGATGCTATTCAAGCACTACGAGAAAGTAATTGTTAAAGTTCCAAAGGTCCTAAAAGTCGATGATTTGGGTTTTGGATTTGTGCTTTGGCTTGGCGCCTGTGGAATCTCTTTTTGTGGATTTTTGATCGAAATAATTATGTTCAAAGTTAGGAAGCGGATAAGAACTGTTATTGGAGTATGGATGGTGCTGAGGATCCTATTTATGAGATTGAGAACTGCTGTGTTATGAAGAAGTTGACTATTTGAAGGGTTTAACTTCAGTTTTAGACTCTAACCGAACTTTTTTTGGATTTACAGTTCATCGAAAAGAGGTACGAAGGTCATCAAAAAGGGGGTACAAAGGTCTTAAAAAAAGGGTACAAAGGTCATCAGAAGGGGTACGAATTCGTCAAGAAGGGAAACGAACTCATCAAATCAATGGTACGAAGGGCATTAGAAAGGGGTACGAAGGTCATTGGAGAGGGCACGAAGGTAATAAAAGGGGTACGGAGGTCAAAAAGGAGTACAAAAGTTTTCAACGAGGTATGAATGTCTTCAAAAAGGGGTCTGAATCTCATCAAAATTATTCAGCAATATTCAAATTAATAAACAAATTTTTCTAATTCTTGGCAAAACTCAATAATAAGCAACGATTGCAGTCAAATCATCAATTCATATTGTGATTTTTGTGTGTTGTGGAATTCCATTGACTGGATTTTTATTAGAATTGATGAGGTTTTGTGTGGTAGTTTGTTTTAGGAATATTATTGGATTCAGGATTGTGCTTACAATTTTTAAGTTTGAGTTGAGGATTTTTAATTTTTGTTGAAGTTTTTTGGCTCTATCCTAAGCTAGACTAGTACCTGAGCTAGAAGCTCATAATATAATCATCCAACAGCCAGCCAGTCATACAGACAGACAGAAATCTTTATTGATTGAAAATTCGATTAATTTTGAATAATTTTTTTTATTTATTTTTTGTAATTTTTTGAATCTTATAAATTCAATTTCACAATAATTATAAACAAAATGGAATAAAATGCAAGCACGGACTCTAATCTCGTATCCCCAACTTCTTCTTCAAGTCAAATTCACTGATGTGATTCATTCTCTCAGTCATGCTGCACAGCTGTTGCTTATAGCATCCACAATCAAGCATTGCATCCGGTCTATTTTGGCATTTTTCGAGTAAATATTTTTCCATCACATAAACAACGTTATCTACTCCAATTTGAGCATCGAATGCGCCTGTACATATGTTATAATTAAAGTCTGCATGTTGAAGCTTCTCAATGTTGTCAAAAATTGTTGGATCAACGTGACGAAGTCGATTGTAGCTGAAGTCAATGCGCCATAATTTTGGTGTAAAGTCAAACAATCCAGCATTTAAAGTTGTTATTTTATTTTTATTAAGGTACAAAGAATGAAGATTCTTATACTCAATCAGGTCAAGTCGGTCGATAGCTTTAAGTCCACATTCGTAGATCTGAAGAGCTTCAAGGTTTGGAAAGAACTTAGTCATCCCCATGGGCATGTAATGGACAGCCTGTCCTTCTATCGCAAATGATTTTATATCAGATCCTGAATATCCAGCCATGTGCTGTCCATTGATCTTGTCGACAAATTGTTTTGGTTCCAAAACTTTAATGTCAGTTATTGGGAAGCACTGATAGTGATCAGGGAGGTACGCCCATGTCGTTATACGATAACTGCCTGTTATTTCTAAAGCACATGCTGAATCGATAATTAAAACAGCAATAAAAATTATGAACTTCATTTTAATGAGTCTGAATTGAAACTGAAACAGAAACTGCTGATAAAGCAGTGAACTTAGTAGATTTATGACACATCTGATGCTGGACACAGCAAACAAACCCCTGATTATCATGAATTAAGACTAGAATAAAGCAAGTTCTTGATAATGACATTACTGAAAGGCTGCGTCCAAGAGTCATGAGATGTTATTGACCGTTGGTGCTGTAAAAACTTGTTTTTGGACCATGATTAAATTGCATTCTTCGATCGTCAAATTGTTGACGATTAAAAAAAGTAAATTTTGCAAAAATGCAGAAGTTTTTAAAGACTTTAAAGCCAAGGGGATAACAGCTTTGTGAGGATTTGAAAAAAATGCACGAGGATAACAGCATGATTTGAAAAAAAAATTTTTGAATCCTGAATTCTCACCTTTTTTTAAATGCAAGGGGAAAACAGCATTCTGTGAAAAATTTCAAGGGGATAACGACATGATGAGTTGTTTCCCCCTTGATCGTATAAATTGATACCAAATTTTCATCAAAATTTTTACAAGTCATGTTGTTTCCCCCTTTTTAATTATTATTTACACAAAGCTGTTTTCCCCCTGACTCAGCATTTAAAGAATGTAAAGCTAATAAAATTGGATTTTGATGTTAATTTAAAGCAAATCAATTTTAGTATATTCAGAGAGCTCGTGCTTGCTTATTGGAAGTTGAGAATTATTCCAAAATAAAAAATTGTGACTTTATAACCTCAAAAATACTCAAAACCATGATTGCACATATTTTCTTGCTGATTTGCATCATTTTTTGTACACAATCTCAAGATCCATCCGACGAGCAGCTCTTCAAAGCCTTCCAAAAACCACAAATAATCCAAAACCTCAAAATCATCAATGGACATTCAGCAAATCGCGATCAATTTCCATTCAATGTCATGCTAATGCTATTAAGTCCTAAAAATAGGTATTACGGCTGTGGTGGAAGTTTAATCAAAAGTAATTGGATTCTTACAGCTGCACATTGCCTTGTCAACGCATCGTCTGGATTTGTTTATGCTGGAACAGTGGATTTAATCAACGGTCCAACAGCATACAAAGCTAAGTTTCAAAAGACCCAAATGTTTCTTCATCCTGGCTTTGTAGATGTCAAAATGGGAAATGATATTGCATTGATCAAATTGCTAACGGAAATTCCAAAAAGTAATTTTATTCAAATTGTGGACATGACATGTGGCAATTGTGAACTTGATGGATTGGATGGAACCGTCATGGGATTTGGAGCTGTAAACGCAAGCGATGGACGAGTCTCAATCACAATGAAGTACGTCAATATGGACATTATTAGCAATTACGATTGTGTCCGGTTCTGGCCTGATCCAATAACTGATGAGATGTTGTGCACGAATTCTAGCTCTGGTGGAACTACATGGTAAGGAACTGAATTTATATTGAATTGTTATAATTTTTTTCAATTTTAAGTTTTGGAGATTCTGGTTCTGGATTGATTGTCAAGCTGTTAGGAAAGGATATTCTAGTCGGTGTAGTTAGCTTTGGCAACCATAAGTGCGCTGTCGGTAACAAGCATCCTCAAGTTTTTACTCGTGTTTCTAAATTTTTGGATTGGATTATTAACACAATTAAGATTAATTGTCGATTTTAAAGTGCAATGGTACTGACTTACTAACATACTCAACACCACAGCCATAAAACGTGTGAAACAATAAAAATTTACATTCAAATGATAAAGCTTAAATGCCTTGTTTTGGAAATAAACTAAAATTAAAGCAGTAATCAGTCTCTTTTTTGTTTGTGTAGCTGTTGTTTCTTAGTTTGAAGCTTAAAACCATGTTGATCCACTCGATACTGTTGCTGATAATTCTTCATCTTACATTCTGCTCTGAAATACCACGTCCAAGTGAATTTAACGACATTACATTTGCATCTGATGATCCAAAAGGAATCAAATCTCAAGAAAACTTACTCAGGACCAACTTAAGAGTCATCAATGGATTTCCCGCAACTCTTGGTCAGTTCCCTCACGCCATTTTTCTCCTTATGAAGTCAGACACGAATAAAAATTATGGATGTGGTGGAAGTTTAGTCAAATTGAATTGGATTCTTACAGCCGCGCATTGTTTGAAGAATAAAATGTATGGATTCGCGTATGCAGGTGTTGTTGACATATTTAGGGGACCTTACGGGTCTGCTGAGAAGATTGAGCTTGATCAAATGTATCCACATCCAAAATTTATGACAAGCAATCCAAACTTTCAATATGACATTGGGTTAATTAAACTTCTAGAAAAATTTCCTGAGACTCTAAACATTGGAACTATTGACCTTCCTTGTAACTGTCCAGAACATTACAATATAAATGGTGTTGAGATAACGGCTACGGGATTTGGATCAACTGATGTAAAAACACCGGGAGTAAGTCCATTAAAGTATATAAGCATGACCGTCATGGAACAAACAGTGTGTCAAAAATACTTTGAAATTCAAATTCAAGACAGCATGTTGTGCTCAAATACTAGTCTAGGAATGACTACTTGGTGAGTTTGTTTTTTCTATGCTAGTCCTGGTCCTGGTACTCCTCCTACACAAGCCTTTGTGGTGATCTAGGCTTGGTCTAGTTTTGATCTATACCTAGTCCTACTAATAACCTTGTCCTACTCCTAACCTAGTCTTGCTCCTAACCTAGTCCTGCTCCTAACCTTGTTCTGTTCCTAACCTAATCCTGCTGCTAACCTAGTCCTGCTCCTAACCTTGTTCTGTTCCTAACCCAATTCTGATCCTAACCTATCTTAATTTTAAAAATCGTTTCAGCCTTGGTGACTCCGGATCAGGCCTGATTGCAAACATCCAAAATCATAAGGTTCTAGTTGGCGTCGTAAGCTTCGGAAATGTTTATTGTTCAGCCGGAAGTAGCTTTCCTAGTGTATCATCTAAAGTATCAAGCTATCTTGATTGGATTCATGAGACATTCGACAGTAATTCAGCATAATGTTTCAAGAACACTTCATCAATGTCAATGAAAACTTATAAAAGGTTTGCTGCATTATTTAATAACGCTTCTTTTATTGCTGAGCTAATAACAATATTTGAATAAGTTCAGTATGAACATACTTAACATACTTTTGTATCAAAAAAAGTGTCAAATAAATTTTCAAAAAAGTACTTAAATTTTTATTGTGTTTGATGATTAAACAGGTAATAAAGAATTTCTAGACTGATAAAGAGTCGGTATTTAAAGGCACTTTTGTAGTTTAATTTGCTGAGTATTGTGCAGCTTTATTGGCTCTGAGCAGTCAAGTTTGACGAGATTTGCTGGATTTTTTTATGAAAAGTGAGTCAATTTTAAGGTTAGAATTTAAAATATGATCAACTTTGAGGTTAAATTTCCAAATTTGAAAAATTTTGAGGTTAGAATTTAAAATTTTAAAAATCTTAACCTCAAAATTCAAAAAAAATTCTAACGTCAAAATTCAAAAAAAAAATTCTAACCTCAAAATTCAAAAAACCCAACCTCAAACTTTCTAGAAAATTTCTAACCTAAAAAAACTTTCCAGCACCAATCGTTTTAAAATGTGGACTAAAGTCATCCTAACCTCAATCACACTTCACTTAACCCTAACCTCAAAAATTCCACATCCAAGTGAATTCAAAAACATAAAACCAGCTTGGGATGATCCATCACTATCTCAACTATTCGACTCATATCCTGATATCCTTGATGCTCGACGTCCTCCTCAACTTGGACGAATCATCAATGGATTGTCAGCAGATCTCGATCAATTCCCATTCGCAGTCATGTTGCTGACCAAAAATGGAGACAATGACACTCTGGTTTGTGGCGGAAGTCTTATAAAAATGAATTGGATTCTTACGGCTGCACATTGTCTAGCTGGAAAAACAGAAGGCTTCATATTTGCTGGTGCTGTTGACATGAAGAATGGAACGATTGCATGGAGAGGAAAGTTTAATCAGTCACAGATGTTTATTCATCCAGAATACCTATTCGATCAGTATGTCAACAATGACATTGCACTAATTAAAATACCATCGAGAATTCCATGTAATAAGCACATTGGAGTCATTGACCTTCCATGCAGCTGTGATGAACTTGATTTTGTTGATGGACTTGAAGTGACGACGATGGGATTCGGACAAACAAATGGAACCGTTGCTGATGTGTCTTTAAATATGAGATTCATTGAGGTTGAAATAATGGAAACTTGCAAGTGTAAGAAGATGTTTCCGTTTCCAATTTTTGATTCAATGATTTGTACGAGTACTATGAGTGGGATGAGCAGTTGGTGAGTTGATTTTTTTATAAACTTTAAAGCTGAGCGTCACAATTCAAGTTTTAAAGCTGGGCGTCATAGTTCAAGTTTTAAAGCTAAGCGTCATAGTTCAAGTTTTAAAGCTAAGCGTCAAATGTAAAATGCAAGTTTTAAAGCTGATCGTCAAAGTATAAGTTTTAAGGCTAAGCGTCAAATAACAAGTTTTGAAGCTGAGCGGCAGACTATGTTAATTAAAATAATTTTTTTTGCAGCATGGGAGATTCAGGATCAGCTTTAGTTGCCGAGATTAAAGGGAGAAAAGTTCAAATCGGAGTTGTAAGCTTTGGCAACAGAAAATGTGCGACAGGAAGTGACTATCCAGTTGTTTTTGTGCGTATATCAAGCTACTTAGATTGGATATTGGGCATACTTTACTCGAATTAAGAAGTTATTGATTTGTAGTTTTGAATATGATCAATTGAAATAAAATGAAGATAAATTATTAAAGCTTATAAATGCAATAGACTTGATATGAATTAAGCCATCACCTCTGAGGTCAATTCTCTCCATGACGCTCATCATGACGTCAATCCATTATTTAAAATTGTCAAAAACTAAAGTAGATAAGAATTTAAAAAAATTTGTCAAAAAATAATTATTGTCAAACAATTAAATTGTAATCAGATAGGCATGAAGGCTTATAAAAAGCAGAAGCTGAGCTGTCATTGAATCAGTCAAGTTCACTAAGTTCCATTGAGTCAAACAAGGTTGAGAGGAAATAAATTTGAAGATCGACAGTTTTTCATATTTTAGAAGAAAAAAGTTAATCAAAATGAATTCAAGGTTATTTCTGATGTTGGTGCTGACATTTTGCTCTTGTGCTGTAAGTAGACCATTGTTTAGGGCAGTAGTGCTTAAACTTTTTTGTCACGTCACACATTGGTGATTCCATGACGGAACCACACACGGTTCGTGGCACATGGGTTGGCGATTACTAGTTTAGAGGTTAAAATTTCACAATTTTGAGGTTAAGATTTCATGATTTTGAGGTTAGAAGCATAATCCTTTATAAGGTTAGAATACCAATTTTTGAGGTTAAATTCCCTAAATTTGAGATTAAAATTGAAGTTTTAAGGTTAGAATCAAAATTTCTAGGCTAGAACCCCAGAATTTTGTGGTTAGAAAATACTAAACTTAACATTTCCCTCTCAGCTCGTTAATACTGCTCCAATGGAAACGCAGATTGAAGAGGAATCTAACTCGGATATTGAAAAAACATACAACGAGCTTCAAAATCTAAAAAGAGTCGTTCGTCAATGTCCATTTTCCGGTGGTGGAGGATTTCCTGGAGGTGCAGGAGGTGGACCAGATCTTAACCAAATGATTTCAATCGCCAGAACAGTTCTGAGTATGCTTGATGGAGCTAATGCTGGTGGTTCTGGTGGTGCTGGTGGTATGCCTGGACTTCCAGGTGGCGATGGAACGAACACACAAGTTGACAACAATGTTTTGGGAAGATTAATGAGAGGTCGAAGAGGTTAAATTTCAGGAAATAATTATAATTAAAATATTTTAAAGGTTAAATAAATTTATTTAAAACAAAATTCAGATAAAAATCAGGCAAATATTTTTAATTACTTTTTTCATTAGTTTTTGGATGTTTCATATAAGAGCGATCAATGTTCGTATTTTTTCTGTTTCAGTTTTACAATTGTACAAATAAGTTGTTCAGAAAATAAGAGTAAGAGTAATTTTTTGGAATTAATAAAAGAAGATGAGAAAGTGGGTTATGTGTTTGGCAATGATTTGTGTGGTAAGTAAGAAGATGAAGTCATAAAGATGTGAAAGAATGAAAAGAACATTGTGGTACGAATGGGAACTCAAGAAGATTAGCAAGAGCGTAGCCGGTTCTCTTTCAATGACTCAACTATGAATTGATTTTAAAATAAAAAAAACTCTTAAAGCCATTCCTAAATTTACAGGTATTCCATCAATCTTCATCACACTTCATCATCCCAAACAGCCTGACTAGACGACAACTCACAAACTATCAAGATGTCACCAAACAACGAAGTTTAGATGCCTTACAAAAAACTACGAATGGAATTGTGAATCCAAGGGATGTCTTGATTCTAGCTAGACAAGTTTTGGATATGATGATTCATGTGACAGACAGGGAAGACTACAAACGAGCTGAGAACATTAAATAAATTGTTTTTGTTTGCAAATAAAATTATAGAAAATTGCAAAGATGACAAAAAAAAGATTGTTGATTTAAAATTAATTTACAAAATATAAATAAAAAGTTTGTGTAAAACAAGCAAAAAAGTGACTTTAAATAAGAATCAATTTGAGCTTTCAATGTCAATGTATAACAGTATTAACTCAATTTAAAAGTTTGGTCACTATAGTTGGTTTATTGGCATCCCACATCAAACTCTTTTCCCTACCTAACCCTATCCCATACCTAACCCTATCCCATACCTAACCCTATGCCATACCTAACCCTATCCCATACCTAATCCTATCCCATACCTAACCCTATCCTATACCTAACCCTATCCCATACCTAATCATATCCCATACCTAACCCTATCCCATATCTAACCCTATCCCATATCTAACCCTATCCCATACCTAACCCTATCCCATACCTAACCCTATTCCATACCTAACCCTATCCCATACCTAATACTATCCCATACCTAACCCTATCCCATACCTAACCCTATCCCATACCTAACCCTATCCCATACCTAACCCTATCCCATACCTAACCCTATCTCATACCTAACACTATCCCATGCCTAACCCTTTCCAATACCTATCCCTATCCCATATCTAACCTCATTCCATCCAAACCCAACTAGCTTTTCTTACTAAAATATACCTGAACATTATGGAAGTAAAATATTGCAGTTCAAAACGTCTACCTGAGTTGTGCATCCTCAAAATCGGATTCCCTTTAAAAAAGAAACAAAAAATTACCAAAAAAAGGAACAAAAAAATTATTCGACGAGGATGAGATTCGAACTCACGCGGGCAGAGCCCATTGGATTAGCAGTCCAACCTATTAACCACTCTAGCACCTCGTCGTCACACTTGTTTTCACATTTGGCTAATTTAATGTTTTTATACATTTCAATATTGAAGTCGTGCGTCTGTTTTTTTTTGTTGGCAGTGCTGGAAATTATTTTTAATGACTATAATTTTAAGTTGTTTTTTGATGTTTATTGTGCGATAATATAAAAGATGAGCGATGATGAAATTTATTTATTATTGAAACTTTTGTTTTATTTGAGTGACTTAGTCGTGATTTAGTATGAAGTTCCAACTTGTAATCTTCCTGCTCGCAGCAATTGTCTTCCAAATTGCCAACTCCAAACCATCAACATCATCAGCAGATGACAGCGATGAAATTTCCGACGTTGTTGAAGAAATGATTAAAGTTTGCAAAGCAAAAAGTTGCAAGAAAGAAGACATTTTGAAGGAAGTCCAGACAGCTGTTGAAAGTCATATGAAGTCTGTCAAGCCTGGTGAGCTCAAGCGTGACGAAGTCCTCAAGGATATTGATGCACTGGCGAAGCATATTGGAGAAAATGAAGTGATTAAAGGAAGTGAAATGAAGGAATTTTTGTTGGGAATGATGAAGAAATACGAAGACAAATTTGGAGCTGCTGGAGCCACAACAGCAACAACCAAGAAGACAAAATAATTTTTTTTCTCGGTTATGTTGTTGAATTTGGCGGGAAAATAAAGTTTTTGAGGTTATAATGTTGAAACTTGATGTAAAATTCGTTATTTTGAGGTTTTGTTTTTGAAACTTGATTTTTCGAGGTTATGGACATATGGACATATGGTTACTTTTGAGGTTATGGAACTAAATTTTAGAATTTTGAGGTTATATTGCTGTATTTAGAAGTTTGAGGTTATGGAACTTAATATTAGAAATTTGAGGTTATGTTACTATATTTAGAAGTTTCAGGGTTATGTGCCTACATTTAAAAACTTTGAGGTTATGTTGCTACATTTAAGAGTTTTGAGCTTATGTTTCTAAGTTGTACACTTTTGAGGTTATGTTACCAATGTTCCATATTTTGAGGCTTTCCAGCAATTCACCTACAAGTTCAATTTAGTAACTCTCGAACTAAAAATCGTCCACACAATCCATAGTCCAACAAAGTTTCTCAAAGTCTTCCAAGACCTATATACCAGCACTTCCACTAAGAAAACACCAGCTGATGCCCCACATGCACATAACCACAAAACAAATCCAAAACACAAATCCGTGACTTTCAGTGGCCTTGGTGAGCTATCAACGACTGGCTTGTAGGTTTTAAACAAATGCTGAGTATGAAAGTCTTCCAGATATTTTGGAATTCCAGCTGGTACTAGTTTCTCTAAAACGTCATTTAAGACATGATAAATAAGGCTGTTTCGAGGCGTTGCTAAAGTTGTCAATGTTGGATTCATCCAAAAACCTTTAAGTGCATGTGCTGAACCTTGACAAAGTGAATTCATCGACACAAACTGAATGTCTTCCATAAAAAATGCAGTATTAGCACTGTCATCTGAGAATAAGGTACAATAAAGTCGTGCTAGTTGTGAGCAGTCGCCAAGAATTTGAATTCTGCTTCTTCGCCTGAAATTGAATGATTGAAGGTAGTGGTGTCCAACCTTTTTTATGCCACGGCACACTTAAAGGCTAGCCATGATCGAAACCGCTCACAGCAAAGTTTTAGCCCACTAATGTGCCGCGGCACACGGGTTGGACATCACTGATTTAAGGTGACATAAAGGACATATTTTAAGGAATTGGGGTCAAACTTACGAATTTGTATTATTTGGAATGATTTGTGACAACAGGTACCACGCATGGTTACCGCCGCATGTCACAATTGTGTAGTTCTTGACAATCAAATCCTCAACAGTAATTGGCTGTGGCTTCCTCATATTCGATGTCATAAAATCAAACAATTTACTCTGATAGCATGTCCTGAAAATAAGACAGAAGATGATGAATATTATGAGAAGGAATCGAGGAACTAAAGCCATGGGCAGCCTCATTTGAGCGATTCCAAAGAAAATATGCATTATATTCAGGCCGGGATTTGAAATATTCTTTCCAGCAATTGCATGTCTAAAACGTCTATCCACAAATTTGAACATTAAGACGACGGCGAAGGCAACCATGAAAATGATAGTCAGGACGATCCACGTGACGACGTCAAATGGCAGCCAAAGTTTCTCATAATTTGAGTAGAATTTTGATGGAGTTACTGCAAATAAGTGACTCGTGTCTAAAGTTAGTGCTGTTGGGAAATAACCAACATTAAGGGTTTGATTGAAGATCAGGAACTGTGGCTTAATTATTGGGAATCTTTTTAAAGCATGGCTGATGATGCCTCGAATGTTAATTTTGAAAATTGTTGTGAAATTTGCAATTTTTCGAATTATTTTAAATAAATCGACTGTAAATCCTTGCAGCTCATTGTGGATTTCTAGTTCCATTAAATAATATTCGCAGGATTCGTGATGTTCCTTAAAGCATTTCAAGACTTTGCCGCCTTGGTTTTTCGGGTATAAATACGGACCAAATGCATCCATGACCACAAAAGTGCAGCTGTTGAAAGTCCTGAATTTTTGATGATTTTTAAGCTTTTTTACCCATTTTTGGACAGGTTTTTGGAAAGTATTAAGGATCACAACTTGTGGCTGATTGCATTCTGGATAATCAAAGTTCTCGACAGTAACAAAATTAATTCTGTGACGAAAGTTAACAAAAAAATATTCAAAGGATGCAAAGTCACCAGCCTCAGTGCTGGCAAAATTGTAAGATGGAAAAAATTCCAAAGTTTCGTCACAATATGTCAAAAATTTCAGTTCCTGTGGAGAAAAATTGTCTAATTTTACATTTTTGTGGAACTTGTCGACTAGTTTTGGATTGTCGAAAAATAAAACAGCTGAGCTGACAATCCTGTGGTTCCAAGTGTCTGTTTTGCTGACGTGCTCGATTTTTATCAAAGTTTTATTGACAATTTGGATCAGAAACTCATTAATAATTCCGTCAAGGTGACTTGTTGTCTGTCCATAAATGATGACATCAAAATTTATTGATTTTTTGATGAAAAATTCGTCACAAACTTCGGCAATTGCTGTTGATATGGCGAGGATGTCTTGTTAATTGATCAGACAGTCGCAAAAATATCCGCAAAAGATGCAAAAGATGATAAAAATGCTTTTGAATTGCATGTTTTTTTATTGAATTTTTCACAGAAACTTTTGGTCTTTTAGAAGTTCTCGAAGCTAATAAATTTTATTTCAAGCTTAAATAAGTAATAAGAAATTTAATTGACATCAATTAAAGCTGTTCTAGCAATAAAAAAATTATTTCAGAATTTTTGAGGTTATGTTACATTTTGATAGAGTTTGAAAGTAAGTTCTTTAGAGATTTGGGTAGGGAAGCCCTTAAAACTGACTTTTTAAAAAAATCCTTTCTTCATTCTTGTTCCTAATGTCAACAAAATTATCCACAGTCCTACCACAATCAAAAAAAGTCTTTTTAAATTGAAATACATTATTTCAGCTATAAATCCAGTCACAGACACTAAACAAGCACCAAACCATATCACAAAACCATGTTCTAAGTCACGGACCTTAAGGACTTTTGGTAAATTATCAATTTTAGGATAATATGTTCTATAAACAATTGACTCGTGATGCTTGATTAAATGTTGTGGAATTCCAGCAGGAACTATTTTTTCCATTAACTTATCGATTGTCCTAAAGATGAAGCTGTTCCGGTGTGTATAAAAAACTGGTGTTTGAGCTTCTCTCTTGAAATGTTTCAGCTTGACTGCAGCACCTTTGCACATTGAACTTAACATACTGTAGCTGTATCTTTCCAAGAAAAAAGCGAGCTTAGCATTTGGTTTGTTGTAATTGTTGCAGTACAATTTAACATTTTCGATGCAAACTTTGTGAACTTTTAAATTAACACTGCAAAAAAATATTTTAAATTATACTGATAGTGAAACACCTTCGTACCACGGTATTATGACCTTCGTACCCCCTTTTGATGATTTTTTGTACCTTGTTTTGATGACCTTTGGATCGATAACCGAAAAAAGTACGAATTCTATCAATAAGGGGTAAAAAGGTCTTGAAAATGGGGTACAAAATTTTTCAAAAGGGGTACTAATGACCTCAAAGTGGGTACGAAGATTATCAAAATTGGGGACGAAGGTCTCTAAAGAGGTAAAAAGGTCACCAAAAAGGAGTACAAACGTCATCAAGAAGGGGTAAGAAGGTCTTCAAAATGGGGCACAAAATTTTTAAAAAGGGGTACGAAGATCATCAAAAAGGGGGACAAAGATCAGCAAGAAGGGGGACTTAAGTATATAATAAGGGATACGAAGGTTTTCAAAAGGGGTAAGATGGTATTCAAAAAGAGGGTGTACAGGTCATCCAGAACTGCACCTTTTTTTTAAAAATATTCCTGTAATCCAATTTGAAAACTTAAATAATGTAACAAACCCAATCCATACCTTTTGTACCCTTCAAGAACGACATCTTTCAATATTTTCTCATGTCCAAGTGCACAAGTCACAATTGTGTAGTTCCTGTCAATTAAATCCTCAACTTTGCTTGGTGGTGGCTTCCTCACATTGCTCGTAAGCAATTCAAATGACATACTTTGATAGCAAGTCCTGATAACAATACAAAATCCAATAAACAGCATTAAAATAAAGCGAGGAGCTGATGCTGCTGGTAGCTTCATTTGTGAGATTCCGAAAAATATTTGAATAACATTTAATGCTGGACTGATGACTTCCTGTCCAAATACTAAGTATTTGACGATTTTAGGTGCAAAGTTAAGTCCAAAAATTACAACAAAAGCAGCAACAAATGTCAAAAGCAAGAGAAGCCATGTCATGCGATCAAATGGGAGCCACAGCTTTTCATAAGCCGTATAAAAATCAGCTGGAGTTGCAGCAAAAAGGAAGCTGTTTTCAAAAGTCAGTGAAGTCGGTGCATAGCCATTCAGCATATCCCCATAAATACCAACATAAGTTGCAACTTTTGGGATTTTAGTAAACAGTATCAAGTCAGATGGATCATAATAATCCTGACGAAGCTCAAATTGTGGCGTGAAATTTGCAATAATTCCCGCCATTTCAAAAATGTCGACAATAAATCCTTGAAGTTGTTCACTCAAAACTAACTTGATTATTAAGTTTATGCATCTATACTGCTCATTGGCAAAGCATTCGTTGACTTCAGATATTCCTTTCTTTGTGTACAGGTACGGTCCCCACTTTTCATTAACACTCAATGGACATTCATTAAAGTTATCGAATTTCCAGTAGTTATTGAACTTAGTTGACCAAGTGAGACTTGATCTATCGAATAAATTGACAAATTGAAGCACTGGATCGTTGCAAGATTGATTATGGAAGTGCTCATAAGTCATCAAGTCGATAGTTGGTCCATCAAATGAGTTTCCAATGAAAAATTGGTGAGACACAACAGAAGTAATGTCAAAGATGTAGCTATGATTAAATATCTCATATTTTGTCATTAGTAATTCACTAGCAAATCTATAATAAGTCAAAAATTTCAATTCTTTTTGAAAATTATTGCCAAGTTTTGCGTCGCTTGTGAACTTTAGAAGATGAAAAGGACTGCTGCACAGAATCACAGCTGATTGATTAAGTTTATGAACCCAATTGAAGATATTTGTGACATGCTGGATGGTAACTGGAGATTGACTTGATAGTTTGCGAATCAGATGATTAGCTATGTCATTCACATGACCTGTAGACTTTCCATACAAAATGACGTCAAATTCTATTGATTTTTTGATGAAAAATTCTTCACAAACTTCTGCGATTGCTGATGAAGTTGCTTCAATTTCAGTGTTGTAAGGAATTAAATAGCAAGTTACAAGCACTAAGCAATAGAAAACTGCAAAATATATTTTTAAATTCATTTGTTTTTGGTTTTGGTTCAAGAGTTTAACTTTAGAATTTTTCCTTATTTTCCACTATTTCCAAGGGGATAACAACATAATGGGGAACATAGTGTTAGTGGATAATTTTTGATCTCTTCGAAGAACTTTGGACTTTGGAGAAGGTAGTTGGGATATTATGGAGCCAGGTGGGTGGGGGGGATTGAAAAAACTCCCCGAACCCCTTACTTTCAAAACTTCTATTGCCTCCTTTTCAAATTCCAAGCTTTTTACCTTTATTGAAAAAGCTTTGTCTTCAACGAGGGAGAGGGGGAGAGGGGGAAAGGGGGAGAGGGGGTTGGGTAGTAGATCAGAAAGTAAGTATTTGAAAATTTCCCATCATAAAATTTTCTCATCTCGTTGTTTCCCCCCTTTAGTACACTGGAAGTTAAGCACATTAAATTGAGGTTATGTTCATAAATTAATACAGCTTTATTCTATATTCTAATTACAATTCTAAATTAGTCCATTCCTTAATCTTATTCTCAATATACTCATCAGCATCCACAGACCAATGATAGATCGACAAACTCTTCTGCCTTTCAGCCATAAATGTTCCATCAAAAATCCAACAGCTGAGATTCCACACGATCCAATCCAAAGAACAAATCCATATTCTAGGTTTTGTAGTGTAAGAACTTTGGGATCACTATCAATTATAGGATAATAAGTTCTATAAACATTAGACTCATGATACTTGTTCAAATATTGAGGAATTCCAGCTGGAACAATTGAATGATTCTTCGCGATATTGTCGTAAGTCCATTCGCAACTTTGAAAATCCGTAGTAAATCAATACTGCTTAATAAGTACTATAATATATATATCGTTGGAAAGGTCTTTCAATATACTATTTAACGTCGCCATTTTTGGAATTTTTGAAACGGTTTTATCGGTTCTATATCGGTTCAAAGTCACTCAAAAATGAATGTCTAATAACTTTTGAACGAAATTAGCTTTATTAAAAATTCTTTTTGATTTCAATAGCCTACATAAAAGCTCATAGCTTTTTGATAGTTTCAATTTTTTTCCATGTAGGTTACATCATTTTAAACGCCCCCAAAGTTGAAACTTTAAACAATCATAACTCTTAATCTGTAAGAGATTAAAATATGAAACCTTTACCAAAATATTTCTAATTTTATCTAGATTAATCTGCATAATCAAAAAATGGGGTTCATTTATAAATTACGTCACATTTTCGAAAAAACATAATTCTTTAAAACTAGTTTATTATTTTTTATGTTAATAAATTCAAAATCAATAAAAATTATTTGAATATTTAAAATCTACGTGAAAATACCTTTAAAATGATGTATAACATGAGTGGGGTTTGTTCATAAATAAGGTCACTTTTTTTTTTTTTAATTTTTCATACTTTTTCAACAGATTTTATTTTAAAAATGTTCTTTTTAAACAGAAACAGTATATTTTGTGGTTTTTTCATAACGTTTTTTTTAAATTTTAACGAACTTTATTTTTTTAAAAAAAATGAGAAGCAAGTTTTTGAGAAAAGGTGAAAAAATAAGAATTTTTTTTTCAATAAATTTATAAAAAATGTCTGGCAAACAAAGAAACAAAGTGAATAACAAGTCAAAAAGTGCAGTGAGGAAGCTTTTTAAAATAAAATCTGTTGAAAAAGTATGAAAAATTTAAAAAAAAAAAGTGACCTTATTTATGAACAAACCCCACTCATGTTATACATCATTTTAAAGGTATTTTCACGTAGATTTTAAATGTTCAAATAATTTTTATTGATTTTGAATTTATTAACATAAAAAATAATAAACTAGTTTTAAAGAATTATGTTTTTTCGAAAATGTGACGTAATTTATAAATGGACCCCATTTTTTGATTATGCAGATTAATCTAGATAAAATTAGAAATATTTTGGTAAAGGTTTCATATTTTAATCTCTTACAGATTAAGAGTTATGATTGTTTAAAGTTTCAACTTTGGGGGCGTTTAAAATGATGTAACCTACATGGAAAAAAATTGAAACTATCAAAAAGCTATGAGCTTTTATGTAGGCTATTGAAATCAAAAAGAATTTTTAATAAAGCTAATTTCGTTCAAAAGTTATTAGACATTCATTTTTGAGTGACTTTGAACCGATATAGAACCGATAAAACCGTTTCAAAAATTCCAAAAATGGCGACGTTAAATAGTATATTGAAAGACCTTTCCAACGATATATATATTATAGTACTTATTAAGCAGTATTGATTTACTACGGATTTTCAAAGTTGCGAATGGACTTACGACAATATCGCGAAGAATCATTCAATTGTTGCAGTATAATGCGATATTGTCCACACAATGATCTTGTAGCTTTATGTTTACACTAGAATAAAATTACTTTAAACGGACAAGTTTAATAAATATCAGCACTTGGGGTATATCTGAAAGGAACTAGCAGGAGTAGCTTCTATAGCTTAAGACAAAAACCTGTTCTACCACTTTACTAACGTCCTTATGACTTAAAGTGGATCAGTTGGAACTAATTATCATAATTTGGAGTAGAAATTGTGTTTTGTGGATAGTTATGAGCTGGTCTGGATAGGTTTATATACTTCTGGCAAGTTTGGAAGGTTCTAAGTCCAATACTTACCGCTTATATCCCTCAAGTACTATTTCTTTCAAAATTATCTCATGTCCAAGCTTACAAGATACAATCGTGAACTTCCTGTCAATCAAATCCTCAATTGTGCTTGGCGGTGGCTTTCTCACATCACTCGTCAGCAACTCAAATGACATACTTTGATAGCAGGTCCGAAAAATCAGGCAAAATCCAATAAACAGCATGAGAATAAAGCGAGGAACTGATGCATTTGGCAGCTTCATTTGAGAGATTCCAAAAAATGCTTGAACGACATTTAGTGCTGGATTGGTGACTTCTTGACCAAAGACCAACTTCCATAATATTTCTGGCCAGAATCTTGAAATGAAAATGATAATGAAAGCAATTAGGAAGGTAAGGAACAAGAGCAGCCATGTCTGACAATCGAATGGAAGAAAAAGTTTCTCATAATTTGTGTAAAATTCACTCGGAGTGACTGCAAAAAGGAATCGACTGTCAAAAGTCAGTGAAGTCGGAGCAAAGCCATTCAGCATATCGCCATAAACACCAACAAAAGTACCAACTTTTGGTGCAAAAGACAGCATTTTTATATCAGCTTCTGTATAATAATCTTGGCGAATCCTGAAATCAGGCTGAAAATTTCCAATATTTCCCGCCATTTTGAAAATGTCGACAGTAAATCCTTCAAAATTGTAGTTTTTTGACAACTTTATGAGCAAATCTACGCAACTGTATTGATCTTTCCTAAACACTCATTGACTTCATTAGTTCCATTCTTGATATACAAAGATGGTCCAAATCTTTCCGTGACTTCTAAGAAACATCCATTAAAGTTATCAAATTTATTGTAATTAACAAACTTTGCCGACCATTTTCGTGTTAATAAATTGAATCTGCTGACGATATGCAGCTGTGGCCTGTTGCATGATTTATTATCAAAATTCTCAAAAGTCATGAGATCCATAAATTGATCATCTAAAGAATTTCCAATGAAAAATTGATGCGACAAGACAGTTGTTATGTCGGATGTATACTTAACAATGCATGGCTCGTGACTAGTCATTAGGATGTCACTAGCATGTCTATAATATGTTAAAAATTTCAATTCTTTTTGATATTCATTGGTAAGTTGCGCACGGTATGAAAATTTAAGTAAATTAAGGTTACTGCTGCATAGAATCACAGCCGAACGTTGAAGCTTGTGGTTCCAATTGGTGATATTCTTGATATGTATTATGGTGATTGGTGATTGTCTAGAAATTTTGTCAAGCAGATGATCAACAATGCCATTTACACGATCTGTAATCGTTCCATATAAAATGACGTCAAATTCTATCGATTTTTTGATGAAAAATTCTTCACAAACTTCTGCGATTGCTGTCGAGACTGCCTCAACTTCGATATTATTCTTGGTAACATCAATCATTAATTCACAAGATTTTTGAGCAATTAAGTACAAAAATAAAATAAATTGCCGAAAAATCATTTTTTAATTTATTATTTTAGATTTTATAAATTTCAATAAAGTCCACAATTTAATTAATTTTTTTCAACCAAACTGTAGCACGCAAGCACATCAATTCCAATAAAAATGCAACAAAAGACACTCCACATGCACCAAGCCACAAGACAAATCCATGAGTTAAATCCTCAATTGTGAGTACACTCGGACCACTAGCAACTAAAGGAACGAAAGTTCCAAACAAATTTTCTTCGTGATACTTGACCAAATATTGTGGAATTCCAGCTGGAATCATTTGTTCCAAAATTTCATTCAATGTTTTGTATAAAAAGCTGTTGCTGAGTGTATACAGCACTGGAACTTCACCATCTCCTTTAAAGTTCTTAACCTTGACTGCAGCTCCTTCGCAGATTGAGTTTTGCATGACGTATTGGACATTCTCTAGGAAAAAAGCTAGCTTTGCTTCTGGTTTGTCGAAATTGTTGCAATAAACTTGCTGATTCTCAATGTTATGATCCGATTAGGAGTTATAGAAGCTAATAAGAAATCTAATTGACATCAATTAAAGCTGTTCTGATAATTAAAAACAAATTCAAAATTTTTGAGGTTATGTTACATTTTGATAGAGTTTGAAAGGATGTAAGCTGAAGTGGCTCGGTGGCGGAATGGTTTAGTACTTCGGTACCTAATTATTGCAATACCGACACAGCGATCATGGGTTCGAGACTGGGTATGGGAAATTTTTTACTTGTCCTTTTTCGAATCATATGTACTGGAAATGATGCTCTTAGCCTTCCTTTGTAGGCTACAGGCAGAAATGTCAGCAAAGGAGTGGTTCGGATCCCACTATAAATTGTAGGTCTAGGTTTGAGTGCAGTGGTTTGGCGCATCCTCACTCGTTAAACTCTCATTAGCTGCAAATCGCCCTAGCTCATCTCTGGATCACTATTGATCTGAATAGGTAAAGGTTTTTTTTAAAGGAGGTTAACTAAGATCACCTGAGACTTAGGAATAGTTTTTCGATTTGAATCCAGCACGCTAGAGTCACAACAACTTAGTAACAGTTTTCTGATTGATAACACTGGCGATGTGCCATTCGATATTATTCAAAATCCTGAAATAATTAGAAGAATAACAAAAACATTCTATTTTTTTGTCCCACCACCTTTTATTAACCATAAAAATACAAAACCATAAAAAATACAAAACCATAAAAATAAAAAAGCTTAAAATTACCAATTTTTAATAAATCTAATAAAATTTTATCATTTTTTTCTTAATATTATAATTTTTTTGAAACATTGTTTCGGAATTTTAGCTTAATAAGTAAGTTGTACATCGGTTTATAACATTTTTGTTTTGCCAAAAAGTGTTTTTTGTCCCAATTTTAGCTCCGAAAAAGCAGGACAGACCAAATTTTTATTCATTTACCAATAAAAATAGGTTCAAAAAGGAAGACATTAAGAACTTTGGACGGAATTTGTTCAAAAAAGTGGTTTAAGCAGTTAAGTGCTTTGCTGGTCGAATAGGTAAGGCGCTTGGCTCAAATTTGGTATGGTAACTCGAAGGTCGTCGGTTCGAATCCAGCCATTTCCAAATTTGTTCTTTTTCGGAAGTTTGGATACTTCGACTGCTTAATGTAGGAAATCAAGCCATTATTGGGCATTTGGGCAACGTTGGATTAAGGAACGGGTCAGGAACTTGAAGTGTAGCGGGAGAAATAGGGACGAGAGCTACAAGATTACATTATAATGGAATATTGTCAGAACGGACCTGAAAAGTATCACGTCACGCCTACAGAAGATCGAAACGAGAGCCTTAGTTTATTTGAAACCTAGATTAGAAGTTTGATTCTGCATAATACTAATTCATATGTATACAAAAGTGTAAAATGTGAATTATTACCGGACAGTATGTCGTCAATAAATGCAATAAAGTGCAATTTAATGAAAAAAAAGGTCTGCTCAAAAGTGCACAGTTGGACAGCCTATTAATAAACTGAGTTACCAGTTGCCAGGAGGGTCTAGAACCCTTCACCCCCTTTGTATGAGAATCCCAGAAGTGTGAGAAGTTTAAAGAAATTTGCTAAGTGTACGCGTTGCTTAAAGTTTTGAACAGACACGATAGCATGTCTCCAAATGGGAGGAGAGGGGCAGGGGCGTAGCCTAAAGGGAGTCCTTAGTCGCTCCCCCCTTGAGATTGAAATTTCATACAAATTAATTTGAATTTTTATAAAAACTTTAAATCAGGTTTTAAAACAAAAACCATAAAATTAGCTTCCTGGCTACGCTTTCGGGGAAGCGGAGGGAGGGGGGGGGGTTGGTTCCAGACCCTCCTACCATGATTTGTTTATGAAAGCTTAATGACTAATTGGAATTATCTTTGTACTTGTTTTGTTAACACCAATTTCACCAAAAAGAATTTCAAATGCATGAAATTGATGTTCAGCAAACATATTCGCAAAAACGCTAACAAAGTTAATTGCAACATTTCTACAATTTTCTATGTCTAAAATAATTTTTTCAGGACGTTGTAAAAATCCTGCATCATTTACAACTTTTTGTCTCTTTAAAGTTGTTTTGTGTTCAGGTAAAAGAGGATTTCTGCAATAATAAATGCTTTGATCATAACATAATTTTTTTATAGTTTTTTCCACAAATATTTTTTGTACAATTTCACAAACATGAGTTGAGTCTTGATTTTGCTGTTTGCAGTCAACCGTTTGGCTAACTTTACAAAAATCAAAAAGTTTTTGAACTTCTTTAAAATTTTTATTTTCAACAAATCTACAAGAACATTTGTACTCAACATTTTGATCATTTTTAAATTCTTTCTGATAATTAATAAAGCACATTCGACACCTGTACTCAATAAAACAAGAATTTTTTTTACATTCACAAAAGTTTGTCAATGGATTGGCTTTTACACAAAATCTAATTCTCTCTTTTAAAAATGGCAATCCTCTTAAATTTTTATTTAATTTTCTTTCATTTCTCATTTTTTCTTTCTCATCTTTAATATATTTTATTGGATTGACATTTAATTTTATTGCTTCATCTCTCAATTGTTCATTAAATTGAATAAAGTTTGGAATGAGTACCGATGTGATTTTAGTTCCACTTGAATATGGAATTGATGAATTTTTTGCAGAATTACTAAATCCTCTTTTATTTTTATATCCAAACTGTTCTAATAATTTATATATGGAAGCACTACAAGGAATGGCACTTATAGCATGTTGCATATTTTTATCGGCAAGATTTATTAAAAATCCATCAAATAATCCATCAACAATAAATATTGAATCTCTGTATGTAATAACACAAAGTAAATGCGATGGCTTTGCTTTATAAAAATCTGCTTTTTGTTGAATTTCTAATTTTTTCTGAACAATTTCTCGTTTTCTTCTTTCTGATGTGTTTAATATTTTTCGAATTTTTGACCAATTGTCACTATTTAAGACATCATGATAATATTTTTTAATTAAACTTGATTCATAAGTTGTATGATCTTTTACAGATAATAAAAAAATTGTTGGCTTTAATTTCGAATATCCATTAAATGAATTTTTTATTGATTTTATTACGCCACAATAAGGCTTGTTAAAAATATCCCAAAGTTTGCAATTCTCAATATCCTCAATGTTTATTTTTAATTTCTTTTTTAACTCGTCCAACAATTCTTCATTTTGTTCATTCTCTTCTAGTTCAGAAATTGAATCTTTTAATTGTTTTTGTTCAGTCATTAAAGTCTCAAAAGATTGTTTTGATCGATTCATGTCATTTTTCTTGTCATCTTCAGTTAAATAACACAATTCAGTCGGAAATATTGTCAGTAATTCTTGAATTTTAACATTAATTTTACTTTCAACTTCTAAATACAGTTCGTCATCTTCATTATTGTTGTAAAATTTAATTGAGCTTGGATTGAAATAATTAACAATTGTAAAAACATCACATTCGTCAATTTTTGTTTGTAAATCTTTTAAAATATTTATTTGTTTGAGTTTCTCGTCTGGATTTGTTGTATTTTCAAGAATTGAACGATGATTAAGCTTAATTTCTTCATATTCTTTGATTCTTTGTTGTGATTTTAGTCTTAAAGATTCAAAATGCTCCAACTTTTTGGATTCATCAATTCCTTGAAGATTTATTTTATCAGCATAATCATTTATTAATTGAAAATAATTGACTTTAATTGGAGATTCATTAAACTTTTCGTTTTTTAAAGGATTTATATAATTAAGAATTAAGTTTTCATCAACATTAAAGTAAAAATGATGAAAATTAATTTTCCTTTTTAAATTATAATCGTTTTGAAGTTTTCGAAATAATTTTGATACTTTTTCTTTTGGATCTTTAGTTGTCAATATTAATGCATTATCTTTATAACATTGGATAGACTCAGGAAGTTTATCATTTACTTGCTCAAAAGCTTCAGGTTCATTACATTGTGAGGCAGTTCGTTTACGGTTTTGTTCAGTCATTTCTGGATACAAAATATAAAAATTAAAATTTAAAATTTAAAAAAGGTGTAAATAATCATAAAAAGTTTTCCTTACCAACATTAATTGATGTTAAATCATCTAGAACTAAAATTTATTCATAAATCTTTTAATTAATCACTTAAAAAACTTAAAAAACAATATTTAAAATTCAACACATGGCTTAACAAACTGATCAATTATCTCACTTCCATTGTTTTAAAAAACTAGTATAAAAGTTTAATTTGTAAAAAACGAACTAAGCGCATTTTGCTTTTGGAGATCAGTAAATTCATGTTGAAGTCATGTAGATCGATCCAGTCAGGTACAATTCATGTCCTGAATCAAAAATATGGGTTTGCCCTCTGTCTCTCCTCTCCCTTCCTTGACCCCCCTCTCCCCTCTTTGACCACCTTTTCCCCTCCGCAACATGTGAAGCTTGTTGTTTTTCTCGGACAGCTCTTCCAGTTCCGAGTTTTCGCTACTAAGCCAGCCAGATAGGTAAATGAGATCTCAGATCCACTAGCCGAACGAACAAACAAAGTGTATTGTTAAGCTCCCCTTTTTTTTTAAACAAGTTTTCAAAAATGCACCAAAAAAACGAACAAACTTTTTTTTTGTGGATCATGAAATGAAACTAGAGCTCACTGACAAGGAAGAAAGTTTTGTTTACAATTTCATTTGATTGCTCTCAACAACAAAAAGAACATTGCTGATTTTGATATTTATTAGATTCATATTAGTTCCGAATTTTTGTGGTCTCAGGTTCATTAAAGATGCTTTGTGAATTTGGGTTTAAACTTATGATTACTTTCGAATGATTCATTTGTCTTTTGGAAGATTTTGGATAAATGTTCGAGCTGCGTTGAGAAAAATGTGAAATATATTTTAAAATTCATTTGCCTTTGGTTTGATTTAAGAGTTTAACTATAGAATTATTCCTTATTTTCTACTTTTTCCCAGGGAGATAACAACGTAATGGGAAATATAATTAGTTGCTAGTTTTAGAGTTTTCAGTAAAACGTTTTAGATATAATCGAAATATTATGCAGCCAGGTTGTAGAAGGGGGGGGGGGGTCTCTTCTTTACTTTCCTTCCTTTCAAAACTTCTATTGCCTCCTTTTCAAATTCCAAGCTTTTTACCTTTATTGAAAAAGCTTTGTCTTCAACGAGGGAGAGGTGGGGAGGGGGAGAGGGGGAGAGGGGGTTGGGTAGTAGATCAGAAAGCATTTTAAAATTTCCTATTATAACATTTTCTCATCTCGTTGTTTCCCCCTTTAGCACACTGGAAGTTAAGCACATTAAATTGAGGTTATGTTCATAAACTAATATCAGTTTTATTCTATTTTCTAATTACAATTCTACATAAATCAATTCCTTAATCTTATTCTCAATATACTCATCAGCATCCACAGACCAATGATAGATCGACAAACTCTTCTGCCTTTCAGCCATAAATGTTCCATTAAAAATCCAACAGCTGAGATTCCACACGATCCAATCCAAAGAACAAATCCATATTCTAGGTTTTGTAGTGTAAGAACTTTTGGGTCAATATCAATTATAGGATAATAAGTTCTATAAACATTAGATTCATGATACTTGTTCAAATATTGAGGAATTCCAGCTGGAACAATTCTTTCCATTAATTTGTTCAAAATTTCGAAGATGAAGCTGTTCCTGTTTGTATACAAAACTGATGTTTGAGCTTCTCTTTCAAAGTTCTTCATTTTTATTGCAGATCCCTTGCATATCGAGTTTATTGAAACGTATCCAATTTCCTCTAAGAAAAAAGCTAGTTTTGCATCCACTTTGTCATAATTCGAGCAATAAAGTGCGACATTTTCCACGCAATATTTATGAACTTTTACGTTTTCACTAAAATAAAGAATTTATAGGTTGAGCTAAGGTAATGTTGGAAAAAGAGGCTTCTACATACCTGCCATATCCTTCAAGGACAATATCTTTTAAAATTCGATCATGTCCACGTGCACAAGTCACAATTGTGTATTTTTTATCAATCAAGTCCTTAATTGTCTTTGGTGGTGGCTTCCTCACATCAGTTGTCAAAAAATCAAAAGACTTACTTTGATAGCAGGTCCGAAACACCAAACAGAATCCAATAAAAAGCATGAGAATAAAGCGTGACACTGATGTAGTCGGCAACTTCATTTGTGAGATTCCGAAAAATGCTTGAACAACATTTAAAGCTGGATTCGTAATTTCGTTACCAAAAATTAAGTTCCTGAGAGTTTTAGGCCAAAATCTTGAAATAAAAATGATGGTAAAAGCTGTAAGGAATATAAGGAATAGTAAAGTCCATATTGCATTATCGAATGGTAGCCAAAGCTTCTCATAACTTGTGTAAAATCCACTTGGAGTGACTGCCAAAAGGAATCGACTGTCAAAAGTCAGTGAAGTTGGTGCATAGCCATTCAGCATATCCCCATAAACACCAACAAAAATGCCAACTTTTGGAGCAAATGAAAGCAGTTTAATGTCACCAGATGTATAGTAATCCTGTCGCAGCATAAAGCTTGGCTTAAAATTTCCAATATTTGCAGCCATTTTGAAAATATCGACTGTAAATCCTTGAAATTGGTCTCGTTTAGAAAGCTCAATAAGTAAATTTAAGCAATTTTCTCGGCCCATTGAAAAGCATTCATGGACTTTGCTGGTTCCTTTAATGTATAGCGATGATCCGAAATGTTCTGTAACTTCTAATGGACATCCATTAAAGTTGATGAATTTTTCATAGCTATCAAACTTTGTAGACCAAGACCGAGATGATATATTGAACATGCTGACAATATGCAGCACTGGCTTATTGCATGATGTCGCATCAAAGTTCTCAAAAGTCATCAAGTCAATAGATTTTTCATTTAAGGAACTTCCAATGAAATATTGGTAAGACATAAAATCTGTTTTATCAAAGATATAGCTGTGGTTGGATGGCTCATATTCCATCATTATTAAATCAGCAGCATATCTATAATAAGTCAAAAACTTTAATTTTTTCTGAGAATCATTTCCAAGGCTTGCACGATACGAAAATTTCATGAAAAATATGTTAGTGCTGCACAAAATCACAGCTGATCATTCAAGTTTATGATGCCAAATATCAATGTACTCGACATGAACTATGCTGATTGGTGCAACCTTATGAATTAAAAGGTCTGCTATGTCACCAACTTGATCTGTTATCGTTCCATATAAAATGACGTCAAATTCTATCGATTTTTTGATGAAAAATTCTTCACAAACTTCTGCAATTGCTGTCAAGACTGCCTCAACTTCTTTATTATTCCTGGCAACATCAATCAATAATTCACAAGATTTTTGAGCAATTAAGTACAAAAATAAAATAAATTGCCGAAAAATCATTTTTTAATTTATTATTTTAGATTTTATAAATTTCAATAAAGTCCACAATTTAATTAATTTTTTCAACCAAACTGTGGCACGCAAGAACATCAGTTCCAATAAAAATGAGACAAAAGACACTCCACAAGCACCAAACCACAACACAAATCCATGAGTTAAATCCTCAATTGTGAGTACACTCGGACCACTAGCAACTAAAGGAACGAAAGTTCCAAACAAATTTTCTTCGTGATACTTGACCAAATATTGTGGAATTCCAGCTGGAATCATTTGTTCCAAAATTTCATTCAATGTTTTGTATAAAAAGCTGTTACTGAGTGTATACAGCACTGGAACTTCACCATCTCCTTTAAAGTTCTTAACCTTGACTGCAGCTCCTTTGCAGATTGAGTTTTGCATGATGTATTGGACATTCTCTAGGAAAAAAGCTAGCTTTGCTTCTGGTTTGTCGAAATTATTGCAATATACTTGCTGACTTTCAATGTTATTATCGTGAACTATAAGGTGTATTCTGAAAATAAAGGATTTTTCTTTAAAAATGTTGCTAACCCCTCTGGTGAAATGTTAAATATTTTTTATTGACACTTGCATGCCCCTTGATCATCATGTTTTTGATACCCCGTGCACAGAATTTTTAAACCTCTTGATTAAAGCTGTCATACCCCTTGATCAAAATTTCCATACCCCTTGATGAAAAGTTCCACACCCCTTTATTAATAGTTCATACCCCTTTGTAATAAGTTTCGTTCAACTTTTTTCATAGTTTTGCACCCCTTTTTTGATAGTTTTATACTTTTTAATTGAAAGTTTTAAACCCCTCCGCTTAAAAGTTTTGTACTCCTTAATAAAAAGTTACGTGCAATTCAAAAATAAATTTCACACCCCTTTACTTAAATATTTTGTGCTCCTTGATCAAAAGAAACGTGCAACTCAAAAAAAATTTCACACCCCTTTGCTTAAATGTTTTGTGCCCCTTTATCAAAAGTTACGTGTAACTCGAATAAAAGTTTCACACCCCTTGATTAAAAGTTGCATTCCGTTTAAACTATATATTAAAAATTGCAGTTGTATCCACCTGTCTAAATCTGGAATTAGTTCCTTCAAAATTTCATCATGTCCATGTGCATTTGACACTATTGTGTAGTTCCTGATAATCAAATCTTGAACATCACATGGTGGTGGCTTCCTAATGTCACTAGTCATTAAGTCAAAGGATTTGCTCTGATAAAGAGTCCGAAATATCAAACAAAAAACAATGAACAGCATCAAAATGAAGCGAGCAAGTGAAGTCTTTGGAAGTTTGGTCAATGAATTATCAAGAAATACTTGAACTAGGTTCAATGCTGGAGTTGTAATGTTAACACCAATTATTGAGTTTTTAATAGATTTAGGTGCAAAGTGAAGTCCAAGAATGATTAAATATCCACAAAGGAATGTGATTAACAAAAGAAGCCACGTAACTCCATCAAATGGAAGCCAAAGCTTCTCATAATTGTTATAAAATTCACTCGGAGTAGCTGCTAGAAGATAACTATTGACAAAGTGAAGTGCAGTCGGTGCATAGCCGGAGCTGACTTCTCTGTATGTGCTAACAAAGATTCCAACTTCTGGTGATTCAATTGGCAGTTGTGACATTTTTGTATTCATACGAAGATCATAATTTGGTGTAAAATTCAAAGATTTCGACAATATGCTGAAAATGTCAACTGCAAATCCTTGAAATCCAACTTTTGTGGCCAAATAAGTCAGTAAAGTTAAGCATCTTTCAAATTCTTTTGTAAAACATTCCAAAACTTCCTTGGACTTCTCTTTAGGGTACAAATAAGGTCCAAAATTATCTGAGACAATCAGTGGACATCCAAAGAAGTTGTCAAACTTTTTATAGTACTCAAGTGGATTGTTCCATACTTTTGTGAATTTATTAAACTTATTAATCACATAAAGTTGAGGACTGTTGCATAATTTGGAACTAAAGTGATCAATTGTCATTAAAATCACAGATTCACCATAATGTGAATTTCCAATATAATATTGATGGGACATGACTGATGTCCGGTCATTTAAGTATCTCTTGCTAGTCGTCCTTGCATGTCTCATCATGACATGAACAAGATTCTTATAATATGTCAAAAAAATAAATTCTTTTGGAAAAATGTTTCCGAGTTTTGTGATATCCGAGAATTTATTTAGGAAATATTCACTGCTGCAGAAAATCAGAGCTGATTTAGTTAATCTTTGATCCCATGCATGATCATCTTTAACATGCTGGACAGCAATAGGAAGCTGATACACAATCTTATCAAGCAGACAATCGATAATGTCATTCAGATGATCTTGAGACTCGCCATAGACAATGACGTCAAATTCTATCGATTTTTTGATGAAGTATTCTTGACAAACGTCTGCAATTGCTGTTGATATGGCTTCAATTTCAGTAAAATCAATTTTTATGCCACATTGAGTCACGACTAGGCAGCAGGAAGTTATTAAAAATATTTTAAACACCATCTTTTTATTTTTTTGAATTTTACCACTCATTTTCCATGTACTGAGCACTTTTGGTAGCAGATATTTCTGAAAACCTGTCAGATGTCTGTTTGTTTGTCTGGCATCCAAAAAAACCTTATTCTGAACTAATATTGCTAGCTTTCCAATTAAACAATGTTCTGAAAAAAATGCGCTTTAGTCAATCAAAACAATTATTTTCATACTTGTAATTACAATTCACACTGGAATTCAAAAGTCTTTGCAAACTTTCTTTCTCGCGCCTTTCAGATTCTAGATCAAAACTTCCAACAATCTTTTATTACCTAATTTTAAAAAATTCACAACTTCTGCACCAAAAATGTCACAAATATCCACAAACCCAACAAATCTCTTAAATAATCTACAACATAAAACCACAAAAGTTCCAATAAAAATCCAATAAAAGACACTCCGCAAGCGCCAAGCCACAACACAAATCCATGAGCTAAATCCTCAACTGTCAACACTGTTGGACCGTACATAACAAAAGAATCATATTTTCCATACAAATTAATCTCATGATAATTAACAAGATATTGAGGAATTCCAGCTGGAACGATTTTTTCCAAAATTTCATTCAATGTCCTGTGAATGAAGCTATTCTTGACTGTGAATAGAACTGATAGTTGTGAGTTTGCTCTGAAGTTCTTAAGTTGGACTGCCGCTCCTTTACAGACTGAATTTAACATGACATATTGGACATATTCTAAGAAAAAAGCTAGCTTTGCATCTGATCTGTCAAAGTTGTTGCAATATGTTTGAATGTAGTCCATGCTATTCTCATGAATCTTTAGATTTATGCTGAAAAATTGAAATTTGATATTTTTGAAAAGTTGGATATTTTTTGCGTCGTAGTTGTTTACCCTTTGTAGCGCAATTGGATGCCCTTGAGCTATGTACTCTTAGGGTCATAGAAGCTTACCCAAAAAGTCATAGTTGGATACCCTTTAGTCCATAGTTGGATACCCCTTAGTTCATAGTTGCAAACCTCTTAAGTCATAGTTTAATATCCACTATGTCATAGCTGGATAACTAATAAGTCTTAGTTAAATACTGTTTAAGTCATAGCTGTGTATCCTGGTCATATTTGCATACCCTTTGAGTAACAGTTTCGTACCCCTTGAAACATAATTGGATGCCCTTGAGTTGAGTCCTCCTTGAGTGACAATTGGATAATCTTGTGTCATTTTTAAAAACCCCTTGAGTCATAGTTGGATACCCCTTAATTAATGGTTGTGTACTTCTAGAGCAAAAGGTTTGTACCCATTAAGTAATAGAATCGTACCCTTTGAATAAAAAATGCATAATCCTTGAATTAAAGTGCTTAGTCATAGTTAAGTCCCCTTTAAGGCCTTGTTTGATACCCCTCGAGACATAGTTTGATAAATGTTGAGTCATGCTTGCATAGCCCTTGATTTAAAGTTTAAACCCATCCTTGAGTCATATTTGTGTACCCTTAATCTTAGTTTCTTACCCATTAGCACACAATTTGTACCCTTTGCGTCACATTTGCATATCTTTTGAGTCATAGATGGATGGATGGGCATCCACAGGGCTAAAATTATAGTTTGAAACCCCCTTGAATCATAGTTGGATACTTCTTGATTCATGATTGTGTACTTTTTCAGCAATAGTTTCGTAGTTTTTAAATAAAAGTTGCGTACCCCTTGAAGACAAAAGTGCCGTAGTCATAGTTGAATACACTTTAAGTCCTTGTTTGATACCCCTCGAGTCATTGTAGAGCCCCCTCCTGAATCATAGTTGAGTACCCCATGAGTCATAGTTGAATACCCCTTTATTACTTACCTGCTTGTTACATCAGGAATCATTTCATTCAAATATCTGTCATGTGATTTAAATGTCACAATTGTGTAATTCCTTTCAATCAAATCCTCTACAGTGACTGGTGGTGCCTTCCTCACATCACTTGTCATTAAATCATATGACTTACTTTGATATAGAGTACGAAATATTAAACAGAACCAAATGAACATTATGAGAATGAAGCGAGCAAGTGTAGATTTAGGTAATTTTGTCAATGAGCTGTCGAGAAAGATTTGGATGAAATTTAATCCTGGACTTGCGATATTTACACCAATGACAGTCTTCCTTATAAATTTAGGAGCAAAATGAAGACCAAAAATGACAGCAAATGCAAGGACAAGTGTAAGTAGCAAAAGTATCCAGATAGTAAAGTCAAATGGAAGCCACAGCTTCTCATAATTATTGTAATACTCGCTCGGAGTTGCAGCTAGAATGAATCTACTTGCAAAGTTTAAGGAGGTCGGTGCATAGCCTTTTAGAAGTTGATCGTAATTACTGACATAAACAGCAACTTCCGGTGGTCTTTTTGGTATCATTGGTCTAACTTCATTAACTCGTAGTTCATAGCTAGGCTTAAAATTTGTAATTTTAGCTGCCATGTTGAATAAATCGACAGCGACACCTTGAAGACCAGTAGTTGCAGCTAGATAAGTCAATAAAGCCAAGCAATTTTTCGGGTCTCTTGTAAAGCATTCCGAAATTTCTGCAAATCTTCTTTTTGGATACAAATAAGGTCCAAACATGTCTGAGACAATCAGTGGACATCCATAGAAGTTGACGAACTTCTTGTAGCATTTAAGAGGTTCAATCCAATTCCTGCTAGTTTTATTGAATTTATTGATGATAAAGATCAGTGGATTGTTGCATGACTTGTCACTAAAATTGTCAATAGTCAATAAACTTACAAATTCACCAGAGTTTGTAGTTCCAAGAAAAAATTGTGAGGACTTGAATGGAATCCGGTCATTTTTGTATTTGATATTTAGTGACATTGCATGCTTCAGCATGACATCAATAATATGCTCATAATAAGTTAAAAATGTCAAATCTATCGGAAAAATGTTGCCAAATTTTGCAAAGTTTGAAAATTCATTCAAAAAAAATTCACTGCTGACAAAAATCACTGCTGATCGTTTAAGCTTGTGGTGCCAATTGTTAATTTTCCGGACATACTTTACAGTTATTTTCGATTGACTTGTTAACTTCGCAATTAGATGACCAGCAATGTCATTGAGTCGACCTGTAGACTTTCCATACAGAATGACGTCAAACTCGATTGATTTTTTGATGAAAAATTCTTGACAAACTTCGGCAATTGCTGCTGAAACTGACTCAATGTCGGAGCTGTTCATGATTAGTTTGGAACTTACTTGAACTGTGCAGCAAAAAATAATTAAAATTTTGTAAAAATTCATTTTTCTTTTAAACTTTTCACTGACATTTTTAGTTCGACGGAGGATTGAGAAAAGCAGGGGTGCAGTCAGTGGTCAAATTGACTGACCTTCTGATTTTGGATCCTTTGAAGGCTGCTCCTTCCATGTCCTTTATTTTTGACTCAGGAAATTTCATAGGTTGTCCAAAAATAATCAAAACTTCAGCCCTGCAACATCCCTGGTCCACTTTCTTTAGATTTTGGAAATGAAGATTTCCTTTTGGAAGTTCCAGCAGCCATGGAACAAAGAAATCAACAGAATAAGGCTTACATAGTTAAAGTCTTTAATCTGTGCTTAATAGTCATTATTAACATCCACAAACCTATCAAATCTTTTAAATATTTTACACCATAAAACCACAAGAATTCCAATAAAAATCCAATAAAAGCGACTCCACAAGTACCAATCCATAACACAAATCCATGAGCTAAATCCTCGACTGTTAAGACTTTCGGACTCCGGTCAACAAAAGGCTCATATAATTTAATTAAATTAGTTTCGTGATATTTGAACAAATGTTGTGGAATTCCAGTTGGAACTATTTTGTTCATCAGCTTATTCAGATTAACATACAAGATGCTATTTATGAATGTACTTAAAGCTACAATTTGATATTCTTTTCTAAAATGTTTCAATTTGACTGCAGATCCTTTACACACAAACTGAGTTATTGCGTATGGTAAGTCTTCAAAAAAGAATGCTAATTTCGCTTCAACTTTATCAAAACTGTCGCAATATCTCTTTGAAATGTTGCTGCAAAAACTTTCAACTTCAACGTTTATTCTAAAAAAAAAATTAATTTGTTATAAAAGTAATGATGCTTTATGACCCCATCATTTTCTGCAACCCCCTACCCCCCCCCCCCCCCCCCCCCTCTTCTCACAAAACACAAGAGCGTGGAAAAAGCTACATGATTGGAATTAAATTAATTTATATATTATTTGAGGAGCAAGGGAAGGGGGGGCATGAATGACATGAAATGTGCGTCCATTTGCATGAAATTCGATCCTCGATGCACAAAAATCCCCCAACTCCCTAAATTATTTTGCTTCCCACCACAAAATTTTTGCCCCCCCCCCCCCCCTCTTCAAATTCCTGACTACGCCCCTGGCTTGGGTGACATGACATGAAATTTGCATCCATTTGCATGGAATTTGATCCTCAATTCACAAATCTCCCACCCCCCTAAAAATGTTTGCCCCCCCCCACTTTTAATTCCTGACAACGCCCCTGGCTTGGGTGACATGACATGAATTGTGCATCCATTTTCATGGAATTCGATCCTCAATTCACAAATCTCCCACCCCCCTAAAAATGTTTGCCCCCCCCCACTTTTAATTCCTGACAACGCCCCTGGCTTGGGTGACATGACATGAAATTTGCATCCATTTGCATGGAATTCGATCCTCAATTCACAAATCTCCCACCCCCCTAAAAATGTTTGCCCCCCCCCCACTTTTAATTCCTGACAACGCCCCTGGCTTGGGTGACATGACCTGAAATGTGCATCCATTTTCATGGAATTTGATCCTCAATTCACAAAAATCCCCCACCCCCCTAAATTATCCCCCCCCCCCCTAAAATTTTTTGCCCCCTCTCCCTCTTTTAATTCCTGCCAAATCCGCACCTAACATCGCTCTTAGCAAACCAACCTGCTGTTTTCGTCACTAATAACTTCATTTAGTATTCTATCATGCCCATGTGCACATGATAGTATCGTGTAATTCCTCTCAACCAAATCTTTGAAAATTTTTGGTGGTGGCTTCCTGACGTCACTCGTCATCAGCTCAAATGATATGCTTTGATAACAAGTTCGAAATATCAAACAAAATCCAATAAACAGCATGAGAATAAAGCGAGGAATTGATGCTCTTGGCAACTTTATTTGTGAAATTCCGAAAAATATTTGAATGATATTTAATGCTGGACTAGTGTCTTCTTGTCCTAATACTAAGTTTTTTACAGTTATTGGCACAAAGTTAAGACCAAAAATTATAAGAAAAGCAACAACAAAGGTCGTTAACAAGAGCAACCAAGTTGGACGATCAAAAGGAAGCCAAAGCTTCTCATAAGCTGTATAAAATTCATTCGGTGTGGCAACTATAATAAAACCACTGTCAAGTGTAAAAGACGTCGATGCAATGCCATCAAAAAAATATCCAATTGGTTCAATAAATATTCTAGCGACTGGCTCAATAAGAATTTCCAGTTCACGATCTTCATATAGAATTTTATAGATTGGTGTGAAGTTCATAGCTGTGGCCAGCATGTCAATAATATCAACTATGAATCCTTGCAGTCCAAAAGTTACAGCACCGTATGTAAGCATGTAATGACTCTTTTCTTGATCAGTGATGAAATGTTCGTTAATTTCATGAATTCCAACTTTTGGATACAAGTAATGACTGAAATTCCCGAGAATTGTCATTGGACATCCATAAAGGTTGGCAAATTTATTAAGAAATTTCAACTTTCCAAGCCATTTTCGACTAGGTTTAAAGAATCTATTGATAGGATAAATACTATATTGAGCACAGCTGGAACTTTGAAAATGTGTAATTGTGAATAAATCAACACTATTGCTGAACTTAAAATCAGCAATGAAAAATGCTTGATGCAGGACGGATACAACGTCTGACTTATAAGAACTCCCATAATTCCTTAATAACTCAATCAAGTTGTAAAGTCCATCTTCATTATAAATCAAAATTGTCAGTTCTTTCGGAAATAAATTCCCAAATGACGTCCATTTTAAAAATTCTACAAAACATATCTTAAAGTTGATGAAAATTACAGCTGATCGACTCAATCTGTAGTCCCAACGAAAAACATCCCAGATATACTTAACAGTAATAGGAAGCTTATGTTCAATTTTATCCACCAGACCATTGACAATGTCATTCAAACGACTTTGAGACTTTCCATAAAAAATGATGTCAAACTCTATCGATCTTTTGATGAAAAATTCTTGACAAATTTCTGCAATTGCTGTTGAAGTTGCATCAGTGTCTGTGTTGTCGATGCTTAAATTACAATTTGATAGTGCTAGGCAGCAGGATAATATCCATATGTTGTAGAATTTCATCTAATTATTGACTACATGGTTTAAGAAATAAATAAAAAAAAAATCTTCTTTTTTTGCAATTTTTGACAAAAGGGGGACAACAGCTTTATGAAAAAAATAACTTAAAAAGTTTTTATTAACGAATTTCTTAAAAACGCCTAAAACATAAAAAAAACCAAAAGTGGAGGGAGGGGGGGGGGGAAAGGGGGGTGACACAAGTACCCCCCCCCCCCCCCCCCCCCAAACTCCCTTACTTCTCTGTGATTTCCTTCAGATTTCTACAATGTAAATGAATTGACACAAGGAACCCCCTTCCCCTCCCCCTCGCCCCCCAACACGTTTACTTCTCTGTGATTCCCTTTGATTTCCACAATGTGAATGAAGTGACAAAAGTAACTTTATTTTATTTTCAAATCCTCAACTTAAACTTAACAATTGTAAGCACAATCCACAATCCAGTTAAATTCTTAAAACATACTACAACATAGAACCACATTAATTCCAATAAAAATCCAGCCAAAGAAATTCCACAAGCACCAAGCCACAACACAAATCCATATTCAAGGTCCTGAACTGTCAAAACTCTAATTGCGCTAACTTCAGCTGGCACAAAGACTTTAAACATGTTGAATTCATGATACTTGATCAAATATTGTGGAATTCCAGCTGGAACTATTTTATCCATAAGCTGATTGAATGTGTCAAACAGAAAGCTATTTTTGAGCGTAAATAAAGCTGAAACCATTGCTTCTTTTTTAAAGTTTTTCAGCTTCACTCCAGCTCCCTTACAAAATGAATTTCTAGTCGTGTACTGAATTTCTTCCATGAAGAATGCTAGCTTCGCGTCTATTTTATTAAAATTGTCACAATATGATTTGATGATTTGACTACAATCCGTTTCTATTATTGTTGTGGGCCTGCAATTAAAAAAAGGAATGATAAAGCGTCGTACCCTTTTTTGATAACCTTCAACCCATTTTTGATAACTTTCATCCCCCTTGTTGATGTCTTTTCTACCCCTTCTTGAAGACCTTTGTGCCCATTTTGATGACGTTTGAACCCCTTTAAGATGACCTTCGTACTTTTTTTTGATGACCTTCGTACCCTTTTTTGATGAACTTGGTACCCATTTTGAAGTCTTTCCAACCCCTTTATGATAACGTTCACACCCCTAGTTGATGTCTTTCCTACCCCTTCTTGAAGACCTTCGTGCCCATTTTGATGACCTTCGTACTCTTTCTTGATGACCGTCGTACCCTTTTTGATAACTTTCACACCCCTTGATGATTTCTTTCCTACCCCTTCATGAAGACATTCGTTCCCATTTTGATTACGTTCGTAACCTTTCTTGATGACCTTTGTACCCTTTTTTGATGAACTTCCTACCCCTTTTAGATAACTTTCACACCCCTTGTTGATGTCTTTCCTTCCCCCTTGTTGAAGACCTTTGTACCCGTTTTGATGACGTTTGAACCCCTTTAAGATGACCTTCGTACTTTTTTTTTGATGACCTTCGTACCCTTTTTTGATGACCTTGGTACCCATGTTGAAGTCCTTCCAACCCATTTATGATAACGTTCACACCCCTTGTTGATGTCTTTCCTACCCCTTCTTGAAGACCTTCGTGCCCATTTTGATGACCTTCGTACTCTTTCTTGATGACCTTCGTACCCTTTTTGATAACTTTCACACCCCTTGTTGATGTCTATCCTACCCCTTCATGAAAACCTTCGTACCCATTTTGATTACGTTCGTAACCTTTCTTGATGACCTTTGTACCCTTTATTGATGAACTTCCTACTCCTTTTAGATAACTTTCACACCCTTGTTGATGTCTTTCCTACCTCTTCATGAAAACCTTCGTACCCATTTTGATTACGTTCGTACCCTTTTTTGATGAACTTCCTAACCCTTTTAGATAACTTTCACACCCCTTGTTGATGTCTTTCCTACCCCTTGTGGAAAATCTTTGGACCCATTTTGATGACGTTTGTTCCGTTTTTGATGACCTTCTTATCCGTTTTAATAGATTTTCCTACCCCTTTTTGATGCGCTTCGTACCCTTTCTTGATGACCTTGTCCTTTGTCTTTCCTACCCCTTCTTGAAGACCTTCGTATCCATTTTGATGACATTCGTACCCTTTCTTAGTGACATTCCTACCCCTTTTAAAAGACATTCCTACCTCATTTTCATACCTTTCGTACCTATTTTGATGACCTTTGAACCCCATTTTTGACATCATCAGAACTTACCTCCTTTTCTCTTCAGCAAGAATTTCATTTAAAATATCCTCATGTCCATCAGCACAAGACAATATCGTATAGTTTCTATCTATCAAATCCTGAATTTTTTTTGGCGGTGGCTTCCTAACGTCACTAGTCATCAACTCAAATGACATACTTTGATAGCAAGTTCGAAAAATGTGACAAAATCCAATAAAGAGTATAAGAATGAAGCAAGGAATTGAAGCAGTCGGTAGTTTTTCTTGTGGAATTCCAAAAAATATTTGAACGAAATTCAGTGCTGGACTTTTAATTTCACGACCAAAAATAGAGTTCCTTAAAGATTTAGGCATGAAGTGTAACCAGAAAATGACAGTAAATATAGCTACAAACATTAAGAACAAGATGGTCCACGTAGCACGATCGAATGGCAGCCAAAGTTTCTCATAATTATTATAGAATTCAGGTGGAGTTGCAGCCAAGATGTAACTTCCATCAAAAGTCAATGACGTTGGTGAATATCCAGAAAAGACTGAATCATAACTTCCAACATATGTTCGAACAATTGGATTTATTAGTCCAATCGTCTCATGACGTAAAGCATGAATGTTAAAGCTTTGTGTAAAATTTGCAATTTTTCCCGCCATTTTGAAAATGTCAAGTGTAAACCCTTGCAGATCGTTGGTTGCTGCTACATAAGTTAGTAAAGTCACGCAATCTTCTCGTTCCTTTCTGAAGCATTCGATGACTCGATCATTGCCAACGTTTGGATACAGATATGGACCCCAATCATCAAGGACAGTCATATGACATCCATAGAAGGTATTAAACCTGTTGTATGCTGTCAAGTTGCTCATCCATGTTCTGCTTGACTTAATAAATCGATTAACCGAGTTAAATTTTGCTTTATTGCAATAATCTTCACTAATAATATTAATCGTGATTAATTCAATTGTGTCAGCATGTCGAAAGTTGCCAATAAATATTTGATGATCCCTAACCGACGTCTGGTCAGTCAGGAATTCACCCTGCGGCTTTTTTTGGTTGAAAAAATAGTAAAAAACTTCTTCATAAAATGTTAAAAATGTCAATTCACTTCCAAAATTGTTCCCAAGCTTTGCAAAATTTGAAAATTCATTCAAAAAATATTCGTTGCTGACAAAAATCACAGCTGATCGTTCCATTGAGTGATGCCATCTAGAAATGGTTTTAACATGTTCAACAACTATCGGAGAATGACTTACAATTTTATCAAGAAGTCCATCAATAATGTCAAATAGGCGGCTTGTAGGCTCACCATAAAGAATGACATCAAATTTTATTGATTTTTTGATGAAAAATTCTTCACAAACGTCGGCAATTGCTGTTGAAATTGCACCAATTTCGTGGATTTCGACGTTTTTATTGCCGTTTATTTGAAGAAAGTGGAAAAAAATCACAAAAATTTGCTTCAATTTCATTTCTTACAAAATAAAATCTTGCTTTTAACTTATTTTTGAGAACTAAATGAACATTGGGAATTGGAAATTGGAAAATGGCCTATGGGAATGGTTACTAGTGATGTTTGACATTTTTTGTATTTTTTGACATTTCAGTATAAGGATAAGTTCAGTATGTGGATAAGTTCAGAATGGGGATAAGTTCAGTATATGGATAAGTTCAGAATGAGAATAAGTTCAGCATGAGGATAAGTGCAGTATGAGGATGAGTTCAGTATGGGGATAAGTTCAGTATGGGGGTGTGTTCAGTATGAGGATAAGTTCAGTATGAGGATGAGTTCAGTATGGGGCTAAGTTCAGTATATGGATAAGTCCAGTATGAAGATAAGTTCAGTATGATGATAAGTTTAGTATGAGGATAAGTTCAGTATGGGGATAAGTTCAGTATGGGGATAAGTTCAGTATATGGCTAAGTTCAGTATGGGGATAAGTCCAGTATGGGGATAAGTTCAGTATGAAGATAAGTTAAGTGTAGGGATAAGTTCAGTATATGGATAATTCCAGTATGAGGATAAGTTCAGTAGGGTGATAAGTTCAGTATATGGATAAGTTCAGAATGAGAATAAGCTCAGCATGAGGATAAGTTCAGTATGAAGATGAGTTCAGTATGGGGATAAGTTCAGTATGGGGATAAGTTCAGTATATGGATAAGTCCAGTATGGGGATAAGTTCAGTATATGGATAAGTCCAGTATGGGGATAAGTTCAGTATATAGATAAGTCCAGTATGGGGATAAGTTCAGTATGGGGATAAGTTCAGTATGGGTGTGTGTTCAGTATGGGGATAAGTTCAGTTGAAGGATGAGTTCAGTATGAGGATAAGTCCAGTATGGGATAAGTTCAGTATGGGATAAATTAAGTGTAGGGATACGTTCAGTATAAGGATAAGTTCAGTACATGGATAAGTCCAGTATGAGGATAAGTTCATAAGGGGATAAGTTCAGTATGGGGATAAGTTCAGTATATGGATAAAATCAGTATGGGGATAAGTCCAGTATGGGGATACGTTCAGTATGAAGATAAGTTAAGTGTAGGGATAAGTTCAGTATATGGATAATTCCAGTATGAGGATAAGTTCAGTAGGGTGATAAGTTCAGTATATGGATAAGTTCAGAATGAGAATAAGCTCAGCATGAGGATAAGTTCAGTATGAAGATGAGTTCAGTATGGGGATAAGTTCAGTACGGGGGTGTGTTCAGTATGGGGATAAGTTCAGAATAAAGATAAGTTCAGCATGAGGATAATTTCAGTACGGGGATAAGTTCAATATGAGGATAAGTTCAATATGAGGATAAGTTCAGCATGTGGATAAGTTCAGTATGAGGATAAGTTCAGTATATGGATAAGTTCAGTATATGGATAAGTCCAGTATGGGGATAAGTTCAGTATGAGGATGAGTTCAGTATATGGATAAGTTCAGTATGGCGATAAGTTCAGTGCGACGATAAGTTCAGTATAAGGATACGTTCAGTATGAGGATAAGTTCAGTAGGGGATAAGTTCAGTATGGGGATGAGTTCAGTATGAGGATGAGTTCAGTACGAGGATAAGTTCAGTATTGGGATAAGTTTATTAAAACGATAAATTGTGTGTTAAGTATGGGGATAAGTTCAGTATGTGGATAAGTTCAGTATGGGGATAGGTTCAGTTTATGTATAAGTTCATTAAAACGATAAATTGTGTGTAATCATAAGTTCAGTTTAAAGAAAAATTTGGTAAAAGATAAGTTCATTAAAAGAATAAGTTCCGTAAAAGGATAAAATCAGTTAAAAGTTGAGTTTAGTTAAATTAATGATAAGTTCATTAAAACTATTTTTTCTGTGTAAGGATAAATCATTTATGAGGATAAGCTCATTTAAACGCAAAATTCAGTTCATGGATAAGTTCAGTAAAAGGAAAAGTCTAGTAAAAGGATAAGTCCAGTAAAAGGATAAGTTCAGTCAAACAAAACACATTAAATTTTTTTCAAATTTCAAAAAAGGTTTTATTGAGCAACAAAAATCTACATGACAACAACTCGTAGCCTCAACAGCAAAACTCTGATAAAAATCCATAATCCGATCAAATTTGTCGAGTACTTTTGAAATTGAATTTGAAAATATTCGAATATAAATCCAACAACTGAAAATCCGCAAGCAACTGCCCACAAAACAAATCCAAAACTCAAATCAGCAAGTTTCAAAACTTTTGGACTTAGATCACTGAACGGTTCATACTTCTTGTGTAGGTTTAATGCATGATAATCAATCAAATGTTGTGGAATTCCAGCTGGAATTAATTTCCATAAAATGTCATTAATGAACTCATACAAAAAGCTATTGTACATAATGAACATTGCTGTCATTGGAATTTCTAGCCGAAAGTCTCTCATCCTTATAGCAGCTCCACCGCAAATGTAATTAAAAACTGAATATTGAATGTCTTCGATGAAAAATGCAGCCTTGTCCTTTGAATTTCCTAAACTTTCGCAATACTTCTTGACAATATGGATGCAGTTTTCAAGCACTTCCACTTGTTTCCTGAAAATTCGACATATTAATCTGATAGGCTGTCCAACTGAGGACCTTTAGGCGGGACTGTCTCACTTTATTCAAGAATGTTATGACTACTAAGTTCCTAATAAGGTAGAAGCTACGAAAAAGCTCATAAAGTTCAAACCTAAGCACGACATTCTATGGCAAAAGCAGGACTTGGGATTTTGGTCAATAAAACTTTTGGTCCCGTCAAAAAGTGTGCAGTTTAACAGTCTATTCTGAGTTGACCTTAGTTAATTATATGTCAGGCTAGGTTGCAGGACGTAGCCAGGAATGGGGTGTGGAGATCCTCCACTTGACTACGTCCCTGCTAGGCTCCCATAATAAGCAGTTAAGTGCCTTGCTGGTCGAATAGGTAAGGCGCTTGGCTCAAATTTGGTATGGTAACTCGAAGGTCGTCGGTTCGAATCCAGCCATTTCCAAATTTGTTCTTTTTCGGAAGTTTAGATACTTCGACTGCTTAATGAACGAGATCAAGCCATAATTGGGCATTTGGGCAACGTTGGATTAAGGAACGGATCAGGAACTTGAAGTGTAGCGGGAGAAATAGGAACGAGAGCTACAAGATTACCTTATAATGGAATATTGTCTGAACGGACCTGAAATGTATCACGTCACGCCCACAGAAGATTGAAACGAGAGCCTTAGTTTATTTAAAAACCTAGATTTGAAGATTAGAAGCTTGATTCTACGTCACCCATAGTGATATGAAATGTATCACTAATCAATGTAAAAAGTAAAAACATGTATAAATACTAATTCTTCTGGACGGTAACGTCGACAAATAAATAATAAAAAACCCATCCACTGAAATCATCGAATATTCACCTGTACTGAACCTCTCCTAAGACATGCTCCAAAACCACATCATGTCCACTGTCACAGACATAAACTGTATAATCATCAACAATCAAGTCCTCGACTGTATTTGGCGGTGGCTTTCTCATATCAGTCGTTAAAAACTCAAATGATTTACTTTGATAGCAGGTCCGAAAAATAAGACAGAATGCAATAAACAAGATGAGAATGAAGCGTGGATTTGATCCAACTGGAAGCTTCATTTGTGAAATTCCAAAGAAAATGTGAAAGACATTAAGTGCTGGAGTTTGAATTTCATGTCCAAAAACTGCATTTCTAAAGAATTTCGGTGTACATTTAACCACAGCAATGATAGTAAAAGCAACAACAAATGTAAGCAGTAACAATGTCCATGTGATGTCATCAAATGGCAGCCACAGCTTCTCAAAGTTTGTATAAAAGTCTGATGGACTGACTGCAAACATGTACTCACCACTTAGCAGCAGTGGCGTGTCAAAAAGTCTTGGATTAGTTGCGTTCCCAAAAGTATTTAAGTTCATCATTATTCTTGGATAGACTCGATTATAATCAGGTCCAGTAATGTTATAGACATAAAGTTGATAAAACGGAGTAAAATTTGCATATTTTGAGACAATGTCAAATAAGTCAATAATGAAGCCTTGCAGTCCATACTTAGTGCCATAATAAGTCATGTAAAATGAGCAGTTTTCAGCTGTTGTCGCAAAGCATTTTAGAACTTCCACGTTTTTGTCTTTTAAGTACAAAAAGATGCCAAATGGCTCAGTGATTCTTATTGTGCATTTGTTAAAATTTCTGAATTTTGCATAATTGTTGAGCTTTCTTTCCCATCTTCCTGGATATTTAAAGTATGTATTCAGATGAACTCGCTTGGCAATGTTGCAATTGCCTTCCTCAAAGTTCTCATACATAAAAAGTTCAATTGCATATTTTAGATTAGCAAAAATGAACGCATGTGACGCGATTAATGCTGAGTCATCAAAGTACGTCCGTTGGGCTGGCTCATTTTGCAGCACTTCTTCTGAAAAAATCAGGAACTTTAATGTGATGTAAAATTCATTGTCCAGCTGTGCATAAGTGTTGAATTTTAATACAAAATGTTCATTTTTGAAAAACAAAATGGCCGACTTTATTAATTTGTGATGCCACTGGTCCGTGTCTTTAACATGTTGAACGTTTGTGAGACCTTTATTGCTGACGTAGCTTAAAAATAGTCCAATAATGTCACGAAGGTTATCTGTCTCATCGCCATAAAGAATTACATCAAATTCTATCGATTTTTTGATGAAAAGCACGTCACAAACTTCAAATAATGCTGTGGATGTTGCTTTAATGTCCTCGATTGTGAACATAGGCAAGCATCAAGTCGCTGTTATTAGGCAGAACATAATCACAATTTTAATTAATTTCATACTTTTTCGTCTTTCTTTTATGGCTTTTGTGTTGCTTCTATTTTTTTGTGATCAGTTCCAGAACGAAAAAGATCATTCCATGGCAAAAAGCCCGAGCGGCACAAGGTGGCAGGTGTCAGTCATATGACTGTTATATGATCGTTTTGAAATGGCAGATAACAGTTATATGACGGTTATTTGGTAGCAGTTGTATGACAATTTTATAAAACTGTTATATGACTGCCATGTGACTGCCATGAGAAAAAAATTGATCACAGTTATCAATGTTTTTTGAAAAATTATGAAAAAATTCATTTTAAATCGTGACTTTGAAGTGAAAAGTTCATTTTGTTTTGACCTTTGAAATTCATATCGGTTAGGACTTAATAAGTAGGATGGACTTTAGTAGAAGGTGAGCAAGATATTTAAAATTTGTTTATATATTATTTTTCAGCATTCAAAAATATTATACAGGAACGAATCTTTTTCAAGATATATCAATTGAAGTGTTCCAGTAACTTTTGATGAATTAATAGCAGTATCAAATGCTTTGCAAACAGGAATCCGCAACGCACGATGGGAAAAGCTGAAAAAGTTTATTGAATTTTTTTTTCATCATATTGATTTGTTTTTCTACATTTCTCCTAAACAAGTTCTTTAATAAACACAAACTTTAAACCCCTTAATATTTTTGTAATTTTTTATATTCATATTTCAGCCTTAAATTGCCATATTATTGATTTAAAATTGCCATCTCATTGCCATATAATTGCCATTTGACTGAAATTTGATTAAAGAACTGCCATCTGTGCCTGTCATAAAACTGCCTAGAAACTGTCATATAACAGTTTCCGTTTTGTGTCAATTTTTATTGATGGCAGTCATATGGCAGTCATATGGATTACTTTATCATACTATTTGGTTGACATATCGTCAACATCGATAGCAATTATCTGTCATATGACTGCCATAAAGCAGTTTTTATTGCCATCAAACGATGGCAATTGACACGTGGCAGCTGACATATGGCAGTCATATGACAGTTATATGACACCTCTGTGCCGCTCGGGAAGGCTTCATGGAAACGACTGACGACACCAAAAAGACAGTAACAGGCACAAAGAAACACGAAAAGACAATTTTACAAAATTATTTTATTCAATCGCTGACTTAAATTCCTTAACAACATCCATAAACCTATCAAACTCATCAAATGCTCAGTCAACTGAATCCGACAAAGTTCCATCAAAAATCCAACAATCGAAACTCCACAAGCACCAAGCCACAAAATAAAACCAAAACTTAAATCATCGAGTGTCAACACCTTCGGTCTGTTATCAACAATAGGCTCATACTTTTTATAAATTGCTGAGTCATGGAACTTCATTATGTATTGAGGAATTCCGGTTGAAATTGTTTTGTCCAAAACTTCATTTAATAATTCATAAATGAAACTATTTCGATGGGTAAAAAGTGCCAAAATGTCCAAGCTTTTATGAAAGTTGTCTAATTTGTGTGCTGAACGTTGACAGAAGGAATTGAATGTTGTGAACTGAATGCCTTCGATGAAAAATGCTAGCTTCATGCTGACTTTGTTGAAGTTGTCGCAATATAAGTGGACACAGTTTGGCTCATCTTTTGTAGTTATTCTAAAATTAATGAGAAACTTTGTATTAAGTTCGGTTTGAGGACAAGCTCAGTTTAAGGACAAACTCAGTTCGAGGACACGCTTAGTTTGAGGACAAGCTCAGTTGGAGAACAAGCTCAGTTTGAGGACAAGCGCAGTTTGAGGATAATTTAAGTTTGAGGACAAGCTTAGTTGGAGGACAAACTCAGTTCGAGGACAAGCTCAGTTTTAGAACAAGCACAGTTTGAGGACAAGCTCAGTTTGAGGACAAGCTTAAATTGAGGAAAAGCTCAGTTTGAGGACAAGCTCAGTTTGAGGACAATCTCAAATTAAGGACACGCTCGAGTTGAGGACAAGCTCAGTTTGAGAACAAGCTCAGTTTGAGGACAAGCTTAAATTGAGGAAAAGCTCAGTTTGAGGACAAGCTCAGTTTGAGGACAATCTCAAATTAAGGACACGCTCGAGTTGAGGACAAGCTCAGTTTTATGACAAGCTCAGTTTGAGGACAAGCTCAGTATGAGGACAGACTCAGTTTGAGAACAAGCTCAGTTTGAGGACAAGCTCAGTTTGTTGAAAAGCTCAGTTTGGACACAAGTCATGATAATGGTTAAGTTCAGTAGATTGATAAGTCCAGTTGACTGATAAGTTTAGTTGATGAATAAATTCAGTTAAGTGAAAGATTCAGTAAATAGATAAGTTAACAAGTAAGAATAGTCCACGAATTAGTTTAGTTAAAGAATATATTCAAAATCACAAAACCCACCTCTGATCCTTTACAATGTCTTCCAGAGCTACCTTATGACCCTCCGAGCAAGTCACAAAAGTGTAATTTCTAAAAATCAAATCGTCAATAGTTTTCGGAGGTGGCTTTCTCATATCCGATGTCATAAACTCAAAAAACTTGCTTTGATAACAAGTCCGAAAAATAAGACAAAACAGAATCAACAGCATGAGAATGAATCGAGGAATTGAAGCCATTGGAAGCTTTAAATGTGAAATTCCAAAGAAAATGTGAATAATATTCCAACTTGGCGTTGTAATTTCTCTTCCAAGAACTGCATTCCGGACATCTATGTCCATTAATTTCACAATAAAAATGACGGTGAAGGCAGCTACGAATGTGAAAAGCAGGAGGATCCAAGTGACGTCATCAAATGGAAGCCACATCTTCTCATAATTTGTATAAAACTCACTCGGCGTCGATGCTAACAGAAAGTATCCATTATCAATCAAACTTGTCGGAAATACTTCAGAATTAGAAGCCAAACTGAGAGGTCCGAAATGGATTCTCAATGCTGGGTTGACGTCACTTCCAAAACTATCAAAATCGCCAGTTAAAAATTGAAAATTCAAAGTGAAATTGCCAATTTTAGACATCATTTTAAAAAGGTCGACAGCAATGCCTTGTAAGTTCGGATCACCGGATTCTTTAAGTATTAGCGAGCTACAGTTGCTAAATCCAGACTTAACACAGTCTGAAGTTTCAGAAATTTTCTCTTTGCGGTACAAAAACTGCCCAAATACATCAAAAACTTCAAATTGACAGCCATAAAAGTTTTTGAATTTTTCATAATTTTCCAAATTTTTGTTCCAACTTTCTGTGGCTATATTGAAGCTATTGATGGTGGTCATGACTGGCTCGTTACAGATTCCATCATTAAAATGTTCAATAGTGAGCAGCATAAGATATTCTGGAATGTCCATCAAAAAGTATTGATGAGACTGCACTGTTGTGATGTCTTTGTTGTACTTCCTCAAAACTGAGTAGGAACTTAGAAAATTTTTGGAATAAATAAAAAATTTAAATTGCGTTGGAAAAATGTTTGACAATTTCGAAAGTTTTGTGAACTTCCAGACGTCCAGCTCGTCACTGAAGAATAAAATTGCTGACTTTCTCATTTCATGGTGCCACGAATCGCGATTCTCAATATATTTAAGGTTTATGGCTGTCTTACTTCCAATTCTACTCAGCAATCCATCAACTATTCCATTAATTTGACTACTGCGCCTTCCATAAATAATGATGTCGAACTCTATCGATTGATTGATGAGGAATTTTTCACATACTTCTGCAATTGCTGATGCTGTTAGTTCTATATGCTTGAAATCTTCATTAAAATTACAAATAATGACAGCCAAATGGGATATAATCAAAAAAACTGGACTTATTTTCATCGCTCTTTACTTGAAATTATTTTTGAAAATATTTTATTGATTTACAGTTCCACATGTTTATCTTATATCTAAGGAGTTCCTAGATCAACCTTCCTAAATGTACATATTCAAATAATTTGTTCGAGCCATTTTGTTTCATAAAATTTACACCTTTTGAATGTTAAGTTTGAAGATAAGCCCAGTTTCACGAAAAATTCAGTTTGAGGATAAGAATAGTTTGAGAATAAGTTCAGTTTGAAGATAAGCCCAGTTTCACGAAAAATTCAGTTTGAAGATAAAATCAGTTTGAGAATAAGATCAGTTTGAGGATGAGATTAGTTTTACTAAAAAATCAGTTTGAGGATGAGATCAGTTTGAGAATAAGATCAGTTTAAGGATGAGATTAGTTTTACTATAAATTCAGTTTGAGGATGAGATTAGTTTTAGGATACGTTCAATTCCAGAATAAATTCAGTTTTAGGATGAGTTCACTATTAGGATTAGTTCTGTTCGTAGATAAAAACAGTTTGAGGATAAGATGAGTTTAAGGAAAAGTTCAGTTTGAGGATAAGTTCAGTTTCTTGATTCTCATAAAACCAAACCTAAACGACAACAACTTTTAATCGCACAATCAAAATTCTTAAAAACATCGTCAATCCAATTAAAATCCGAAATATTTTCCTTAACTTAAACCTCACAATCTCCAACATAAATGCAACAATTGAAAGTCCGCAGGCACCAAGCCACAATCCAAAACATAAATCATTGATTGTCAATACTTTTGGACTATTATCAATGAATCCTTCATATTTCTTAAATAGCATCCACATGTGATAGTCGAGCAAATACTTCGGAATTCCAGCAGGTAAGATTCTTTCCAATAATTTATTTAAATGTTGAAACATAAAGCTATTGTAGCTCGCCAACATAGCTACTAAAGGTAAATCGTGGTGAAAACTTTTGAGCTGTACTGCAGATCCATGGCACAGTGAATTAATGACAAAATATTGTAGTTCTTCGGTAAAAAAGGCAAACTTTGAGTTGTGGTTGTTGAAATTGTCACAGTAGAGCTTTATGAACAAAACGCAATCGACAATCCTAATGTTTACTCTGTGAAACGGGAAAGAATAAGTTGAGTTTGAGGATACATTAAGTTTAAGGATAAGTTTAGTTTGAGGATAAGTTTAGTTTGAAGGTAAGTTTAGTTTAAGGATAAGTAAAATGTCAGGAAAAGTTTAGTTTAAGGATAGGTTTAGTTTTAGGATAAGTTTAGTTTAAGGATGAGTTAAGTTTTGGGATAAGTTTAGTTTAAGGATAAGTTTAGTTCAACTTTACAAATTTACCCGGTAAATTCAGAAACAATTTGTTCCAGCATATCAATATGACCTTTATCGCAGGTCAAAATCGTATAGTTTCTATCGATTAAATCCTGAATTGTGTTTGGCGGTGGCTTCCTCATATCGGACGTCATAAATTCAAATATTTTGCTTTGATAACAGGTCCGAAAAATGAGACAAAAGACGATGAAAATCATCAGAAGAAATCGAGGTATGCATGCACTTGGTAGCTTCATTTGAGAAATTCCAAAGAAAATGTGAAGAACATTAAGTGCTGGTGTCATTACTTCTTTTCCAAACAGTGCGTTCCTTACGACTCTTGACATAAATTTGACAACAACAATGACAGAAAAAGCTACTAAAAATATTAAAAGTTGGATAGCCCACGTGACATCATCAAACGGTAGCCAAAGTTTCTCATAGTTTGTATAAAACTCACTTGGTGTTGAAATTAAAACAAAATTAGTTTTGAACATAAGCAAAGTAATAAATCCCAAGTCGTTTTGATCAGCAATGAGTGATCCGGTGGCCATAACAATCTTAGGAAATGGCAAAAGCTCAAAAATTGAATCATTTAATGTATAAAATCGATAAATGGGATTAAAATTTTGTTTTTTTGATAAAATATGAAAAATGTCAACAATAAATCCTTGTGTGCCAAACATAAAGGCAGCTTTTCTGATGATCTCACCACACTTAAGTGGTGTCAATCTGATGCAATCGAATATTTTAGAATTGTCTCCATTCACATACAAGAAATGTCCGTACGGCTCGTCGATGACTAAAGTGCAATTGTTAAAATTTTGAAATCTTTTATAAATTCTTAGCTTGCTTTTCCATTCATTTGAAGGCTTATGAAAAATATTAAGTTGAATCCTGTTTGGCTTGTTACAATGATCTAGTTGGAAGTGATCGTACGTCGATAGCTCAACATGAAATTGGTAGTTTGTGAATAAAAATAAATGAGATAGAAATGATGTTCGATCGTCAGAATATAAATTAATTAAAGGTTCTGCCACAATCTTATGCTCAGAAAACATAAAGAATATAAAATCAGTTGGAAACTTGTTGTCAAGCAGCACATTTTTATGAAACGTATATGCCAACGATTGGTCAGTCAAGAACACAATTGCTGATTTATAGATTTTATGATCCCACAAGTCGATGTCCTTGATGTGTCTGAAAGTCGTCGCTGTTCTATTTCCAATTTGACTTAATAACATGCTAATTATATCTTTTAGATAATCTGTCTCATTTCCATAAAGAATCACGTCAAATTCTATCGATTTTTTTATGTAAAATTCGTCGCAAACTTTGGCGATTGCTATTGAAATGGACGAAATGTCATTGAAGTAGAAACCATTGCCACAAATATTTGAGATCATGCCTAAAGCAAGCACTAAAAGAAACTGAAAACTCATGATTATTCACATTTTTGACGACCGAACTGGAGCTTCTTTTAAACTGAACTGCATGTCTACAAATGTCATCAAATTAAATTGATTTTGCCTGAAAAATAAGAACATGACTGACTAATAATTATTAAAAAAATGATTAATATTAAAGTTAATACATTTTTTTTTATTTAAAAATTGAGGTTAAGTTTTGTATTATTTTTGATTTTTTTAAATCATATTCCTGAATTCTGAGGTTAAGTTCCAGGATTTAAATGTTAAGTTCCAAAATTTTGAGGTTATGTTACTGAATTTTAAGGTTAGATTCCTGAATTTTGAGCTTAAGTTCCAGGATTTTGAGGTTATATTCCTGATTTATGAAGTTGAGCTCCTGAATTTTGAGGTTAAGTTGATGAATTTTGATGTGTAAATTTAGTGAATTTTGAGGTTAAGTTCCTGAACTTTAAGGTTCCCGGATTTTAAAGCTAAATTCCTGAATATTAAGGTTATGTTTTTAAATGAATAAATTACATGGGTTTGAATCAATTCCCACCAAAACTAGACCAAAATCTTCATTCCCCAGCCCCAAATCCTCACAAAAATCCACAATCCAAAAGAAACTGAAATAGTTTTACAAACACTAAATTTGATAAGCTCTAAAATAAATCCAAGAATTGCAACTCCACAAGCAGCAGCCCACAACACAAATCCAAATGCTAAATCATCGATTGTCAAAACTTTTGGATCATTGTCTGTCATTGGTTGATACTTTTTAAATATCAAATTTAAGTGGAAATCTAGTAAATATTGAGGAATTCCAGCCGGTATCATCTTATCCAAGACTTCATTCAAAACATCGTTGATGAAACTGTTTCGTTTTGTTAAAAATGATGAAAGTCCAACTCCTTTATTAAAGTTTCTAAGCTTTACAGCAGCTCCATCGCAAAATGAATTGTATGATTTGTATTGAATGTCTTCAGTGAAGAAGGCTAGTTTTGCACTGACTTTATCAAAATTATCACAATACATGTGCCATATCATGAAGCAATCATTAAGAAGCAAAACATTCTTGCTACAAAAAAAAATTAGGATAATTTATTAACTGAACTTATCCCTAATTTAACTGAACTTATGCATTTATTATCTGAACTCATCCCTGAACTGAACATATCTATTTACTGAAAATTTTCTCTTAACTGAATTTATCCCCGAACTGAACGTATCCTGAACTGAACGTATCCCCGAACTAAACGTATTCCTGAACTGAATTCCTTCTTTTTCTTATTGAACTTATGCAGCCGTATTAACTGAACTTATGCCTGATCTAGCTGGACTTGTCCATAATATCACTGAACCTATCCAAAATTTATCATTATCATCCACCCCTTTTTGAAATTTGCAATTAATTACCTGTTATCATCGACACGAATAACCTCCTTTAGAGATTTTTCATGACCTATGCAAGCTACAATCGTGTAGTTCCTTTCAATCAGGTCCTCAACATCATTTGGTGGTGGCTTCCTCATGTCCGATGTCATAAACTCAAACAATTCGCTTTGATAGCAAGTCCGGAAAATGAGACAAAAAGTGATGAACAGCATGAGAATAAAGCGAGGAACTGACGCGTCTGGAAGCTTCATTTGGGAAATTCCAAAGAAGATGTGAATGACATTTAGTGCTGGTGAGTGAACTGGTCCTCCATAAAAGAGCAATTTGAACCTTTCAGGTATGAAATTAAGTACGAAAATAGCAACAAAAGCAATAAGAAATGTGAGCAGCAACAGGAACCAAGTGACATCATCAAACGGCAGCCAAAGCTTCTCATAATTATTATAAAATTCAGTTGGAGTGACTGCAAACATGTAGTGGCTGTTGAGAGGCATAACAGTTGTGAAAAATTCTCCATGCAAAAAATTCAAGTTGGTTCCTACAAATATCGACATGACTGGATGTTTACTTGGTACCAGATCGTCTTGTGTTGTTTGGAATCTATAACGTGACTCGAAATTTGCAACTTTAGCCATTGTATTAAAGATCTCAACATAAACACCAGCTGGCTCGCCAAAATTAGTTAACGAGTCAATAACAATGCTACAGTCCAAGTCTCGTCGCTTCTTGATGCATTCTTTGACTTCAGCACGTCCTTTCTCAAAATGTAGAAACATTCCGAAACTTTCTATTAGAACCAGCGGACATTGATGAAAATTACTGAATTTTTTGTGATACTTCAGTTCCTTAAACCAAGTTTTTGTACGTTTATTAAAAGAATTGAGTAAAACTTGTTGTGCCTGATTACAGCTCCTGCCTTCAAAGTTCTCGTACGTGTGCAAACAAACATTCTCGTATAAACTTATCAAGTAGTAAAGATGCGATTTGAACTCTGTGACATCACTTTTGTATCTAGTCACTGCTGGATAAGTGTCAGGAAGCATCTCTGAGTATAATAAAAATTTAATGTCACTTGGATGATTGTTAGCTAGTTCTGCCTTGTCACAGAACTTTCCCATATGCTAGTCAGTTCTGAAGAATATTACAGCTGATCTAGTAAGCTTATGATCAAATGCGGTCATGTTGTGGATGAATTGAATGTTAATTGGAACTTGAATGCTTAAAATTTCTATAAATTTACTTGTCACATCACGAATGTGCTGAGTCATTTCACCATAAATTAAAATATCAAAAATTGTTGACTTTTTGATGAAAAATTCGTTGCAAACTTGAGCGATTGCTGTTGATATGCCTGTATAGTCGACTTCATATGGGATGTCTTCACTTGGAACTGATGGAATCAGGCAAAATGATATTATTGAAAATATTTTCAAGTTCACAGTCATGAAGTTCAAGTTCATGATTGTTTTCACGTAGTCCATTTCCAATGGATTTCCAGTTTTATTTATTATTAAATTTTTGAGGTTATGTTCTTAAGTTTTGGAACCATTTTCAAACTTTCTGAACTTTAAGACTACCACAGGATTTTTCTAAAACCCACATGATTTTGAGGTTATGTTCCTGAAATTTTCAGGTTTTTTTCCCAGAATTTTGAGGTTATCCTTCTTTTTCAACCAACATCTCTTAGCTCCAAGTCCATAAACTTTGACAGCATCCAAAGTCCAGCCAATGCTTTCATAAGTTTATTTAATTTAAATCTTAAAATCTCATAAACGAATCCAAAAATGGCAATTCCACAAGATCCGAGCCACAAAACAAATCCAAATGCCAAGTCATTGACTGTCAGCACTTTTGGTTCACTGTCCACAAATGGCTCATACTTCTTATAAATTAAGGATGTGTGATACTCAATCAAATGTTGTGGAATTCCAGCTGGAATTGTCTTTTCCAAGACTTCATTTAACACTTCATGGATGAAGCTATTTTTATGTGTAAGGAACGACGACAGCATGACATCTTTTTGAAAATTCTTAAGTTTTGCAGCTGATCCTTGACAAAATGAATTAAATGCTGAGTATTGGATATCCTCAAAGAAAAATGCAAGTTTTGATGCTTCGTTGTCGTAGTTGTCGCAGTATAAATTCCATATTAAGAGACAGGAATCAAGAATCCAGATGTTTTTGCTGGAAATAGAGGAAGCAATTATTAGTTTTTAATTTGAGTATTGATGGCTGGCTTGCTGGAGATAAGAGTTCAAGGAGGTGGTTTTCTTTCAATATTTTTGGCAAGGAGCAGGATTGACTAGAAATAAGCAGTAATTGATGATCAGAATCAACCTTCAGGTTCATATGGTACCTATAGAAGACACTTTCTTCTCTGTCATACCCAATAGCCAACATCTTAAGTTTAAAGCCAGGAATTACTGCTTGCCATCTTTAAATTATTACCCATCATTACCTGTCATTCCTTATCACAATATCCTTCAGTATTTTACGTTGAACATCATCACAAGCCACAATTGTGTAGTTCCTCATAATCAGGTCCTCAACATCATTTGGTGGTGGCTTTCTCATGTCCGATGTCATAAACTCAAACAATTCGCTTTGATAACAAGTCCGAAAAATCAGACAAAATGTGATGAACAGCATGAGAATAAAGCGAGGAACTGACGCGTCTGGAAGCTTCATTTGGGAAATTCCAAAGAAAATGTGAATGACATTTAGTGCTGGTGAATGAACTGGTCCTCCATAGAACAACAGTTTGAACCTTTCAGGTATGAAATTCAATACAAAAATGGCAACAAAAGCAATAAGAAATGTGAGCAGCAACAGGAACCACGTGAAGTCATCGAATGGTAGCCACAGCTTTTCATAATTATTATAAAACTCAGTTGGAGTGACTGCAAACATGTAATGACTGTTTAAGGATATGGCAGTTGGAAAGAAGTCACCATTGAGGTTGTTATTGAGTGTACCGACGAAAATATTGACAGTTGGAATCCGAGCCTCTTCAGCATCTCCTTCAAAGCCAGAAATGATTGAATAAATGGGCTGAAAATTTGCTTTTTTTGACATAATTTTAAAAATTTCCACAAAAATTCCGTCAGCTTTTTCGACGTTGATGAGCTGTTTTGACATTTCCGTGCAGTCTATGTTCCTGGCTGATCTCAAGCAGTCCTTAAGTTTGTGATTTTGATACTCAAAATGAAAATATTGTCCAAACTTTTCATGTAAAAATAATGGACAGTTGTGAAAGTTTTTGAATTTTTCATGACTTTCCAGCTTTTTATCCCAAAACATTGTGAATTTATCAAACTTATTAAGGAACTTGACTTTAGGCTGATTGCAGCTATCTTTTGTAAAATGCTCGTAAGTCCATAAATGAACATAATCAAAATCATTCAGTATAAAGTAGAAATAAGAACGAGCAAATGTGATGTCAAAGACATATTTAGCTAAGGTTGGATGTAAGTTCGGCTCCTTTTCAGTATAGACCAAGAACTTGAAGTCGACTGGACTTTTGTTGATCAAAACAGGACTTTCAGAGAGTTTATACAAATAAAATGCATTCGGGAAGAAAAGCACAGCTGATTTATCAAGTTTAGGTATAAAATTGTCAGTGCTTCCAATAAATTGAATTGTTGTAGCTGACTTGTTTCCCAAAATTTCCATAAAAGCACTGGCAACATCATAAAGATGCTATGTCAATTGTCCATAAACAATAACATCAAAATTTGATGACTTTTTGATGTAAAACTCTTCTGAAACTTCAACCATTGCAGTTGCTATAGCTGCAACATTTAGTTCGTATGCTGTATAGCTGGTTGTTGAAGTTATAAGGCTTGATATTACCACAATAATTAATAAAAACTTCACAAATTGATATTTCATGTTTTTATTTTCATTAACTACAGGTACGGAGCTATGGGGGAACAAACACAAAAATCAAAAGGGGGACTCAACATGATGGGAAAAATTGATTTAATATTTAATAATTTTTTCCCATTCTGCACTGATTTTTCATTATAATTTTAATTTTTCCTTCGCCATAGTTTCCCATCATGTTGTTGTCCCCCTGAAAAAATAAACTCGAATTTCATAGATTTTATCTATTTTGTCAATAAAGTTGTCTACATCGTACATAACAATTGTATATTTCCTCTCGAATAAATTTTTTATAGACCTTCTAATGCTCCGCGGAGCATTATTGTTCTCCGAAAATATCCCAGATAAGTCAACAGAACTATAAAATTAAAATTAAAGTTACAGCTCCCTATAAAGATTGAGAAACATTGAAATAATTTCAAGAAACTTCAACTCAGGGGAGCATCAATGGGAATTATGAGAAGATTTTTTGATGTCAACTCCAATTTGGAATTTTTTTTTATGTTCCAAAAAAAAATCCAAGTTTTCCCCCCTTATTTTTTCATATACCCCCCCTTCCCCCCTCCCCTCAAAAACTTTCTAGATGTGCACCTGCGTAGAATTTTCAGATGTGCAAGTTTTGGAAAAAAAATTATTCCCCCCCAAAATTCCGTACAATACCCCCCTCCCCCTTCAAAAAAATTCCTAGATACGGCCCTGCATCAAATTTTTTATTTCAGAAAAAAATTTAAATCGACTCAAAAACGCATAATTTTAATGTAATAAGAAATCCTGTCCGTCTGTCCATCTGGGTAACGCACAAAACAAAAATTTTCCAAAAAAAAAATCAAAATTTTCAAAAAAAGGAATTGGGCTTAGCCGGGATTTGAACCCGGGACCTCTCGCACCCTAAGCGAAAATCATACCCCTAGACCACTAAGCCATTGCCGTTGCTCCACTCTGTAGCGCACATTCGGCAAATGTACAATTTATACATCGACACATTTTTTTTCTTTTCTTTTCTTTTTTTTTGTATTTTTTTATGAAGAAGAGTCAAAGCTACATTGACATACTTTACTGACTGTGTGCATCACATTTGGAAGTTAAAATACGGAAATTAAATTAAAAATTAAGAAAAATGAAATTTTTGTGGCTATTTTTGTGTTTTTCCTTAACAATGTGCGAAATCGCTGTAAATTACAGTGATAAAATTGAAGTTAAAGCAATTTTGTCTGTTTGTGAGGAATTTTTCATCACAAAATCAATAAATCTTGACATAATTCTGTACGGTGACGTTGATCCTCAGCTTAATGACATCACAAATAGTTTCATGAGAACAATTGCTCGAAATGCTTCATTAAATGTTACGAACATTGCTTATAGAACCTCAATAAACCATTTGATCACCAAATCATCGATAATTTTGATGAGTCATTCAAGAGATCAAAAGAATTTATACAAAAAAATCGAATTTTTAAATAATTTAAAAAATAAACTTACAATTATTTTGTATTTGCATCGACTTGATCCACATGTCAGCATAACTTTGCCAGATAATTTTGAATATGCGACAGTAAATTTTTATTATCTTGTAAATATGAAAATTCAACTTAATTTTATGGCACCAATTGCATTTAGTTCAATCAGATGCAACCAAATTCGCATCAAGACATTGAATATTTTCAGTAAAAACGAGACAAAATGGCTGACAGAGTTGAAATATCCGAAATTTAGCAATTTATTCGGATGTCCATTAACATTTATGAATAGTTATGGCAAGTTCCTATACCTAAAGAGTCATGATAAGCTATCAATTAATTATGGTGCATTTGCTACAGAAGACAAGTTCAAAATGATAAATAAATTGTCACTGACTGGCAATTATCAAGGTTTTATGGTCGACATGGCTGAGATTCTGTCAAAAATTATAGATTTTAAGCCACAATATAGATTTTTGGAAGCATTTGATTTCAAAACTAATAAAGATCCAGTTGAAAAAATTTCTGAGGGATTTATGGCTTCATATGCTATTTTTCACGACACAAACTATCTGACAGATAATTTTGTTGTTTTTGCCACAAACATTATAAGCTCAAATGTGGACGCTTATTTCCTGGACCCATTCAACTTCCACACCTGGATTGCTGTCTTAACCTCACTTTTTGTAGCTTTTGTTGTGATTTTCTACATTAATTTGAGGTTAGGAATTGTCAGGATTCGTCCACGTAAGGAACTCACAAGATCAGCACTGAATGTCCTTGAAATTGTCTTTGGATGTCCTCAAAATAAACTTCCACGCGCGAATTTCGGACGATTTTTGATTATTTTATTTATTGGACTTTGTCTTGTGCTGAGGATTTGCTATTGGAGTCAACTGGTTAAACTTAAAGCTACTGGAGTAGACAAAATAGGACCAGAGACTGTTGAAGATCTAGTCGAAGGGAACTACACGATTTATTCGTGTTACCAGCCATTTTCCAAGGATAAGATTCAAATGTAAGTTAACAAAGTGAAGAAATCCAAAAAAATATCAATTAATGCTCAATATTTTCCAGGCATCTTTTCCAAATCGTCGATCACTGTGAAGACACGACCGAGTTCTTTTGTGGAACAATGAAAAATTCGGACACAAATGTTGGATTTCTTATCTTAAAGGATAAAATTCATCTTTTTAATAAAGCATGCAGCAATCTTTTCATAACCTCAAAGGTTTTAAAAATTAACTTAGCTACAACTGTTTTGCAATTAACGAAGGTTAGTGTTATACAGGAAGCATTCAATTACATTTTAAGAAAACTGACACCAGCTGGAATTCCTCAATATTTATTGGCTCATCACACATCGGCTTTGTATGGAACGGACAGAATAATTAAAGAAAAAGAATCTGGAAAATCATCATTCGATGACATGAAGTTCGTGTTCGTTTTATGGATGTTTGGTTGTGGAATTTCAATAGTCACGCTTGCTCTGGAAATTTTTAGGGTCACCAAACTTTGAAAAATTGTGAAAAAATTTCAAAAAACCTGGAAATGTTTGAAAGTGTGAAGGCGCCTGAATCTCAAAATATCTAGTGTGAAGACACCTAAACCTCTATACTTTTGTGAATGGACTTTAATCCCGAAAAAGTGTGAAGACACCTTAACCTCAAAAATGCAATGTAAAGGCACCTGAACCACAAAACTCTTGTGCAAAAAATCCTTAACCTCAAAAGTGTGAAGGCACCTTAACCATCGCAAATCTAGTAAGAAAGCACCTGAATCTTCGAACTCTAATGTGAATGCAGCTTTATACATACAAAACTAGTGTGAATGCATCTTAACTTTTTCAAATCAAGTGTGACGGAATTTTCAATAACAGTCAAATTTTTACTCGACTGGATTTTGGAAAATTCCAATAGAAAATTGTTTTAAAATTAAAATAAATAATTTCTTAATTAATACCTAATTAAAATGCATTCTATTAAATGTTTGCTGGTATTTGTGAGCATAACTTCAACTTTTTGTGAAAAATCTGCAATTAAGCCAGAAAATGACGACATTGAAGTAGTTTCGACAGCAATTGCAGAAGTTTGTGTAGAATTTTTCATCAAAAAATCAATAAATTTTGACATAGTTCTGTATAGTGACGTAGATCGTCATCTAAGTGACATCATTGATAGTTTAGTCAAGAAAATAACTCGAAATTATTCAATAAATTTACTTAAAATAAAAAATGTGACTTTGTGGGATCATTTGGTCCTGAAATCAACTGTTGTTCTACTTAAAGACTCGATTGACTTCGAAATTTTCCAAAATCGAGTCAAATCGCCGAGACACAACAACCAAGAATCAACAATTGTGATCTATGTGGACCAAACTCAACAAGAACCTGAAATATCATTCGAATCTAACCAATCATTTTACATGACCAACTTCTTTTTTCTCTTAAACCAAGAATTAACTTTGAATCTTGAGTCGATTATCTTTTTTAGTCCTACTTTGTGTGGTTCAACACAAACTCAACTTGGCAATAGCTTCAATAAATCCACAGCTCAGTGGACATATGTTCTTAAGTTTCATCATAAATTTGAAAATTTATACAAATGTCCTTTAGGTTTTGCTCATTTCTTCAGCAAGTATCTTTATTTTAAGGACGAACACAAATTTATGCTTCAACACGCCTCAAATCGAGCTGAAAAGGTTGAAATAATCAAGTTTCTTTCAAGCACGGAAAATTTTTATGGATTTTCAGTTGACATGGCTGAAATTATGTCAAAAATCATGAACTTTACTCCATTTTATCATCGGTACGAAGTTAGTTATGAAGATTTGGATTTGAGGACGATTGACACAATTTCTGATGACTTTTACAATGAAGATTATGAAACTCGGTTCACAAACTATCCAGCTGACTTTTCTTTAGTCCTTATTACAAACAAACTTGATTTCAACAAGTCTGGATTCTTTCTGAACCCATTCAACTTCCACACCTGGATTGCTGTCTTAACCTCACTTTTTGTAGCTTGTATTGTGATTTTCTACATGAATTTGAGGTTAGGAATTGTCAGGATTCGACCACGCAAGGATCTCACAAGACCAGTACTGAATGTCCTTCAAATTGTCTTTGGGTGTCCTCAAAAGAAACTTCCAAGCGCAAATTTCGGACGGTTTTTCGTTATTTCATTTATTGGACTATGCCTTTTGCTGAGGATTTGTTATTGGAGTCAACTTGTTAGATTTATGGCACTTGGAGTCAATAAACAAGAACTCAAGACTGTTGAGGACCTAATTGATAAAAATTACACGATTTATTCCTGTCACAGGAAGTCTTTACGTAAAAAAATAAGATTGTAAGTTCTTAAAATTTCCCATATTTGTGAATATTTATTATTTTTTTTAAACCAGACCTAATTTTAAAATCAACCAACTCTGTCAAAACTCAGTTGAGTTTGCATGCGAGACACTTGAAAATGCAGATACCAATATTGGATTTATTATCATTAAGGAAACTATTCAGACATACATCGATACATGCGAAGAGCTTTTTACTTTACAGGAACATTTTGAAATTAATCTTGACATGACTGTATTTCTGATGAGCTCAAAAAGTATTTCTTATGATACATTCAATGAAGTTTTGAGGAAATTGACACCAGCTGGAATTCCTCAATATTTATTGGCTTATCACACATCGGCTTTGTATGGAACGGACAGAAAAATTGAAGAAAAAGAATCTGGAAAATCATCATTCGATGACATGAAGTTCGTGTTCGTTTTATGGATGTTTGGTTGTGGAATTTCAATAGTCACGCTTGCTCTGGAAATTTTTAGGGTCACCAAACTTTGAAAAATTGTGAAAATTTTTCGAAAATGTTTGAAATATTTGAAAAAACGTTTTAATAATCTAAAGTGTGAAGACACCTGAACCTTAAAATTTTTGGGTGGAGGCGACTGAACCTCAACAAATAAAGTGTGAAGACACCTGAACCTTAAAATTCTTGAGTAGAGGCGACTGAACATCAACAAACAAAGTGTGAAGACGCCTTAACCTTTAAAATCTTGATTAGAGGCGACTGAACATCAACAAATAAAGTTTGAAGACACCTGAACCTTTAAACTCTTGAGTGGAGGCTACTGAACATCAACAAATAAAGTGTGAAGACATCTAAACCTTTAAACTCTTGAGTGGAGGCAACTGAATCATAAACTCCTGCAAACCTTTATTAACAGACACGTTTTAAATTGAAAATCTTTAAAAATAATTTAAAATTCCAATGGAAAATTGTTTTTCATAAAAAATAAATAATTGATCATTTTTTTTCCTCATTTAAAATGCATTTTAGTAAATTTTTGTTGGTATTTTTGTGCATAACTTCATTATTTTGTGAAAAAATAGAAATTGAGTCAGAAGTTGAAGACATTGATGTAGTTTCGACAGCAATTGCTGAAGTTTGTGTGGAATTTTTCATCAAAAAATCGATAAATTTTGACATCATACTGTATGGTCATGTAGATAGTCATTTAAGTGACATTCTTGATGGTTTAGTCAATAAATTAGTTCAAAATAATTCAACAAACCTGCGTAAAATAGAAAATGTGACTTTTTGGGATCATTTGGTCCTCAAATCATCTGTGGTTCTACTAAAAGACTCGATTGATTTCGGAAACTTCTTAAATCGAGTTAAGTCACCAAAACACAACAACAAGGAATCAACAATTGTGATCTATGTGGACCAAGCTCAACAAGAACCTAAGATAATATTTGAACCTAATCGAATCTTCTTCATGGCCAACTTTTTCTTCCTCTTGAACCGTGAATTAACATTGACTCTTAGTTCCTTTACCTTTTTCAGTCCTGCTCTGTGTGGCAAAACGCAAGCTCGATTTGACAATAGCTTCAATAAGTCCATAGCTCAATGGGCACATAAACTTCAAGCTTATCATAAATTTAAAAATTTACACAAATGTCCTTTGGGTTTTGGTCATGTCTTCAGCAAATATCTTTATTTTAAGGATGAGTACAAGCAGACTTTGCATGCAAATGATAAGCTTTTGTTACGCAAGTTCCTGTCAAAATCTGAAAAATATTATGGATTTTTAGTTGACATGGCTGAAATTATGTCAAAAGTCATGAACTTTACTCCATTTTATCATCGATTTGAGTTTGGTGATCATGATTTCCATATTGACACAATTTCTGATGACTTTTTGGGAGAAGTTTATCAAAATTGGTTCACAAACTATCAGACTGGCTTTTCTGCAGTCCTCATCACCAACAAATTGAATTTTGACTATTCTGGCTTCTTGCTGGACCCATTCAACTTCCACACCTGGATGGCTGTCTTAACCTCACTTTTTGTAGCTTGTATTGTGATTTTCTACATGAATTTGAGGTTAGGAATTGTCAGGATTCGTCCACGTAAGGAACTCACATGATCAGCACTGAATGTCCTTCAAATTGTCTTTGGATGTCCTCAAAAGAAACTTCCGCGCGCGAATTTCGGACGAATTTTGATTATTTTATTTCTTGGACTTTGCCTTTTGCTGAGGATTTGTTACTGGAGTAAACTTGTTGGATTTATCGCTTGTCGGGTGGATATAGTGGAAGTGAAGAGTGTTGAGGACCTGATTGATGGGAATTACACCATTTATTCATGTCATGAGAAGCTAAGTAAACGAATAAGCTTGTAAGTTACATAAAATTCCACATTTAGTAGTTGCAAATAATTTTATTTCTGTTCATTAATGCCAGGCAAAATGTTAACATCATTGAGTCCTGTGAGAATTCCATAAAATTTACATGTCAGGTACTAGAAAATGCGGATTCAAATATTGGATTTTTCATCATTAAGGAATCAATTCAGCCATACATTGATGCCTGTGCTGAACATTTCACTTCACAGGACCATTTTAAAATTGATCCTCAAATGACTGTTTTACTGATGAGCCAAACAAGCATCTCTTTTGATACTTTTAACGACATTTTATGGAAACTGACACCAGTTGGAATTCCTCAATATTTATTGGCTTATCACACATCGTCTTTGTATGGAACGGAGAGAAAAATTGAAGAAAAGGAACTCAGAAAATCGTCAATTAATGACTTGAAGTTCGTGTTTGCTTTATGGATGTTTGGTTGTGGAATTTCAATAGTCACGCTTGCTCTGGAAATTTTTAGGGTCACCAAACTAGGAAAAATTTTAAAAATATATCAAAAATGTTTGAAATATTTGAAAAGAATGTTTTAATAATTTAAATTGTAAAGGCACCTGAACTTGAAGAATCGAGTGTGAAGGAACCTAAAATTCAAGAATCGAGTGTTAAGGCACCTGAAATTCAAGAATCGAGTGTGAAGGGACCTAAAACTCAAGAATCGAGTGTGAAGAGACCTAAAATTCAAGAATCGAGTGTGAAGGCACCTGAAATTTAAAAAACGGGTTGTGAAGGCACCTGAAATTTAAGAATCGAGTGTGAAGGAACCTAAAATTCAAGAATCGAGCGTGAAGGGTCCTGAAATTCAAGAATTGAGTGTGAAGGCATCTGATTCTCAAATCTCGAACGCTAATGCATCTGAACATCAAAACTTTTGTGTATAGGTTCCTTAACCTCAAAAGGTCTATATAAATGCTCCTGATCCTCAAAGCTCGAATGTAAAGGCACTTTATCTCCAAAACTCGAATGTGAAAGCACCTGAACCTCAAAGCTCGAATGTGAAGACACCTTAACGTTAAAACTCTAGTAAGAAGTTGCCTGAACCTAAAAGGTCGAATGTGAAGACACCTGAATCTCAAAAATTTTAATGTAGAGGCAGCTGGACCTCAAATATTGAATGTAGAGTCTCCTGAACCCCAAAAGCTCTAAGAACATAAAATGTAAAACTCAAAAAGTGTCGTGTGAATGCACTTCGTTCTAGAATATTACAGCGCGAAGATAGCTAGCTCCTTTTATAGCTCAATATTTTTTTTTGGAAAACTGGAAATTCAAAATAAAATTCTTTTTTTCAAGAAGCAAAATTTTAGTTCCGCATTTTTGTTTCGATTTAAATTGACAAAAATGAATTTTCAACATATTTTTGTGCTCATTCAATTCACAGCAATGACTGAATGTGATATTTTGGCAATAAAACATGAAAATGACACAAAATTAGTTTCAAACTACATTTTGTCAGTTTGTGAAGATTTTTTCATCAGAAAATCGATGAAATTTGACGTCATCGTGTTTGAAAGTTCATCAGAAAGGATCAATGACATCAGAACTGGAATTATAAAAGAATTTGGTCAAAAATATCCAATAAGAACATGTATGGCTTCTTATTTTAAAAGACATTACTTTGAAAACTCCGCATTGATCCTGATAAAAGACATGGCAAGCTATTTGAGGTACTTAGAGACAACAATTTTTGTGTCCTTTGATCCAACAATAATAAAAATCATAGTTTATGTCGATGACACTCAATTCTCAATTCCTGACATGGTTGACTTCCATGACCATCCTTATCTTAGATCTGTTGAGTACTACATCCTTAATTCCAATGACACACTGACTCTAGCAACTTATGACTCATTTTCAAGGACAAATTGTACCCAGCAAGAACTCAAAATTCTCCAAAAATTCGACAAAATCAAGAAAACTTCAACTAAAAATGTCAAAAACCACAAAAAGTTTTACAATTTTAATGGATGTCCACTAATAATCACACCAAGTTACGGACCGTTATTATTCCTCAAAGTCTACAACCAAAAAGTCAAAAACTGTAAAAAATCACGAAAAACTCGATGCAATCAACTTTCAGTCGATCAATATGAAAAGCCTCAAGGTTTTTCTGTTGACTTTTTTAAAATTTTAGCAAAAATTCACAATTTCAAGCCCGATTTTCAAATTATCAAAAAATCTCATACGGCGGCCAGAAAAGGTCCAACTGTTGATGTGATGATGAGCTCAATTAGTTCTGACTCTGTAATGTCATCATTATTTCAAGAGTTTAGCTACATTTTCATCACTAAAACAACGACTTTAGATACATTTGAGCTATTGACTCATTCTTTCAACTTCCACACCTGGATTGCTGTCTTAACCTCGCTTTTTGTAGCTTTTATTGTGATTTTCTACATGAAATTGAGGTTAGGAATTGTCAGGATTCATCCACGTAAGGAACTCACAAGACCAGCACTGAATGTACTTCAAATTGTCTTTGGATGTCCTCAAAAGAAACTTCCGCGCGCGAATTTTGGACGATTTTTGATTATTTTATTTATTGGACTTTGTCTTGTTCTGAGAATTTGTTATTGGAGTCAATTGGTTGGATTTATGACTAGTCGGGTAGATAAAATGGAATCGAGAACTGTTGAGGACCTGATTGATGGGAGTTATACGGTTTACACCTGTTCTGAAGACAATTTCTTAATAGAAAGTGAGACTTGGTTAGTATTTCGATAGATTTAAACTTAAAAAACGTCAAATACAACATTTATACTAAACTTACAGGAATAACATCAGAGTCAACACAGATTGTGAAATGTCTTCAATTAATTACTGTGAAATATTGCAAAACTCTAAACAAAATGTTGGATTTGTAACAGAAAAGCGAATGTTGGCGACATTTACAAAAATTTGTAATGAATTAAATTTGTCCGTAATGATTATTGACGAAAGCAAAATAATGTTTACTTTTACAACAGAATATTTTAGTTTTTTTAATAGTCAAATTAATGATATTATAGATAAATTGGTTCCAACTGGACTCGCTCTGTATTTAATGGACCAACATACTAGAGATTATTACATTGTCGATGATGAAACCAAGAAAAATAATGTAAAAATTCTGAATTTAGAAGATTTTAAGTTTTTGGTAATTTTATGGATTATTCTTGCTGGAATTTCAATTGTTCTCTTTATTTTGGAATATTCTATAGCTGCTGTGAAGGAAATTTTAATTTATTTTTTGAGAAAAAGTTACTCAAGTCTTGCACTTTAATTTTTAATAAATTTAATATTTTCATAAAAACTTAATTAAGACACAATTTTCTGAAAACCATAAAAATTTTAGGTTCAGGTGGTTTCAAATTTAATTTTTTAAGATTCAGGTGGCTTTACATTCAGATTCTGGATATTCAGGTGCATTCACTTTAGATTTTTGAGGTTCAATTTTTTTCACACTATAGTTTTAAGATTCAGATGTTTTCACATTTGATTTTTAAGATTCAGGTGGCTTCACATTTGATTTGTTTAAGATTCAGATGTTTTCACATTTGATTTTTTAAGATTCAGGTGGCTTTACATTTGATTTTTTTAAGATTCAGGTGGCTTCACATTCAGATTCTGGATATTCAGGTGCATTCACATTAGATTTTTGGGGTTCAATTTTATTCACACTAGTTTTAAGATTCAGATGTTTTCACATTTGATTTTTAAAGATTCAGGTGGCTTTACACTTGATTTTTTAAGATTCAGATGTTTTCACATTTGATTTTTTAAGATTCAGGTGGCTTTACATTTGATTTTTAAGATTCAGGTGGCTTCACATTTGATTTGTTTAAGAATCAGGTGCCTACACATTCGGATTCTGGATATTCAGGAGCATTCACATTAGATACTTGTGGTTAAGGTGTATTCACACTATAGTTTTAAGATTCAGATGCTTTTACATTCGATTTTTTATACTCAGGTGCATTCACATTAGATATTTAAGTGTCAGGTGCCTTCACACTTAAAGTTACTGACAAAAGCTTTTAAAAATTTCCAACATTTTCGAATTTTCTTTGCCGTTTTTCTAAGTTTCGTGACCCTAAAAATTTCCAGTACAAGCGTGACAGCTGAAATTCCACAACCAAGCATCCAAAAAACAAATTCGAACTTAAGATCATCAAAAGAAAATTTTTTTACAATTCTTTTTTCAATATTTTTCTTCGTTCCGTACAAAATCGATGAGTGATGAGCCAGCAAGTATTGAGGAATTCCAGCTGGTGTCAATTTCCATAAAATTTCATTCAATGTTTCATAAATAACACTATATGAGCTTGTATGCATCGATATCATTGGTCGATTTATCTCAAATTTTTTTAAAATAATAAAATCATCACATGCTGCTTGATAAAGAGGAAATTTCTCAACAAGAATCAAAAATCCAACATTTTTGTCTGAATTTTTTAATGTGTCACAAAAGAACTTTGTTGATTCCTCACATTGATCGACGATTTGGACAGAATCTCTGAAAATATTGAGAATTTAACTTATTTTTCTTTGGATTTTTGCCAATTTTATAAACTTACAATTGAATTTTATCCTTCGAAAATGGCGGATAACATGAATAAATCGTGTAGTTCCCTTCGACTAGATCCTTAACAGTCTCTGGTCCTAGTTTGTCTCCTCTAATAGCTTTAAGCTTAACAAGTTGACTCCAATAAAAAATCCTTAGTACAAGGCAAAGTCCAAGAAATAAAATAATCAAAAATCTTCCAAAATTCGCGCGCGGAAGTTTCTTTTCTGGACATCCAAAGACAATTTGAAGGACATTTAGTGCTGGTCTTGTGAGTTCCTTACGTGGACGAATCCTGACAATTCCTAACCTCAAATTCATGTAGAAAATCACAACAAAAGCTACAAAAAGTGAGGTTATGACAGCAATCCAGGTGTGGAAGTTGAATGTGGATAGAAGTAAGACAGAATTAAGAATGTCAGGTTTTTTAATGGCCAAAATAACTGAATTGTCCACAAGATGACTTGTCAAGCTTCTTTTATCATCATTATCGTTTAAATCACCTTGAGAGATGAAGTCATTTTGAATATCCTCAATCATTTGCTGATCACAAATCAGCACAAAATTCACAATTTTTGTCAATATCTCAGCCATATCAATCATAAATCCTGAACACCTGAACCTGTCATTGTCATTAAAATACAAAAATTTGCTGTGAAATAAATTTTGAAACATGATTGGACATCCAAAAAGATTGCCAAATTTTTGTATAGATTTCAAAGTTGTGCCCCAAGTCAAGCTTGATTTTGTAAATAAATTAAAAAGTTTGGTCTGTTGACGGTCACACTTTTGTGGACTGAAGACAAAAATTGTCTCAAGTTCTAGTTCTTCCTTGTTATTCAATAGATAATAAAAGTTGCATTTTAGGAGAAAAGTTACGTCAGGCAATCCAAACATTTTGTCTATAGCTTGATTAAAATAAATCAAAATTGTCAAATCGGATTTTTGATTTTTTGAAATTTGAATGCTTTTGCTGAAAAAATCAAGATCAGCGTGACTTTGTATCAAAAATACTGTTGATTTTGTAGTTAAATGATTCCATGTGTGAATGTCAGCTATGCTGTACACATTTATTGGATATTTCCTGACAATTTTATTAATCAAACTTTCTGTGACTCACAAGTCACGATTCACATGGCCGTACAGAAAAATGTCAAAATTTATCGATTTTTTGATGTAAAATTCCTCACAAAATGATAAAATTGCGGTTGAAATCGCCTCAATGACAGTTTTATTCTTTAAAATTACACCATTTGAAAGAATGCATAGCGCAGCAACTATTACAATATAATTAATGTTCATGTTACTAAGTTAAATTAAAAATATCACTTTTTTGGAATTTCACAAAATTTTCTTCTAATTAAATTGGAAAAGCACGTATAGTTCTAGATTATAGGCACAGGCGCATTTCATTAAGTCATTTAGGCAATTAAAGATGCTCATTTAGTCTTTAATCGGGGTCGTTGAAGCTCAGCCTATCTGCCAACTGAATCATGAAATCATTGATGATAAGATGCCTTAACACCTTATCAGACTTCTAAGACCTAAGTGGTTTTAAACCATAAAACTTGACTTTTAGGTGCCTTTACACAAAAGTTGTTACGGCTTTTAATGCACAATTTCATTCGTAGGTTCAGGTCCCTTTACAAAAGTTTTTTGAGTTTAAGGTGCCATCACCATAGAGTTGTTTAAGGTTCAGGTGTCTTCACACTAGAGTTTTTAGGTTCAAGCGTCTTCACACTAGAGTTTTCAGGCTCAGGTGTCTTCACACTAGAGTTTTTAAGGTTCATGTGTCTTCACACTAGAGTTTTCAGGTTCAGGTGTCTTCACACTAGAGTTTTCAGGTTCAGGTGTCTTCTCAATGCAGTTCATAGGTTTAGGTGCCATCACCCTAGAGTTTTTAGGTTCGGGTGTCTTCACACTAGAGTTTTAAGGTTCAGGTGTCTTCACACTAAAGTTTTCATTTTCAAGCGTCTTCACACTAGAGTTTTTAAGGTTCAGGTGTCTTCACACTAGTGTTTTAATGTTCAGGTGTCTTCACACTAGAGTTTTCAGGTTCAGGTGTCTTCACACTAGAGTTTTCAGGTTCAGGTGTCTTCTCAATGCAGTTCATAGGTTTAAGTGTCTTTACACGAGTGTTTAAACGTTCGGACTACTTTACAATATACTTCATAAGTTCAGGTGCCATTTCAAGAGCAATTTGCATAGCAATGTCTTAAAATATCAATCAAAATGTTCCTCAATTCTGAAATTGAGTACTCAAAGATAAAAAAAATAATCGATACTGAACATAAAACTAGCCACATAAAAATCACACATTTAAAATCCCTAAGCTTTAATCCTTTATACAAATCTTTATCGACTTCTTCATATCTTCCAGAATGGTTCATTATGTGCTGTTCCAATAAATATTGAGTTATTCCGGCTGGAAACAATTTATCAATAATATTTCGAAAATGTTCATAAATAAAATTAAATTTTGTCATTGACAATGTATATGTGATCATTGGCAGATCTAAACCTTCAATTTTAGTTATTTGAACGGAGCAAAGTCTTTGAATTATTGGAACTTCATCCTTTTTCACCAGAAACAAAACATTTTCGTCCGAATACTTCAAAGTATTGCATACAAATGTGGTTGTATATTCACAGTCTTTGATGAACCTAATGTCATTCCTGAAATATTTTTTTAAAATTAGTCAACTTCTGATATCAAACGATCCTCAAGGGCCAGGTTTCTAATCTGTCCGAGGTCCTCTGGATGTGGTACTCGGGGCAGCCTTAGAAACCTTGTCTAGGCTCTTACCATTCTTCACTTTTCGGCTTTTGGTCTTCGCCACATCCATAAATCGTGTAGTTTTTAACAATCAGGTCCTCAACAGTTCTCGGTTCCATTTTATCTACCCGAATAGTCATAAATCCAACCAATTGACTCCAATAGCAAATCCTCAGCACAAGACAAAGTCCAATAAATAAAATAATAAAAAGTCGTCCGAAATTCGCGCGTGGAAGTTTCTTTTGAGGACATCCAAAGACAATTTGAAAGACATTCAGTGCTGATCTTGTGAGTTCCTTACGTGGACGAATCCTGACAACTCCTAACCTCAAATTCATGTAGAAAATCACAATAAAAGCTACAAAAAGTGAGGTTATGACAGCAACCCAAGTGTGGAAGTTGAAAGGACAATCGAGCAGCAAAGATTTGTAAGTGGTTGCTTTTTTGGTAACAAGGACAGCAGTCCGTTGATGTATTGATGATGTCATGTAGCTAGTTTGTTCCGTAAGTTCACAGACTTCAAAATCAATAAAATCATGTTTGAATAAGTCAAATTCTACGTTGACCAATGCAGTCTTGACTTGATAAATTGGCTTAAAGTCATAAATTTTAGCAAGAATGTTAAAAATATCAATCATGTATCCCTCAGGCTCTCCAGTATTTGTGATTCTTTTATTATAATCTTCAAAATAAATCAATGGTCCAATATTGCTAAAAATTAGTAAAGGACATCCTTGCAAATTGTAATTACTGTAATTTTTGACTTTTTTAATAAAAGTTTTCATTTTTTTGTCATAGCTGTAAATGATTCCGAGATAATTTTCATCACAATTTATGACTAATGTTGATAAATAGAGAACTTGATTGGTATTGAGGATAAAATGCTCAAATGGATGAAGTTTCTTTAAGTCTTTATCAAGTCCAGCTTCTGGCAGATAAAATTCATCGATGTAAATAAAAATTTTGAGGTTATAAATTATTTCAGGATCTAAATTGAGATTTTTTTGATATTTCTGAAATGCTCGCCGATTGTGCATCAAAATTATTGTTGACTTTTCAATGTTTGCCTCAAAATTCCGACTTGAAGAATATTTTATTGGAAATTGGTCAGCTAAATGCTTAACAAATCCACTAGTGATGTCATTAATTCTTTCAGTTGGACTTCCAAAAACGATTATGTCAAAATTTATTGATTTTTGGATGAAAAAGTCTTCACAAATTGTTGCAATAAAGGCTGAAATCACTTCCGTTTCTTGATTTTTTAAGGCACTAAATTTAGACATTTGACTTTGTGCTGCACAAATAAAATAAAATGCTATAAAAACCTTAGTCAACCTCATTTTACTTTTTTTTTCTATTTAATTTTATTTTTTATTGAAAATTCCTTAAACGTTTCCTTTTTTGGAAACTTCCAAAACTATTTCACTATAATTGATGTTAACATTTGTGATATCAGTTTAGGACAGTGGTGGACAACCTTTTTTGTGCCACTACAAAACTTGATATTTAGCATTTGCTGAAACCACACACAACATAGAACTCATTAAATTTCTTAATTTTTTTTCGCGGAACATGGGTTGACCATCACTGTATTTTAATCATAAGCTGCACAACATAGTTGCTACGGCACCACTGAGTCACTAATTTGATAGCAAATAGACAAAATAAAATTGAGTGCTCTCATCACTGACTTTTGACCATTTTGGTGGTTATAAAATTCAGTACTGCACAACCTTTGCACCTGGGTCCACTTAAAGCATTGTTTTCGAAAATTCTTGAACCACGACACGCCTTAGGCGTAAGTGATGAGCGAAGTCATACACAACATCCAGCTCTTGCCATTTTCAAAGATTTCCTATTGTGTCGTGGAACACAATGTGGAAAACACTGACTTCAAAGATTCACTGGAGAACCACAACCTAAAGTCAGTTTTAGGCAAAATCTGAGAAGGTCATGGATCACAATTAATCTGTAAGGTAATCGAAGTAAGTGCATGTGCTGATCGGGCTGAAAATTTGATTTATTTTTATATCAATAACTTCCACAATCTTAGATGAGTTGTAATCTTATCCGACATGTTATCAATGTGAGCTTCACTTTGGGGTTCATTCAGAAATGATGTCATGATTATTAAAAATATTTAAAAACAGCTTTGTTCAAAGTTCAAGTAGATTAGTGACTGAATTTAAGTGGAAAACCTAGTTTTTCTAACCCAATGAAAACGTCATTTATGAATCGACCCCTGAGATTTTTATTACATTCACCAGTTTATTCCTGTTTTCACATCAGACACGTTTTATTGATATTTTGAGAAATATAAAATTAAAATTTTATGTCTGACGAGATTGGCACAATTGTTGGCTTGGCTATTGTCTTTGGAATTCTCGTGATTGCCTTTTTATTTTACTTTTTCGTCTACAAAACTGTAAATTGTTTATTGGAACGAGATGGTGAGTTATAACTTTATTTTTTGTTATCGCTGACTTTTTATCAAAAAAATAGCATTTCTTGTTATCAATTGTCAGTAATTATCGATATCTGAACTAGACCAGTTGAACTTTATTTTAAACTTAATTTTATGCCTGACAATTTGAGTACATTTATTGCATTAGCCATTTCATTTGGATTAGTCTTGCTATGTCTTGTGCTTTACATAATTGCTAAAAAGTGTGTCAATCGATTGCTGGATGAGCAAAGTAAGTCAAAACAGTGTCGCTCGGGTTTAAGCTTGTCAAGCTGATAAGAAAAAATCAAAAATTGAAGGTTTTGGTTGCTTCTTGGTCATTTTTTGTTTAGAAAGTAACTTGAATGTCTGTCCACGGAGTTTACATACCGATCCTAATTTTTGTTGGGATTTTCGGACTGATTTGGCTTGTTGATAAGTTGTACAAGAGGTATAAGGTGACTCAAAGTGACAGTAAGTGCTTTAATCTTCATTTTTCATTGCTGATTCGGTCTTTTTGGATGGAAATGAAGTTGGTCGTCTAGAGTCGAGTCAGGAGGGAGCCAGGAACAGCGATTGAGTTTCTAATGGTAGATTTTGGAGTGTCTTTTCTACAAACTTTAGAAAATTTTCTAAAGTCAAGCTCAATCCAGTATTTCCGGGTTGAACTCAATAAAATCAAATCAGATCAAGCTCAACTTGGCTCTCACAAGTAAACTTAGTCTCGGTTCTTTTACGTTAAGCTTGATTCAACCTTTATGTATCAATATGAATCACAATTGGTACTTGAACAGTTTTCCGAACACAAAATATTATGTAAGCACATTTTGATAACAACAATTCCTCAAATCTCTGACGTCATATTGCACTTTATCAGCTTGATATAAGCAGAACCAACAATTTAACTTAAATAGTCAATATAAAGCATTAATCAAGTCAAGTTGTGACAATTTTAATTCAGAGGATAATCAAGAAGTTCATAAAATAAAGCTTCAATCCTTTATGTCTGACAATTTGGGTCTACTTGCCTTAACCATTCCATTTATCAGTATTTTGTTTATTATTCTGTCGTACATTCTATTTTATAAGTTATTTCTATTTTGCACTGGGAAATTTGGTGAGAATTCAATGCCAAAAGCATGCAGCACTGACCATAACTTCTCAAAACCTAAACCTATCAATCAAATTACTCCTTTTTAGACGCAGATTCCACCAACACAACACAAAATGATAGCAATTATAGACGTGGCGAATATCCACAAACTACGGTAGCATTTAGTGATGAATCTGGAGTTAATAGCCAGCAAATAGGAACAACAGGACTACAAAATCAGAGACGACAAGACAATCGACCTACAAGCCTTCCAGAGTACCATGAAGTAGCTGATACTAACTTACCGACTTATCATGAAGCAACAAGTGTTGAGAACCTGAATACATATCAAGGAGAGAATGGAAGGCATTAGTATACGGAGGATATCCTGGATATTAAAAACTACAACGATGAAAATTGAATGCCTGCTCATAATCAGTAATCAGGTCCAGAGCTCCATGTAAAATTATTTAAATGTGACACAGAAACTTCAATGCTGATAAGAAGAGCTTCATCTCACGAGGCCATAGGTCAAGATCTCAAATATTTTGTGACTGTTGATGATATTTTTTATGTGTTTAAATAAATTGTTATTTTTTGGTAATTCTTTGTCATTTATTTTTGAAGTTGGACTAGATTTGGTCATCTTGGGTTAAGCTAAATTGTGTCTTCTTGGATTGAGGTTAATTTGGTCTCCTCAGATCGAGCTAGATTTGATATTTTCGGGCAGAGCAAGATTTGGTCATCTTAGATTAAGCTTGATTTGGTTTCCTTGGACCGAGCTAGATTTGATCTTCTCGGTCGACCTAGTTTCATTTTTCTTGGTTCGAGCTAGATATGGTTATCTCGGGTTGAGCTAAGTTTGTTCATCTTAGTTCTAGCTAGATTTGATCTTCTCGGGTCGAGCTAGATTCGGTCTTCTTGGGTGGAGCTAGTTTCGGTCTTCTTGGGTAAAGCTAGATTCGGTCTCCTCAGATCGAGCTAGATTTTATCTTCTCGTCAAGCTGGATTAAGTCGTCTCGGGTCGAGTAAAATTCAGTCTTCTGGGGTTGAGCTAGATTAAGTCTTCTCGGATCGAGCTAGATTCGGTCTTCTTGGGTGGAGCTAGATTCGGTCTTCTTGGGTAGAGCTAGATTCGGTCTCCTCAGATCGAGCTAGATTTTATCTTCTCGTCAAGCTGGATTAAGTCGTCTCGGGTCGAGTAAGATTCGGTCTTCTGGGTTTGAGCTAGATTAAGTCTTCTCGGGTCGAGCTAGATTCGGTCTTCTCGGTTCGAGCTGAATTTTGTGCTAAGTATTGTATTCACAATTACGGTTCCAAAAAAAATATAAAATTCAGCTTCTGACTCATACTCTCCAAAACAACAACAAAAATCTCAGGAATTCCCATTATCAACCCGTAAACATCAAGAAATCTATTTTTGTCACTTACAACATTTTCTCCTCAACATAACGCAAAACAAAGCTGATAATGAAGCCTATTAATAATCCATTCCCGACGTGATCTCTGACGCAATTTCGAGTCTTATCAAAAATTTTATCAACAACAACAAAAAGAAAATTTTCGATGCTTAATTTCATTAGTCACATTTTGGTTCTAAACAAAACAAGCTGATTAAATTGTCGCGTGTTGAAAATATTTTTGTATCGGGAATTTTCGGAATATTTGGAATTGAAAGTTTATGTCTGATACTGACGGAATAATTCTCGGAATATCACTTTCCATTGGAATTACTTCTGTAGTTTTTTTGTTGTCTTATGTTAGCTATAAGATTGGTGTAAAGTTTCATGATAGACATGGTAAGAAGAGCTAGTCGTATAGTCTATTGAATTGGTAATTAATCATCAAAATTCTCATAATTTCAGGTTCGGATACATCAAATGAGTCTACAGAGCCTCCATCTCCAGTTGTTGAAGAAGTCGTCAGACCACAAAGATCACAATATTCAGATATTACGGTGAGATTTTTCGAAGAATTTGGAATCAATGGATATCAACCAGATCCAGCAGTGCACAGACAAATTGAAACAATTCGAGTGCGATCGACTGATGTCCTACCTGAATATCATGAAGTTGCTGACTCAAATCCACCATCTTACCATGAAGCTATCAGTGTTTATAAGGTTGAAAATGAGAGATATTAAGATTTTAAGGTTATGTTGAGTTTTTTGTTGGTGCCTGACTACTTTTAAATGAATTTGAGAATTTAATGAATGGGCTTAGGCAGGTTGAAGGTGAGGTTTAGTGTTGTAAACCCTTTGTGGATGGAACGCAATCTCCTATTACACGTTATGAATAAAATACTCAATAAACATTGCCAAATTACTGATAAGCTGAATTGTTAACGTCTTTCTGTGTATTTGTGGAATCTTTTGTTTGTGCTATAATTGATTCATAATCTTTCGATGACGTCCGAATTCTTTGTTGTCCATGAATTTTGTCAACAATGCTGTATTGCTTTTCAATGAGTCAGTCACACTTTGTTGGTAAACAAAATAAGTAAAAAATACTTTCTCGCTCTTAGCTTAGTGTAGTAAAATAAGACATTACTTTGATATGGTTCCAACATTTTACTATGGACCACTACCAGTCATTATTTTCACAGGAGTCTTGATAATGGGTGTGCTGTTTTATAAAATATTAATGAGAAGCCTAGCCAGTAGAAGCGAAAGACACCATGCAAGTAAGTTTGACAGATAAACAGCCAGACAGACGAACAATAATTTATTCATTAATTTTCAGATGTCGACCTACCTTCATACCAAGAAGTCAGTGATGCCAATCTACCAACTTACGAAGAAGTAACGCGATGCTCAAGATCAACAAGTTGTCATATTGAGAAAGAGCGGTACTAGGCATAACCTAGTATTTTAAAAAATTAAATCCTAAATTCTAGCTTTTTAAATAAAATTTCTTACAACCAAGACTAAGCATCTTTGAGTTTGCTGGCATCAGAAGCCTGAGAAGGCACTCAAAGGAACAAACTGAAAGAACCTCAGCTTAACGATCAAGAATGACAAGATTAATGAGTCTTCCAACCTACAATGAAGCTGCTGAGTCAATTTAACCGACTTATGATGAAGCTACGAATAATGAGATAAGAGGAGATGAAGGTGGAACTGGAGGATAGTCTTGGTGATTTTATGTGATTCCAATGTTAAATTTACAATTAAGCAAACCTAAAACATCAAAACAAATAAAAAAGACTCAATAAAACTTCGTAAATACCTCAAATACTCATTTATTGTCTAGTTTCTATTTGATTGTATTGTTCATTAGCTATCACATCCATTATCTATTGATAACAAAAGCAATTCACACGAATTACCAAAAAAATGTTGAAGTCAATTTTGTTACGCTTTCAAGTAAAAATAGTCACACGGATTATGTTTCAAAAATAAAAGTTTAATATGGATTATTGGCCTTATTTTATTGGTCCAACTATTCTGATAGCATCTGCTGGACTAGGCACTTGGAGTCGACGTAATTTTATTAAATATAATAAAAATCAGAGTCAACAGAATGGTAAGTTTAAGTGATTCATCCGAAGGGGATAACAACATGATGGGTCAAAAAGTTTTGACTGAAAATTATTATTAAAATTTTTCCCAGCAAGTTGTTATCCCCTTAGGATCTCTTCAAAACCAGTGATGGCCAACCCATGTGCTACGGCACACTAGGTGCCGTAAAATCATTCAAAAAATCACATGATTCGTATGCCGTGGTCGATTTTTGTCATGGCTTACCACAAAGGTGAGCTGTGACACAAAAAATGTTGGTCAACACTGCTTTAAACCTATCCCTAGCTTCGTTTCTGATTGTATTACTTTAACATTCCTATGTTTTTCAACAGCAATCGAGTCAACTGATGAACAACTTCCCCAAAATGAAGTTCCTCAATCTAATTTTGCTGAAATATCCTCGACCAATCGTGAAAGACTACAGAAAACCAACGCTAATGACTCAATGACTTTTAATTATGCAACTAAACCACAAGAAACTCAGATGCAAACAATAATAATGATGCCAAAGGAACCAAAAATTCCAAAACAGTCAAAAATGCCAAAACCAGAAAAAGCTCACCACTTTAATCCAAAAGAGAAATTGCCACATTTTTGCAAGGCACCAAATGATGGAGACATGATCAAGAGATATTGATAAGATTTAGTTGTTAATTTGTCAGACTCAAGGTTGAAGCTTAATAAATTTTGATGAAAATTAATGATTATATCGTGTCAGTGGCGTTTCCAGGGGAGTGTGATGTAGCCGGAAGGGGTTCCTATAACTTCTTAAATTCGGAATTTTTTCGAACAGATCCTTCTCCCTGGCTATGCGCCTTTTCAAAATACATAATTATAGTCAAATAGGTCTCCATTAAGGGGAAAACAACATGATGGGAAAAGTTTTTTAAGAAAATTTTATATCCAATCTTATTTATTTTACTCTAGACTCTTTTGTGCTCCCCTCTTTCCTCCTCCCATCTTTATGATGGTCATAATCTGACGACCTTCCTGAAAGTTATCAGCACATTATCAACATTGATAATGCAATTAAAGTATTTTTATATCAATTTCGTTGTTAGTCATCGACTATTGTTAAACAAAGCAGGCTTTGATTTAAAAATTTGAAAAAAATTCATCATGTTTACTAGCTTGTTTGTTTTTCTGTTCATGTTAGGTGCCATCTTTGTGCCATTTGTCATTTGTGTTATGACAGTCGTTCGCTGTCAAATTCGTCTTTTGATGAGAGGTGCTCGTCAACAAACTGGTAAGAGGGTTCATAAATGTTTTTAAGGGGGGTGTTATATTGAGGGGTTGCTAAATTAGTAAGGGGGGTGCTATATTGATAAAATCAAGCTTCTTTCTTTCGACATGAGATATTTTGTTTAAATGTAATGTCAATTCGCTATTTAATCTCATAAAAATTTAGGGGGGAACCTACATTATGAGAAAAAAAAGGTCGATGAATTTGTAAATTGGGGGAGGGGGGTTTAGTTTACTCTTTAAAAATCTCAAGGAACGTTCAGTTATGACGTCCGAAATTAATAGTCATTTTCAAAAAAGAACAATGGGTTTCCTGGAATTCCTATTGTTCTTTTCATACTGCCCCCTCCTGCACTTCATAGTTGAACGGTTCAACAATAAATTAATAAAGTTTTTCAAAATTAGAAAGAGGGGGGGGTTTGGACACAAAAAAACATTGGATGCACCGCTAAGGGTTTGATAAGTAAAACACCCCTCCCCTTTTAACTTTTCCATACACAAATCACCCCCCCCCCCCCCCTTCCCCCTTCAAACTGCCTGGTGGCTCTTCTACAACCTTTGATAAAGTGCTAATATTTTACTCACCATATGTTTCCCCCTTCGAATCTTTATTACCACTTTTATCTAATCCTTTAATTCACATTGCTATCAATTCCGATAACGAGCCAAACATTCACAATTTCTCCAAATCCCTTCAGTCTTCAACTATTTACTAAACATGACAGCCTGATTTTTTTTTTGAAAATTTTACCAAAAATGCTTCTCGAGTTATTCTTAGGTCCAGGTTTATTTGTATTAGTGATTTTAGTTTTATTTCCATGCGTTGCAATTTGCTTTAACTGCTGTCTCAGTTATATTCGTTATTGTATAAGGAATCCAACACAAAGTAGTGAGTATTTGTGTCTAGAGTGGAGGTTGAATCCATGGCTACTATTTTTGGGTTGTTTCTTAAATTTTAGAAAAAATTTTTGTCGGGTAAAGTCAAAGAAGTAGGAAAAAGCTAGTTAATTAAGCTCCCTAACAATGTTATAGACTTAAATGTGCAACAGAAGCTCCATTTTAATGTCAGGAAATAATAAATTAATTTATTTTAGCTCCAGCACGAACTGAATATCACCAAAACCAACGACAAGTGCCAGTAGTAATTGAGAAGCCACCTGAGTACCAAAATATTGATGAATTTAAGCTACCAACTTATGATGAAGCTGTCAAATTGGAGAATATTAATGGAAATTGTGATGTTAAAGAGAGATATTAGTGTGGATTAATAAAGGATAATATATATTTATTGTGTTAATAAACGAACGCAGTGTTTTATTCTTCAGCTAGCTTCTAAGGCTACCTGAAGGGCACTTAAAGTACATCGAGAACCAGCTCTTAAACAAGGTACACTAGGTAGTCTTATAAACTGACACCAGCGATCCATTGCATATCAACAAGGTGTTTAAGTCCTAATATAAGCCACTAGCTGTCCTCATTCAGCTCACAAACAAACAAGCTTTCCATTTCTTATCAATTATTGTCCACTTGATTACCGACATTCAAGTGAAGTAAATAAAAAAATATTTAAGCCCCAAAATAATTCTTTTCAATGTAAACTTATCAATTTGAGGCACTATCACAAGAGTAATACGCAATTAGGTTTAAATCACTCAGTGTTGCTTTGTTATTAGACAAAAGATGTCTGAAATCGGAAATTAAAATTTATGTCAAATTATTCCTATAGAGTTCCGTAAACATCAAAGTTAAGCAAAAAACATCTCAAACTACTAATCTTTTCATTTCTAATCTTAAAATGGCATTCAACTTCGCAATCTTAGTTTTAGCAGCACTTGTCCTTCTTGTGGTTAGTGCATGGGGTCTTTTGGCTTACAAAAAGAAGAGATTTTGCATATGTTGTAGTAAGTATAGACCTTTTTTGCATTATTTGTATTATGTACCAATGATTTAGAGCAGTGTTGTTAAAACTATGTGCCGCGGCACACTAGTGTGCAGTTGTTTTATTTGGAAATGACCTGAGCCGCATGCTGTGTGCGACTTCAGTCATCTTTTACTCTTTAGATGTGCCATGGCTCAAAAAGTTTGATTTAAAGGAAGTTACGAGTGGATGCAGCACCTTGCGAGTAGATGAGATGTTTTGGGATCAAATGAGAGCGCAGATGGAATTAGCTATGGTCCTTTGAACTTCATATGGCTATCTAGTCAGAAATAAGATAACTTTGGACTACCTAAAACTCATTACTTAGTGCAGTGCTGCTTAAACTTTTCTGTACGCTGTCAAAACGGGTTTTTTACTTCCATAAGTTGAACTTAAACTCTGGTTTATTGTCAATCTACAACTGTGCTTCCATTGTATCAAGTAACCAACTCCAAGTCTTAATCTCTAATCATCCTCAGATAATCCAGCCGATTTCCAGCCAACCGTAAAAGGAGAAGATGGAACCGAGCAACCTCAATTTTCAGCACTATCAATGGCATTTTATGACGGTGTTGGTGGCATGCTTGGTAATTCGGTCAATCCAAAGAAAGTTATTAAGAAGGATAAAGCTGACAGAGAAGCAGAAGATGCTGAAAATGCTGAAGAAGGAACGTCGAGTTTTAGTAAAGACCCAAATGATGGTGATATGATTAAGAGATACTGATGCAATGGGATAATAGAAGGTTGGGTAAGATTAAAGCTAATTTTGTTGAAATTAAATGAACTCATTATGCCCAGCTCTTTAGTAAGAATTTTAATTTTGCCCAGCTTGTCCAAAAACATAGCTTGCCCAGATCTTTAAAAATTATATTTGAGTGCACTTTTATCAGCAGATTATTTTGCCCCGCTTTACTTCATTTTTATCTTTTGCCGAGCTTTAATAGAAAGCTTACATTTTGCCCAGACCTTAAAATATTTTAATTCAGCCCAACTCTATTAAAACTTTCCAATTTTGTCAAGATTTGTTTTAAAAAATTAAATTTTGCCCAGCTCCAGTCAAAATTCATATCACGCCCAGCTCTACTTCGACCATATTCATTGAACTATTTTGTCCAGCTCTAGTCAAAATTCATACCACGCCCAGCTCTACTTCGATCATATTCATCGATTTTTTTTGCCCAGATCTAGTCAAAATTCATACCACACCCAGCTCTACTTCGACCATATTCATCAAACTTTTTTTGCCCAGCTCTAGTCAAAATTCATACCACGCCCAGCTCTACTTCGACCATATTCATCAAACTTTTTTGCCCAGCTCTAGTCAAAATTCATACCACGCCCAGCTCTACTTCGATCATATTCATCAAACTTTTTTGCCCAGCTCTAGTCAAAATTCATACCACGCCCAGCTCTACTTCGACCATATTCATCGAACTTTGATCAGGAATCCCACTATTCACATATCTCCATCTACCTTCGTGCTCTAAATCTCAAAACAATAACTAATTCCCATCATATCAGCCAACCTACAATCTTATCAGCTGATAATGCTAAAAATACATCTGAATTTACACTAAATTATCAGTTTTATTGCATTATTAAGCCAGACACGTCGGTTTTATTTATTTGCTGTGATTCAAAAAAAAACTTTAAAAATTCTCATAAAATGGATATTAGGCTGATTGCTGGAATATCAGCGCTATCTGTGGTCATTGTCATGTGGCTTTACTACATTTTAAGGGACAAAAACTTCTTCTCAAAACTCGAAAAAAGTAAAATTTGAAATATTTTGAATTTTTTTCCATCAAATCTAATCTTTATCTTTAACTTTTTTAAGGTTCACAAGCAGACACACAGTCAACAGCTCGGTCATCAAGTGCAAACACACAACAACAACAATTTGCAGCAATGTCAAACACAAATCACTCAAGATTGCACACATATGGCAATAAATCTAAGCCAAATAATCTTAATGAGCGAGCAAAAGCTGAAAGAAATGCACAAACTGTGATAGCGATGGCTGAGCAGAAGAAGACGAAGAGTAAAGCAGATAAAGTGCCGCATTTTTGTAAAGATCCAAATGATTCGGATATGATTAAGAGATATTAATGATGATACTCCAAGGGTGACTTGAGCTACTTTAGTTAACACTTATTGGCTGGATTTAAGAGCTATTCAGAGTCTATCCGACTTTACCCGAATTCAATTCTTAATTATATTCAAGGATGTACCCGAATAGCACAAGTCGCCTACTCGAATAGAAATCTGACTCCAGAACAGCATTACTCTGGCATGGTGTTGGCTTCGTTAAATCTTCGGATTTAGCTGGCTTCGGATTTAAAATTAAGCCAGCACCATGGCAGACTCACACCAGCTTAGTGCTGGATTTCTGATCGATTAACCGACTTGTGCCCTTCGTGGTAATATTTAACTATCAGTTTAAGCTAGCTTGTTGACTTATTTGTGTCTCTATTTTGAACTTCAATGGCACTTGCTGACTACTTAGGATGATGGACAGTGATTTGATATTGCCTCTATGGCTGCTAGTCTGTTGGTTTGTCTTACTGTTAATTTGTACATCATTTATCATTCCTAATTGACTGCTCAGGTGCTGTTTCTATTGGCAGGACTTAGTAAGGCACAATATAGGCACACAACTTAGATTTTAATGGAGTATTCTTGGATCTTGTTTTTAAGACTGGCCGGATAGCGTTAAAAAATGGTCCGTACTTAAGAGTCAGGCTTAAGGTGCTTTACTGTTCCGCGAGAAAATTATAGTTCATGACATGATATACAGATAGTGCAACGGGAAGGGTACAGGGGAATATTTAATTTAATATTCAGTCAAATCAGTCCATCAACCTAAAGTTTCTACCTTAGCTGCACCCCAGTGACTGACCAACATGTTACTGTGATACAATTAGGTACCCTTGGAGTATCATTAACCTTAGAATCACAAAATAATCGACAAAACTTGTTTTAGATCTTCAAATTTTTTTTATTAATAAACTTTTTTAAAAAAATATTTACAAATTAAAGCAAAAATTTATATTTTTTTTGAATAATGAAAAAATATTGAAAATGAGAAAATTCATCACGAATCGCAGACTTTTTAATCGAAACTTCTTGAATTTCTCGTCAAATTTGTCTGTCATTCTGAAATTATTTCCTCTAATTGGGGCCTATTTGATCCCCTGACTTAGCTTAACCTCCAAAAACCAAATCAACTTAACCTCAAAAATTCACCCATAACCTCAAAAGTTCACCCATAACCTCAAAAACCACCCATTATCCCAAAATTCACCCATAACCTCAAAAAATCTCCAATAACCTCAAAAATCCTTAAAACTACACCACCCTAACCTACAAAAAAATTCCTCAATTCCTCATCAATCCCAAAACACCAAAAAACTCTTCCTGACTCATTTCCTCAAAATTCTTTTCAGGTTCTTGTGGTCTCGATCCTGGCAATTCATTCCTAAACTTTGATCGTCCACGACGCAATCCATTCTTTGAGTCATTCTTACCCTGTGGAACCAAAAATGACCTCCTTGGTGTCTCATAAACATTAACTTTAGCATCAGCAATCAATTTCTTCATTAATTGTTGATGCCGCGCATCCTTATCAGTAGCAATTGGACTTTTCTTTTGTCCTAGGGAGGATCGCTTGGGTGCTGTTGCTGCTTTTTGGTGCTTTGGTGGTTCTGGATCAGATTTGCGGCGTTCTTTTAGCTTTGCTGGAAGCTTAATGACTCTTTTAGCTGGCTTTAGAGCTTCTGGAATCTTAAAGACTTCTTGATCAACTTTTTGGATGACTGGAGATTCCATTTTAGTACTTTGGGTGGTTTTTGAGTTGTATAAAGTCATGAAAGGTCCATTGTGGAACTCAGCCATGGACAAAAGGTTGTTTGGAACGATTAGTTGGGCTTGTGGTGCTTGGACAACTTTTGGTGACTGTTGAGCAACATTTTTTGACTTAAATGCTCTTTTTGGTATTTGTGGTGACTTTTTGGTATCTTTTGGTACCTGAACAGCCTTATTGTTGACACTTATAGTAGCTGGAATTGGATTGCCCAATGGCTGAGTATTCTTAGAGCTTCCAGCAGTTATGATGGAGATTTCTGGATACAAAAATTGATTTTGGATGATCAAGTTTTGAATTGGGATTGTTTGTTGAACTTGAAGAACTTTATTGAGGATTTTAGTTCCAACATCCGGTTGGATGAGTTCTTGAGGCTGAATTTTCTTGAATTCAAATTTTTCCTGACTGATGTTTTGATTTTGTTGTTGATTTGAAGCAGTTTTGGGTTGGTTTTTGGCAGTTTTTGGTTTTGCGACATTTTGAAGTTGATTAGCAATTTTTTGCGGCTGCTTGGCTGCACTTTGAGGTAATGTTTCATTTTGTGCTTGAATAGCTACATTTTGTAACTGATTAGATTTATTTTGAGGTACTTTTGGAGACTTAACAGCTTTAGAATCCTGATTGACAGCCTTTTTAGCTGATTTCTTGACAACTTGAGCTTCTTGATGCACAAGCTTGGGTGTTTTTGGTGATTTTGGATTAATAAGTTCTGACTTTGCTTCCGGACGTTTTAAGGAACTTGAAAAAATAGTTTTAAAGATTTCTTTTTGTAAGTTGTTGAATTCATCGAAAATGTCGAAGATTTGACTGTCTTGAGGCATTTTATTGCCAATTTGATCCAACTTTTGAGCTTGGCTTTTTGTTGACATTTTCTTCGATGTTTTTGATTCGTTTTGAGTTAATTTTTAACTTTGCTATGTTATTTTTCAATTTTTGTTAACCAATTTGTTGAATTTTCTGCAAATTTTGATCAATATTTGCGTTTTTTGCTCACTTTTTCAAGCTAAACTGTTTAAAATTCACACTATTTAAGCAAATTTTTATTGAATTCATCAATTTTTAATTTAAATTCTTTGAAATTCAATTAGAATTCATCAATTTATCTTCAAAATTGCATCAATAATTATTCACAGCTTCACTTTGAGATTTATTTCATCGAATGCAGCACACGACTAATAAAATTTCACAAATTATTCTCAAATTTATACCAAAAAAAGTTCAAATTAGAATTAAGATGTTGTTTTTGAGAGCGATTCTCAATTGGCAATGAGTAAAATTTGGCTGTGTCAGGTACAAAAGTAAACAAGAACCAGAAATAAAGTTTTCAAATTATTTATTTTTTGTGATTTTTTTTTATTCAAATTTAATATTAACTGACTTTTTGCGAAACTGCTTTTTGGGGTGCGTTTTGCAAAAAAAAGAACATTTTATTAAATTTTTAACATTTTTTCAAATTCAAAATCTTTATTTCGATCAAACGTCTTTAAAAAGTAGCAACAATTTATTTAATTTACTGATAAAAGTGCTTAGAACAAGCTGCAACACAATTGTCATAGAATTTGAAAATATTTGTGATGTAACCTCCTTTATATGTGAATGGATCACAAGTTCTTGTCTCAACATTGAAGTAGAAACGTGGAAGTGACACGCTGTATGATCCTGGTGTGAATGGTGCCAAGCATTTATCTGTGGAAGTTTTAAATTAAATTATTAATTTTCTTAGGAGCGAGCTGGAGTTAAGATGTCGAACTGTGCACTTAACAGCGGTCCAGCTTCGCTTTTTTGGACAATATCCTGCCAAGACTCTTTTGAAGACCCGTTTTTTAACCTTTTTTTTATTTTTTTTTCGAATTGAAAACATGAAAAGCAGGGTTAGCAAGCCTCATGGAGCTCCAAAGAGTCGACCTCTATTTTAGGCCACTTCCAAACCAAGGCATGCCAACTCTGATGAAAAGTGCCATTTTCCGACCAAATACCAACAAACAAGCTATTTGTAGCTAGACTAGCTTTAATCATGTATTGAAAAAATTGTCAAAATCCGAGGACAAAGCTCTATGAACACAAGCTAGATGGCCAGTCTTAATTTAGAAATCAAATCATCAGTTTACCAAAGCAATTTAGGCTAGCTCGAAGATCCAGGCATTCAATTTACATCATTTTAATCTTTTTCTAATCTGAAAGTGAATCTAACATCCACAATTACTCACCAACTTGACTAGAAACACTCTGTCCACCACCAGACACAAACGCAGCGAAAACACCAACAACAAGTCCAAAAGTCAAAACAAATTTCATTTTTTAAGCTTATTAAATTCCAGTTCCAACTCAAATCAATGTTTTTTTATAACTATTCATTTCAAATTGGATGTGATTGCAATTTATATTAATTGCAGTCGGGACCTGTAGGCATGCTTGATATCCATTAACCTTCTATTATTTTCCTGAACACGGGAATTGAAATTTATTTTATTGCTGATTTTTGATAACAATTTTCACTTTGATTGGGAATTTTATCACGTTTTGAGGTTCTTTGGTGGCTTTTATAGCTTTTAATATTATTAAGTAAATTAGAAATCAAAACTTATGTTCGAATAAATGAACTAAAAACAGAGTCACGACTGGCCTTTGTCATTAAATTATTGAAATTTGCTACTTGTAAGCTGTTGAAGTACTTTAAATTTAATATATTAAGATTAGTGTAGCTTGGGATGATATTGGTGTTGGACATGAAAGGCTGAGTTTTAACAAATTCTGAAATTTTTAACAAACGTTTTAAAAATGTTAACAAAATTTATAAAAATTCGCATTTTTTTAAAAATGTAAAATATATAAAAAATTTCAAAATATATAAAAAATTTCAAAATATATAAAACATTTCAAAATATATAAAAAATTTCAAAATTTCAAAAAAATTTCAAATTTTCAAAAAAATTTCAAAATTTCAAAATTTCAAAAAAATTTCAAAATTTCAAAAAATTTCAAAATTTAAAAAAAATTTCAAAATTTAAAAAAAATTTCAAAATTTAAAAAAATGTCAAAATTTAAAAAAATTTCAAAATTTCAAAAAAAGTTTCAAAATTTCAAAAAAAATTTCAAAATTTCAAAAAAATTTTAAACATTCAAAAACATTCATAATATCAAAAAAAAAATAAAAAATTGCAAAAAAATAAAAAATTGCAAAAAATAATAAAATTCCAAAACAATACAAAATTCCAAAAAAATATTAAAAATATAAAATTTCAAAAGAAAATTAAAATTATTCCAAAAAACTATCAAATTTAAAATATTTAAAATTTTAAACATTATTAAATTTAAAAGAAAATTGACAATTTGGAAATATTTAAAAACCCCTAAAAACTTTCAAAGTTTTCAATAAGTTTTTAAATTTTAAAACTATTAAAATCTAATAAAAAATTGAAAATTTTAAAAATGCCTGTAAATAAATCAAAAAAATATTTCTTTATTAAAATATAAATTTTTTATTATTTTATTTATTTAAAATTTTTGTATACAAAAAAATATTTCCTTAAAAATCTAAAATGTGAAGAAAATAATGTACAAAATAATAAAAGAATAGATGACAATATAAAATGTGCATGAATTGAGAAATCATCCCAAAAAATGATCCAAAATGGCTGGACGGTGTACAGAAAAGAGAAACTTAATCTTAAATTTTAACTATAAAAGAATATTTATTTTTAGGTGCTGGATTTTGATTATTTTTTTCGGGGCAATATTAAGCATTTGAGAAACTTAAATTAATTATTTTTTATAAGCAGAAAGTTTTTATTTTGATTTTTATATTTTAAAAGTATTTTATGTAAAAAAAAGTTTGCATTTATTCCGGCCTACAACTAAGTTTAATAAACTTATAAAGGAATTTAAAGCAATTTAAGTTGAAAATTACAAAAATAATTAAGAATTTTTAAAGCATTTACTAAGTTTTTTCCATAAAGAAGTTCAAATTTTGTTATTAAAATATTTAAAAAATTATTTTGCACCATTTTAAAAATGAACTAATTTTAAATAAAATGTACAATGTGATTTTTTTCACTGGAAATTTATATTAGATTAGGGTGGGGACTCTTTACTCTAGAATGCAGTGCTGGTCAACCTTTTTTGTGTCATGACAAACCTTAGTGGTAAGTCAAACCGAATCCGCACACGCCATACGATTCTTGGATTTTCACTCTAGTGTGCCGTGGCACATAGGTTGACCATCACTGCTCAAGAATCTAATGCAGTGGTTCTCACCCTTTTTTGAACAATATTCAGTAAACTACTTGTCTAATATTACGACAAAATAGTATAAAGTGTCGTGTAAAATAGTTTGAGAACCACTGATCTTGACCCACTCCCCACCCCTACCTTAACCCATCATCTCTCACTCATTATTATCCAAATAAATTCTCTAAAATTTCACTTTTTCAATCTCTATGAGTATTTCGTTGTTGTGCATTTGAGCGATATTTAAAATCTAGTCGAATCTAACCTCAAATTTTTATTATTATTTACCCAACATATGGGAATGGAGGATAAGGTGCTGGATAGTATCCAGGGAAGGCATTTGGTTGCACGGCTATGCTTTGCGTCACATAACTCGTCACCATTGTTGGCACTACTCTCGTATTATAAAGTGTCGTGTATGCTGTTCGGGCACCAAATGTGAGCTTCAATATCTTTGAGTCTGTCTGTGTGACAATCTGTTGAGCTACGACTGGTGTTGATTGAATTTGGTATTGTGGAATTTGATGTTGTGTTTGAAGGAGTTGAAGTGGATTAATTTGTTGTTGTGTCACGGCTGGCAAGATTGAGGTTCCATATTCGTAGTTTGTCTTTGTGACTGTTGCGACTGGACGGGAAATTGTTGAAAAGATTGTCGACTGTCCATTCTGGATTGGCAAGACATGTGATTCATAGACTGTCTCGACTGTGAAGATTGGTTTTGATGTTGTGATGATGTTTGGAACTGCTGCTGGGTTTAGAAGTCTCAAAATAGCTAATTGCTCTGGTGTCAAGCCTAAAAGATTCTTATCTTCAGGTTTTGGTTCAATTTTAGGCTTTTGTGTTGTCTTCTTGGGTCTTTGTGGTCTTGGAATCTTCATCTTGTCAACTTCAGAGACATCAAAGTCTACACCAATGTTAGCCAAATCTAAGTCATCTGGAAGTGCTACTCGTTTTGGACCGTCTTCATCATCATGTTCATTATCATCACCAAACTCAAGTTCCAAATGGAGTTCCGATCCTGCTTCATCCAACTTAGAATTGAACTCATTGAGGGTCCTGCTAGGTACAAATTGATACAATTCAGTTGGTGGAAGTGTCTTTGTAGCTGTGACAAGTCTAGTGACATGATAAGTCTGGATTAATGTATAGCTTGTCGTATTAGTTCCTTCTCTAACGACTGGAAGGATGTGTGTCTTCAACAGTTGCTGTGTTGTGCTGAATGTCTCTGTGACAGTCTCAAGTGGTGGTGTGGCTTGATCGTCATTCAAATGAAGTGGTGGAAGTGTGGCTATTGATGAATCTAGTAAATTGTGTTCCTTATCAAGATGTGATGTTGGTGCTAAGATATTCTCAGTCAACGGTTCAGTAAGGATTGATGTTGCTGTTGGCTCTGGATCGATTGTCTTCTCAAATGTTGATGTGACTGTGATGTATCTGGTGTTCTTGTTCTGACCGACTTGGAAGGTATATGGACTCTTAATTGTAGCAATTTCATAGTAAGTGTCACTAAAGTCAGCTGGAGTTGAAATTTCAACACGAATTGTCTCAATTGGAAGTTTCTTTTCAATTCTATTGTCACCAGCGCCTGTCTCAACATCATCAAGGACATCACCATTAACAGATCCACTTCCATCTAAGTCAACATCAAGATCAGTCTTTGACTTGTCAATATCATTTCCAACGGTGTCAATTGATGGAGTTACTGCAAGAACTTCATAAGCATCCTTCTCACCTGCAGCTGATCCATGTTTACGGATTGTGACACGTGGTTTAGGTGTTGTCTTGTATTGCCATCTTCCTGGTGCTCTATTCAATTTGAACTTGTAAAGGGATGTAGCACCTTGGTCATTGCCATCAACATTTGATGGAGATATTTTCGGCTTAAACTTCTTAATTAAAGTGTCTTGAGTTTGTGCAACGACTTGTTGAACTGATGTTGGTTGGAAAGCTTTTCTGGTTGTCTTGTTGCGACGGCTAACATATGTGCCGGTTACTGCCTCAGCTGCGATCGTTGCTACTTCGGCTGATTTGGTTGTTGGACGAGTTGGGCTACAAATGGACGTAATTTTAGCAAATTTTAGATTTTCCCGCCAGAAGCTAACCCTTAAATAGTATTAGGTTTGGTGTGGATGATCCAATCTCAACCTCAAACCCAACTGAGGCTTAACTTCACTATAAACTTACAACCAAACCCCAGCTAGTCCCATACCCAACCCACATTCTTACCTCTTTGCCTTTCCAAATCCATTCCGTCTTGAGCTTACTTTCTTGCCTGCTGGAGTGACTGGTGATGGAGTTACAATCTCTTCAGACACAAAGCTATCCTTTCTATTTTGAATTCGGTTCTTAAAGCTGTTTGGTGCTTGTCCTGGCTTCCTGACTGTTCGTACTGTTGGATTGTCATTCTCTTCCTCATTTGAGACATATTTTGGAGTTTGTTTGAATGATGGAGCTGCTGTTTTTAGGATGCGAAGTGTTGATGATGGCTGAATTTTAGGTTTGACGCCTGTGATGATTGAGGATGTGCTTTGGAGAACTTGAGCGTATTTACCGTTGATGTAAGTTCCAATGACACTGGTTTCATGGACAGTTGTTAATCCATTGTTGACGACAGTTCCTCCTGATTTTGTGACTAATCCTGTTGGATGGATGACGTCAGCATTCTTTGATGTTGATTTTGCAGATATTTTTGGCTTCTTGATGACTGATGGCTTAAGATTCACAACACGATAAGTTTCTTCAACAAACTCTGTTGGTTGACGACTCAAAAAGTCATATTCAGGATCTGAGATTGCATTTCCGTCTTGCAAAATAATTTCATCGTCATCTTCAGGTTCACCTGACTCCAAAGGTTCTGTCACAGCTTCAACAGCTTTAACTGACTCCACAATGAATCTTCCATCATCCTTCTTTTTCTCAGTTACAGCTTCAATAGGCTTGGATGGCATAACAATCTTCGGTGGCTCAGGTGTCACAGCTGTAATAGCTTTAACCTCAAATGGCACTGGATTGACAGTCGTTGTTGTTGTTTTTGGCTTCTTCTTTTTTGGTTTCTTTGTAGCTCCTGTCGGTGGTTCCTCAACAACTTGTACAACACTGCTGACAACTGAAACAACTTGTTGCTTTGATGCTGGCTCAGCTATTGTTTTCGATGGTGTGATTTCAGCTTTTGGTGGTGTGTCGGCGATTGGTTTGGTTTCAATCGTTGATGATGGTGATTCTGGTGTTGTTGGATCTTCTTTTGGTGGTTCTGGAATGTTAGAAAGGTTTAATTGTGATTTAATGTTCAATGAGAAACAGATTGTATTGGTTAAGATAGGTCTAAGGTATTCTAAGCTAGTATTCTAGGTTAAGAGAAACACGTGGTCTAGAAGAGGACTTGATCCAGAAGAGGAAAAATTAGAAGAAGGTTTAGAAGACCTGGATACAACGTAGTTTAGAAGAATTAGTGATTACTAGGTTTTATGGATCAAATAAACACATTTTTCAAAGAAAATCTAGTAATTCTGGTGCAGAGAAGCTAAAGACTACCTGTTTTTGAAGAAGTAGTAGTCTAGAAGAGTTAATGAACATGTGATTTAGTTAAATAAGTGATCAACTTTCTTCATATGTACACAATACAAAGATCTTAACGTTTATTATACAATCAAACTTATCGCTAAAGCAGATCTACTTCCTTAAAACCTTCCATACCGACTCTAAGCCCTTTAATCTTCATTACCAATCAATCATCTGCGCAACTTTAATCCACTCAAGTTCCATTCATCATCGCTTCACTCATTTACCTTGCATTCTCCAAATAATCAACTCGAAACCCGTCAAATCAAATTAAGTCCACACAAAAAGAAGTTCACGAAAGGTGAAAATCATCAAGCTCATTTCCGAAATCTGAATTCTCATCAATCAACATAATGTGCAGCACAGAGGTCAAGACTAATGTTCAAAAAAATATTATTTCCTCACCTGGAACAGCTACAGCAATTGATGAAGGCGAAAAGATCATTACAGTGTTACCAATTGTTGTCGTAAAGTCAGCAAATCCGTACACATTTTGTGTTATAAGCTTGACACTCGCTGTCGGTTCCACGAGCGAGTCATTGGCTCGTGCGCTGAGTACAAATACTGCGAAAATAAGTGACGATTGGATTTTAATAATGATTAATGATGCGCATTAAGGAACTTACGTGTGAATAGAAAGATGAATTTTATGGGCAGAAGGTTCATGATTGTGCGGCGGCTTAAGTGCGATGCAATGATGATTGATTCTTGTTTGTTAAAGGGATGGCTTAGTGGTTGATGGCTTTGATGTTGCTGGATCTGAAAGGAAAAATTGGTTAAACATTTAATAAAAAAAAATCAATGGCTATGTCATGGTAGCTCATCCCGAGTAGCACATTCGAAATAAGTCCATCTAAAGGCGCCTATCAACAGGAAGCCTGACGACAGACCTTAAATTTTGTGTTTCTCGGGATCAAAGAGCTTAAACATAAACTTTCAATCTTCTACTTTACATCTCCAAAATTGACACGAAAATGAAAACTAAAACTCAACAATTTCATTTTTCAATCCAAAAACTCAACGACTTGTGAAAAACAACAAGTAAAAAAAATTGGCACGCGAAAGTCAAAACACAGAAAATAAAAACTGACACAATTGATCTGCTTCATTGATTAAGCGACCGCTTCTAACATTAAACAGTCTCATAATCTCTTCTCGTTGTCTTGTGCATTTTAATGCTTAATATAGACATGGTTTAATAAGTTTTTACTATTTTATTGGTAATATGAGATCAACATGGGATTTGGTTTTGTAGTTTTGCTGTAGATTACATCGATGCTTTGTGTAAATTGCTCGATAATTGAACAATTTAGAAATAAGAGCTGGTTGGGAAAATTTTTAGAAATTGAATGGTTGAAAGTAACGAGAATTGGCTTTGTGGCTTTTGTGCTTTGTATTGAATGACTAGCTTGACACTTATTTGATGATTTTGAGTAAGAGAACCTCCACGGGAAGGATGACTGTGCTCTAGAAAGGTGCCTAGAGACAGGCTGTACTTTAGGAAGGAGCCTAGAGACAGGCTGTACTCTAGGAAGAAGCCTAGAGACAAGCTGTACTCTAGGAAGGTGCCTAGAGACAGGCTGTACTTTAGGAAGGAGCCTAGAGGCAGACTGTCCTCTAGAAAGGAGCCTAGAGACAGGCTGTACTCTAGGAGGGAGCCTTGAGACAAGCTGGACTCTAGGAAGGAGCCTAGAGACAAGCTGGACTCTAGGAAAGAGCCTAGAGACAGGCTGTACTCTAGGAGGGAGCCTTGAGACAGACTGTACTTTAGTAATCTGATTGAAAAACATCAAACATTCAAAATAAAACACAAAAATCTAAAACTGAGCAACAAGCAACATCGAACGCTCTCCAAAAACATCAGCAAGAGCTTCAAAAGCTCTCAACAATACAAAAGCATTCAATGCAGGCACAAGTAGCATTAGAAACATTAATCACGCTGCTACTTATTAGACTGTATGCTGAGCAAAGAGAAATAAGCAATTTTTCAATGTATTTTAAATACAATAAGTCCAACAGTAATAAATGTTGTGTCTTAAGAGAAATAGACGAGTCAGTTATTAGCTGTTTTGCATTATTTTATGAATTTTGTAAGCAGAGTTGCTGTTTTTAGATTCCACGGATGTTGACATGTTAAACTGTTGACAGAGACAGTATTGCACTTGAGATTGGTGATTGACAAGGGAATCGGTGGGAAAGCCAGCTTCAGGCGTTATAAAAAGATCTCAATTGTGGTGTACGGTCAGCGAAATAAGTAAGATGGTGCCAGATGCTGGAACCTTTTGAAAATTAACAATTGATGAAATGACTAAGTTCTGAAAATGTGTCACGGAGTTTTGCAAATTTATTCCATTTTAGCTCAGCAAATTTAGCCAAACCTGACAAAATTGTCGAAAAATGCAGCACAAAATCACTTCCAACTCAAAAACGATTAACCGGCAAATTGATTTTTTAATTCAATTCTTTCCATTCCGCCCGCAAACAATTTTCAATGTCTTTTACGACTCAACAGAGTTCATCAACAATAGCTTCTTTTGTGACAAGTTAAGCAAAGCTGAATTCCAAATGAAATGAGTCAAATTTGAGGGATAAGAAGAAGAAGAAAGGAGTTTGAGTTATTGTTGGCTGCTGTTCTTGGTTTAGTTTCTTGGACAATCGCTTTAGTTTGGATATCCAGCTGCGCACTTTAGAGCGAGCAACTCTGCTTTTTTTGAACCCAAATTTCTTGGTAAATGCTTGAAAATTTTCTGGTCTGTTACCCAAAATCCAACCTCAATAATCCATCTGAGGCATCCTCTTAAATAATTTTCACCAGTTATGGCTAACCTTTGTGCCGAGGCACATGGGAAATCCCACGAGCCGTATGCTATATGCGGTTTTGGTCATGACTTATCATCAATATGTGCCGAGGCTCAAAAAAAGGTTGACCACCACTGATTTACACCAATTACAAATCCATTAATTTTTCATAATTTTTTTTATATAATTTAATAAACAATAATTTCTCAATTTAGTTCAATAAGCCAAATCAACAGCACCAGCCAAACACGAGACTGTAAAAATTATTTTTTTATGCAATTTCTTTGTCTTCCGCTAATAAAATAATAAATCCAATAATTAAAAAATTACATCGAAATTCACACAGATTTGTTAACGACGAGAGTGTGTCAAAAATAAAATAAAATTCAAAAAAAAATACAAAAAAGCAGAAGTTGTCGTAACGAGTGTCAGTGAGAGAAATTGAGAGGATAAAAAAAAATCAAACTTTTACTTTCTTATTCCTCAATATTCAGCACCGAATCAGCTGATTGTGAAATAATAGACACGGTGAATGAAGAAGATTAGCTTTTGATGTATGTAAAAAATAATAAAAATATGAAAAAAAAGAGAAAGAAATGAAAAGAAGGAAATAAAACAAAAATGTCGGTAAATGTAAGGAACGTGCAGCAAAAAAAGTTGAATAATAATAAAATATTAAGAATTTGAATGGAATTATGATCGATGGACTTTAAAGGTCGTGGAGCATTTTTATTGTCGCTTTGTTTTGTCCAGTAAATTACTAGAAATCATGTCAAGTCTTCCACTTGGGGCTGAATTGCCAGAACATTGAAATTACAAAATATGAACAACTTGATAATCCAAAAGAGCTTAAAGTATCCCGAATAGCACAAATCGATCAGAAATCCAACAGCGTTGCCAAGCATAGATTGAAATAGAACTCATCGACTTACCAGAGTCGGTAAGTCAACCAGAGTCAGAACAGAACCAAGTTAAAACCGCAGGCAGTGCCACAGTGCTTCCCAACTTCAATATTAATGACAATTCTTATATTCTTGCATTATGACTGTATCTATCATCACATCCCATCACATATTTATACTTTTTTTTGACAAATGGCAGCAATAAACGAGGAATTAATGTGTTTTCATTAGCAAGAAATTTTTTTTATGAGGTAATTTTAATCATCTTTGAAGTTGAATATTCATTTAACTTAGTTATTAAGCTTGGTAGCAATCAGCAGACAACTGTTATGAATCAAGTTTGAAGGGATTTTGGAGCAAGTTAATTAGAATTTAAGGGAATTAGAGTGGAACCTTGAATTGATATTTGGAATGTAGAATTGTAGCTTTTACTTGAATATATGTCATTTCTGGGTATTTAAGCATGTTGAGCAACTGAATTGCAGTCATTCTTTCTTATATTCCACAAATTTAATGAAAATTAGCCCAACAAAGCTACTAAGTCCAACAAAAACCATCAACTGCACCACCTTTCATGTGTCTTTTGTCTTACATTGCCTGAATTTTTTAATTTAAAATTGTTTCACATTTTTTTTATGAATCATACAAGTCAGCGTGTTCATGTAAATTAAGATACGTGGGAATTTATGCATGGGATTAAGATTCGCTTTTATGAGTAGATTATTATTGTTGTCAGAATTAAGTAAAAAGGTAAATAAATGTAAAATGTATGAGAGATTGAAGTGTGAGAGGTACTTGAGTGGATAGACGTGGCGTCATAATGCAGAAGATGTGATTTGGAGGCAATCTTAGGGAATTGATATAGAAAGAAGTGATCTAGGAGGTCCTTGAGTCAACTCTATATCCAATTAAGTCCTTGCTATGTCTCTAGTATTCAGAACCTCAATATCCATGGTAACAAGCCATTGGGATACCATTTATGATACATCTTTTAATATCTGATACAAAACAGACCAGTGGTGTCCAACCTTTTTTGTGCCACGTCACACTATGTGTTAAGCCATGACCAAAACCGAACACTTAATATGGTTTGTGGGATTTCCCAAAAATTCTCACGGTTCACTAGTGTGCCGGAGCAAACGGGTTAGCTATCACTGTTTTAGGCAGCAGACTCTTTAAAACCATCAATTGACCATCCACCAATGAATTTATTAAATTAAATCAGCAACAATATCAACAGCTTATTTCATATATCCCATCCTGTCACTCAAACTAAACATCCGAATTGTGTCCATCATACGAACTGACAAAGACAAAGTCATGGTTCCATGAAATTAGATTCACAAGACGATGTTTTAATTAGAATTGAAGCACTTTATGTGAACAAAAATTAAGAATTTAATGGCAATATGTATGGATATTGTGAGAATTATACAAATAACACATCGAGGCATGAGACAAAAAGTGGAAGATCTGAGGATTTTGCTACGATAATTGCATGACACTCTAAAACAGTGTATCTCGAACTTTTTCGGCTTCGTGGAGCATAGTTTGAGAAACACTGCCCTAGTTTTGCCTTAGTACCATAGTCCTACCCTAGTACTGCCCTTGTATTGCGCTATTACTGCCCTAGTACTGCCCTAGTACTGCGCTAGTACTGCCCTAGTACTGCCCCAGTACCCCAACACTGCATCATCTCTATTATCAATGCTTAACCCCTAAAAACCCCCCAACAATCCCACATCAAACCAAATATTAGCCCAACTCCATCAAAACACTTTGAAAATTGAAAAAAAAAACTTCACCGATCAATAAACCATTTCCAACTTACATCACCCACCAGACTGTCCATATTTCACATTAATTTCTTACACAAAATGTATCGAAACTTCGCCACACTGACCCGCACACTCGTAAATCTCTCTTTTTTTTTGTTTGTGTTCCGAAAAGGCTTGCATAAGCAGCCGATGCGGCAATGCGTAGCCATAAAATACGCGATGATGCAAAAAAGTACACAACAAATTATGTAGTCGGATGGTGCGAAAATTAAAGTGCCGACTTGGATAAACAATGGAAGTTTTTGAGTTGGACGTGGCTCATGCTATTGACTCTGTGACACGATTCTCATGCTGGCACTTGAGGTGTAATTGATAAATGTTGGAGATTAGATGGTGAATTAAGTGGGTTGTGAGTGTGTGAGGTTGGGTGGAGTTGTGAAGTTTTGGCGCGAAAAAATAATTTTTCAATTTTTTCGTGCCAAATTTTAAATTTTTTTATGAATTTTTCCTCCAAATTACTACATAACCTCAAAAATCCCTCCAATGTAATAATGCTCATCCCAAAACGATGTTACAACATCATCGACATGTCATCAGTTACATCTTAAATTCCAATCACAAAATGACGACTTTAAACAATTGTAACGAGAGCTCACGATTATTTGCGAAACAGACTTGAGAGGTTTGTTATTGTTTTGTGCTGGAATAGTCTTCAGCCATTCATCAATTTGTCAATTTTATTGTCGTGCTAAAATGAGATGGTGATGAAGAGATTTTCGAGAAGTTGTGAAAGAACGTTTATGGTGTGGATTGAGGTATTTTGAGATGATTTTTTGAGAATAGAGCGCGTTTTTCTCAAGAATGAAAGTTTTTTAAGGTTAGAATTTTTGAATTGATCAACATTTTAATAGATTTTAAAGAAAATCATACGGTTGAAATTCGTTAGCGCGTTTATCAATGTAGGAAAAATTAGCGCGTTTTCCAACGAAGGAAAATTTTGATTTGAACTTTTTTTGACTTTCAGACCACATCTTGTTGACTAATTATCAAAAATTCATTGGAAAATCTTGAAAGTATTCAACATAACTTCAACTTTCCCGCCAAAATGTCCACCATACCTCACCCTTCACATTCATCTCATCTTAACTCAATCTCCTCATTGTTCAAGGGAGTTGCATGTCGATGATTAGCACCAATTAGTTATTATTGCATAATTCGCCCCACGATCATCATCTTGTTGTTTTATTATTGCTATTATTAATTGATCATGCATATTCACATCTTCTAAAATTAGAATTCAATCGACATGGCAATGAACTTCTTGAAACAAAAATTTTGATATTCATGTCAATGACAGCGATGATGTTGAAACATTTGAGGGACTTTTCGGAGATGAATTTGCATGAAATGGTTTGAGGGGATTTATTTTGTGGGTTTGGTGAGTTCCTTTGGGTTAGTTTTGTCAGATTTGGAAAGAGTTTTCTAGGTTCATATTTGGTAAATCTAGTGCGAGAAACCAAGGTAGCTAGGGTTGTCTTGGGAGCAATCTAAGGAGTTCAAACTGGTCCAAAGAAGTCAAACCCAACAAAATATTGAAATTGTTTGTAAAAATCCAAAGTTCACTTCAAAACCACTGGCTTTGCTTCAAAAAATTAAGATTCTCACAAAATTCTCACAAGGGAACTCCACCTTTATTCTGCGTGGTGTATCTTACACAAAACTGACAGTACAGCTTCACATTTAAAGAAATAAAATCTCATAATAATAACAACAATTAAATTGCCATCCCGCGAAGTCTATTCATCAAATTTGTGAATAAAAAATATTATTATTAAGCACTGCTGTGCACGACAGTTGAGGTGTCATCTACAACATGTTCTTAAGTTTTTGGGGGTCAATTGGATGTAATGTCTATATAGATGGAGCTAAAAGGTACAAGAAGGGGGCCACATAACCTCCAGTCCCCCATTGAGATACCAAAGACACTCTGAGACTAAAAATTGAACCATTTGATGATTGACATCATCAGCGACTGACCCATTTTTGGACAAAAGGCTTCTAAAAAGTACCAAAAAAATCAGCAAATAATCAACAATTATTCACAATTTTAATACAGCTCAAAAAAAAATTCGTCACTTGTGTAAAGATGAAAAAACAAATTATTGACGTTTTTAAAAGTTTATTTGCAGTGTTTAAAATTGAATTGATAAGTATTTTAAACATACTGCTGGCTTGAGGACATTGAAGACTATTGAAGATTGTTTTGAGGAGTTTTTGACAAATTAAAGTTGAAGCTTCCTGATAAATAATTGAAGTTTTTGACAGTTTGGATTGTAAATAAGTAGATTGTAGTTGAGATTTTGCATTATTAGTTTTGCAAATAATACTGATATTGAAATCTAGTACTTCAGCTTGAATTCTAGTACTAAATTCTGAAATCTAGTACTTCGTGTCCAAATCAAGTAATTACTTTCAAAATCTAGATCTTAGCTTTTACTTCTAGTACATAATCTAGTACATGTTTAGAAATCTAATAATTTCTTAAAAAATCTAGTACTTTATTCAAAAATCTAGTAAACAATCTTAAATTCTAGTACTTAACCTCAACCTTGGATCCATTATCTTGTATCTATTTTTAAAACCTGGTAGCTCATTCAACTAGTACTAAACTATAAACTCTCCTACTTCACTTTACACTACTGAACCTAACCTAATTTGATCTAAATTCACTCCTCAAATACCTCGAAAATCTCTCGAAAGAATGTCAATACATTAAAAGCCATTTGGTAGGGATAGAAAACTAGTAAAAGCTAAACTATGCAAAATAATAGCGAAATGAAAAACTTCAATGCCAGCACCAGCACAAACAGCATTGCACAAAAGTATTGAAAAGAAAATATATATTTTTTTAAATTGTTCGACTACTTTTTTATTAAACTGAATATAAAGAGAACTTGTGCATGTCTCAATGCTTGGCGTGCTTTAGGAAAATATAATGAAATAAGGCAATTTGCAAAAAAGGTTTTTTTTTATTGCTGCATATTGGAACGGGCTACATTGAACGTGCTGTTCATTAGAGGCACAAAATGAGATTTAAACGGTTTTATGAGGCATTAAGTTGAGTTTTGTGCAGGAATGTGGATGGAATTTATTTTAAGGTACTAGATTTTTGAATGAAGAACTATATTTTGAGATTATTTGGAAGATTTTTAATAAAAGTTTTAGAATCAGATACCATTGATAATTAAAAATTTGATAATATCCTAGATTAAATGCTAAGAGACTAGATTAATAGCTAAAGTACTAGATTAAGAGATAAAGTACAAGATTAAGAGATAAAGTACAAGATTAATAGCCAAAGTAGTAGAATAAAAACTAAAGTACTAGATTAAAAGCTAAAGTACTAAATTAAATGAATAAATTCTACGATTAAAGAAAAAATACTAAATGAAATGCTTAAGTATTAGAATTAATTCTTAAGTACTAGATTATTAGCTGAAGTTCTAGATTGAAAGCTGAAGTACTAGATTATATTAAAAAAAATTTAGAATAAAAAGAAAAAAATACTAGATAAAAAGCTTAAGTATTAGAATAAAGGCTTAAGTACTAGATTAAAAGTTGAAGTACCAGATTTAAAAATGAAGTACTAGATTTAAAAATTAAAATCTAAAGCATTTCGAAAAATATAAAAAAAATTCAAAAATTAAACTCACTTACACTACGTGAACATCTAGTGAATCCAAAAAGGCAACCAATTACGTCCACAATGTCGTAAGTTCAAAATCTTCTTTTCAGCTGCCGTTTACGCTGCTGCTGTTGTCGTTTGTGCTGATTTCAATCTTCTTTCTTCTCCTCTTCTTCTCTTTCTAGCTCAACTGCAAAAATTGAATTGAAGAATTAAATTTTCATTTTCTTAAAAGCAACGTTTAGTGCCGCAATCGAAAGTGAAGATGTAAAGAAATTGCAAAGATTTTCTGAGGCAACACGGTCTGGTGATGAAGAAATGACCTTTTAATGGGTTTTAGATGCTGATTTGTGGTCTGTTTGGGTGAATTTTTGTTGGATCTTTAGGAATTTTTGCTAAAATTTGAGACTTCAATTGTGAAAGTATTTTTTAAAATACTTAAAATCCCAAGCCTGCAATTCAACGAAAAAAGAAAAAAAAAGAGAAATGAAAATTAATTAAAATATTGAGAGTGAAAATAAATAAAATTTGTTAAATAAAGTCGATGATATTGGAATTAATGGAATTAATTAAGTTCGCTGATGTGCAATTGAAATTGTTTAAAGAAATTTTTACTTTTTTTGCATTCTTCTTCATTGATGATTTAATTAATTGATGATTGAGGTAGCTGATTGGCTTATTGAGTAGAATTGCGATTGATTGAGGTTTACTTTGATGGATTTATTGGAGATTTAGTCAGTTTGTGATCATTCAAGCAAGCTAGTTACAGATTTTAAGTCAAAATTGAGGTTTTCTTAGAACAAATCACATGGAAGCCCTTTAAAAATCAGTAACTGTGTCCAATACAATAATGCAGAGGCTTTTTTAACAACTGGGTTCAAGTCAAGATCTTGTGCCTCCTTTACCTAACTTCCTGGAGCTAGTTTGACCCAACTTGAGTCACTGTAGCAATGGCACCATTCGTAGCTTCATCTCAAGATGCACATTGATGACTAATGTCACATTAATCATCACAATCGCCATCAATATGTCATTCAACATAAGCAATTAAAACTTAATATCAATAATTAATATTGATCCCGTCCATGACCCTTCACTGACATTGAAGAAATTTTTTATATGATCTTTTCTTGATGATTTTAGTGACTGGCTGACTAATTAGCTTTGCGTAGGACTTTTTTCATTTTAATAAGACATTATTAAACCTTAGAAGCTCCTTGTTGGTAAGACTGATTACTATTAAACACAAACTTCTATAGAGTACGCTTAAAATCACTTGATAACCGCCTTCAAAGCTTGAATAATTTAAATTAATATTTTTCAAGCATCAATCAGCTTCAAAACTTCAAAAAACTCTCAAAAATCTGAAACAAAAGCAACTCAAAAGTCTCAAAATCCATCAAAACTGATCACTTTTTCCATCCAAATCACAAAATCTTGCAAAACCATTTTTTTCCAACCTCACAGCATCTCCTCATAGTAATCAACATGCATACACACATCGATGATATAATATCAATTGAAATATTGATGACGAAAGAATCTACATAATGAGCATAAATGCACCGTTAAATTAAATGTAATTGAAGATCTTTGTCACGTTCCGTCTCATGATCGCTTATCGTGCAATCTGCTGGAGATGTTTTTTGTGTCTTCTTTTTATTGATGTTAAGTGAGGCAAAAGATGGCTGGTTGGGAAATGTTAAGTGAATGTATTGATGGATGGAGGAACGTGCTTGGAATTGAAGATGAGTCAGCTGATTTTAATTGATTGATTTACAGTAGCTGGTGACCTAGATTGGGAATTGTTTGTTAATTTTGTTGCAATGAGGTGATTGGATTGATGAGGCTAGGCATAAGAGGGGTACTGGGGGGTATATAGGAATAGATCGGGTAGCTGTAAGGTCCCCTTGTTGTCATTTTAAAGGAATTTGAGGGTAAAATATCAAACTTTTGATGATTTTGGGTCAAAAGCTAATGTATTGCAAGTTTGTATCAAAATCTCAACCATTTACACGCCACTGCTACTTGCCTAGCCTAGCTATGACTATTAAGTTGTAGCTTGAAGCTAAATCACCTTATTTAATTCAGTCATCCAAATCATTGTTCAATTATTTTAATCCCTAATTCTATAAATCCTTCTGTTCTATCCAAAACCTCCAGCAACAAAAAAATAACAATTAGACAGTCTGACTTCATCTTTATACCATAAAATGAAATCATTAAATTAACAAAAATTGTCTACCGGTTTTCCTCAAAATCCATTATTAAGCTTCACGTGTTTGCCGAGATTTTTTTTGTTGTTTATAGACAAAAAACAGCCACAAAAAGAGACTCAACGAGAGGTTCAATAAAAATATATTTTATTATTATTATTTGATGATTTTTGAAGACTCAAAAAAAATGAATTTCTTAGATGGTTTTTAAACTTTTGTTCTGTTGAGAACTGTTTGAAAATTTTGAAAAAAAAAATTTCGAAAAAAATCATTAAATTTTTTCGAGATTTGAGCGCGTTTTTCCGATGAAGGAAAATTATTAGATTTAAATTTAAACTGTTATTCTGTTGAGAACTGTTTGAAAATTTTGAAAAATTTGTTTGGAAAAAATCATTTAATTTTTTAGAGATTTGAGCGCGTTTTTCCGACGAAGGAAAATTATTAGCGCTTTTTTGAACATAATTCAAAATTTTGAGTAATTTTTTTGTTGAAATCTTAAAAATTTGAAGCGCATTTTTCTAAAAAAGGAAAGGTTTTTAGCGCGTTTTAGTGTGAATGGAAAGATTTTTTGTGCGTTTTTCAGATTATGATAATTTGACGCTGCACTTTATGATCCCAAATTGCCACCTACACCCCTTAAATCTCCCAAAGACTTCCAAAAAAATCACAAAAATCACTTTAAACCTCTACAAAAACAAAAAAAAAAATCCCCAACAACTCCAACAACTCCAACAATTCCACCAACACTTGATTAATGTCATTTTCTACGTACTTTAAATAATAGTCATTTTACGCGAGTCCAATCTCATTGCTTGATTTCCGTATTGTTAGGTGCAAGTAATTATTTTTTATGCTGAATATTTTTTTTTCTTTAATTATAATTCATTAGATCTGTAGGATGATTATGGTGGCATGGCTTGATTGTGAGGAATTGAATAACGGACGGAGGGGAATTGAGACTCGAGACTTGAATAACAAGATGTTCATGGATTAATTACCTGAATGGAATTGAAGGTGGAATTGGAATAATGGAAGTTAAAACTTAAATAAACTGATGTAATTAAAAGAGTTTGTTGAGAATTGGGTAAGATGGTGGTGATTGGAAGGTGAAGGATGAGTCTCGAGTGTATGCTAAAGATTGGGAAACTGATTAAAAATGATAAAAAGTCAGTAGATCATTTCTGCAGCCTTATTGTGCCGTTCAGTAAAGATTAGAGAACACAACGACTTCATAACCAGTGATTGCCAACTTATGCCACTGAATCAACTGATACGTGGTTCATTGAGTACTCCGTACTGTCCTACATCCCACTCTTCACCTTATTTTGTCGTATTTTGAAATAATAAACAGATGAAGCAGTTTTTGAACTAAACGGCTTTATTTGGGGAAGAACAACCAAAAGAACCCAACTCAATATCCCCACATACACCATCATCAAGTTGATGAGGCATTCATGCAATAAATGACAAATGTTCGTTACATGAAAATTCAATTTTTACCTCGTCTTTGTGTAATTTTTTTTTTATTTTGCTTAAAGAATATAAAACGATTCTCACGAATTTGGCATTAAATCTTCATTAGACTTAAAAAAATTTTTTTAAACATCTCGACTCATCATGTTACTTTAGGTAAATTTTGTACAATTAGATGGATTCAAATGAGGTCTTTTAATTTAAAAACGTTTGTGAAGCAGGTAGTAAGCGATTTGTAGGATCGTGGGAAAATAAAGGAGGATAATTTCAAGTTTCAATGGTAATTAAACTTAAAAACGCACTAAATTTATTTCCATTAAATGATAAACGCGCTTAAAAAAATTTCCGAATAAGAAGCACGCGTTTTTTTTCCTTTCTCAGTAAATTACGCTCTAATTTTTTGAAATTTTAGGTAAACGCAATCAAACTTTTGTTCATCTGAAAAACGCACTCAAAAATTTCCTTCAAATGAAATCGCGCTCACAAAATTTCCTCACTGCAAAAATAGCGCTCATTCTACTTCAGAACTCAAACCACAATCTCACTGCTCTACAAATTAATCTTCAATCTACGAAAACTGTGCCAGAATCGCCAACCAAATAAATGATCTTTATTCATTTCCATGCCTTAAAGCATTAGCAGCACACGAATCTTTAATTTCTGTGGCAAGTAACGAGCATTTAATTGGACATATGACACGAAGGCTAGCTTTGAACATAAAAAGACATTTAATTTGATTTTTTTTTTTCGAAAGGGTTTCATTGTGATCTGGAAAATTTGTGATCTTATCTTTGCGAATTCATCAAAAAATGTTCCCAAAAAAATTAGATTCGACCTTGCAAAAATAAAAATATCACAATTTTTAATGACACGACACAAAGTAATCAGCAATTGATCTGATTCCGCGCCCATAAGTCACACACATGTGTGAATTGTTTAATGTAATTTAGACACATTTAGAGCTGTATGAGGTAGCGGCACCCAGAAATTCAATACAGCAATCCATGAAAAAATAAATTAAAATAGTTTATGTGTCAGGCTGGATGAATTAATGGAGAGCTTGGTGGTTGTCAGGGGTTGGGAATTGAGGCAAAGCTTTAATTTTGAAGCGGCGCTTTAATTTTGAATCGGCGCTTTAACTTTAAAGTGGCGCTTAAAATTTGTAAAGACGATTCAAATTTGAAGAAGTGCTTTAACATTTAAGCGAACCTTCAGTTTTAAAGCAACACTTTAACTTTTAAGCAGAGCTTTAGTTTTGAAGCAACGCTTTAACTTTTAAGTGCAGCTTCAGTTTTGAAGCAGCTCTTTGAGTTTAAAACAAAGATTAAAAGTGTCGACTTTTATTTGAAGCAAAGCTTTAAGTCTGTAAGTAACTCTTAAAGTGTCGCCTCAAAGACAAAGCATAGCTTCGATCTCATTCCAATCAAACTTGATCCACAGACCTCACTTCATTACTCATGCATCACAAAAGAGCAATTTTTCAAAAAAAAATTATAACTCA